TGAAGCGCTGCCGCCAATGGTCAGCTATTCTCCAATGAAGAGTACAGGCAGGGGTTACCTGCGGTGCTCCCTATAGTGCCCATCCGTTCGCCAAGGGTTACTGCGATGGGCCTTTACGGGTTCACCAAGTGGCATATTCTTTATATTAAGAGCTCAAGAAGTACGTGGAGCAGTGATATCTATCATCCTGTGCTCTTTCTCATAGCATCCTTCTTGTCTTTATCAGCTGCAAGACATCACCTCCCCTCACAGATCAGGTGTCTCTTTGATAAATACCCTCTACCATGCCTTCTGGTAAGGGCAAATCTACCGAAGCAAACTACTGGTACTGCTGCCAATGCAGCCGGCCAGACGACATCCTCGAGAACCCTCAGATATGGAAGCTGCACGTGAAATGCTCAAAGTGTGGTCACACTCGAGGCGATGATTGTTGCGAGCCAGTCTATATCAAGCCCGGAGAAAAGAAAAATAAACATGATCGCAGATGATGCAGCAACCGCGCGCTTGGTATGGTGCAACCCCGTTACTGCTTTTCACCTCCATGTACTGACATTGTCAGGGTCACCGAATGATCACTTCGCCTCCTTGACACAAGCACTCCTCCATCACGGATGCCAGCAATGATATCAACGGCAACCAAGTTTCAACAGTCTACAGATGCCGCCCATACTATCTGCCCGTTTACAAGAAGCTACAAAATCCAACACAGAAGCCATGCAATACCACCCTGGAGGTGGATTGTCTTCGCTTCCTCCTACTTCCTATCTTTTATCGTCAGTACCCGGAGGACTAGCACCAAGGCTGGAACTGTGCAAGGGCACATTGTCTCTGTTATTCCATTGGCGTCGCATTGTACCAGAAAGCTCGTATCGGACTGCTACCTATTGCTGTTTTTCCATGCGCTGTGAGGCTGGCTCCTCGTGCTGACAAGGAATCGTCTTCGATAATGTGTTATTTAGTCATGGCATCAGTCAAGTTTGTTTTTTATCTTCGAGTCATTAAGGAGTATTAGTGATCTAAATTGACATGTTTGTTTGCATTAAACAAGGGTCACGCCAGAAGACGTCGTGCACTTCGTTTGCCGCGTTGCTCATCGGGAACACATTCGATTGCACCTGCCACGCATGTGTCTGGCCAAGGTTCAGTTGCCATGTATAGTACCAAAGTACCTACAAGTATTGCACTTTCCGTGCCCTGAAGCGACCAGGAAGGCATGTCCCACAAAAGAGAGTCTGGGTCTGCGCCGTCTCGTTTCCACCACCACGAACGAAGTATCAACCTCAACGTTTTGCTTTTTCATAAGACAGAATGGGATGGGACCCTGGGGTCCAGTTGTTCATTCCAAAGCCGAGCAATGTCTGGAGACCTCGATCTTGGTGGTGTGGTGCTATTGGCAAGGAAGAAACACAGGCGACCGATCGTCATCATGCCTGGACAGCAACAACCACCCCCTGACCGCCCTTATGCAAACCGGAGCGTTTCACCCACTCTCATGTTGGTGACGGGGCGCTCATCAGTCGTCTTTTGTGTCCTCTCACTGGACAGCCACAGGCAGACAAGCGCAGCTCCTGCAGCCTCGATTCCACACGGCATGGCCCGTGCTGCTCCAATTAGCCGGTGAACTCAGGCCAGGGCAAGAAGTCGGCCTGACCGCCTCCAAATCCTGGAAGGATGTACAGCGAAGTGGCCAATGAAGAAAGCAACCGGAGCTTTTGCGGGCCAGGTGGACGGCTTTGGGAAGACCGACAAGCCGTCTGTACCGTCGAGGTTGCAACCCAAAATATCAATCCAGCTACCCGCAGCCTTGTATGACCCGCGATGGATGGATAGAGTATGCCTCTACCCATGCTCGTCGAACGGGAAGAAGGAAGTCACATGAAAGGGGTACGACACAGATCATATTCGATGGAACGTGCAACCTGCTAGCAACAACAGACTGAACCCAGAGCACACCAGGCCTGGGGCCATCCGGCAGATGACCTAGGGTGTAGTGGGAAGTTAGGAAAACAGCCACGGAGGTACAAAGAACAGCTGACTTGTTTTCGAGATGTTTTCATGCTTTCGTTCATAAACGACCATGGACATAGTTAGCTTCTGCAAGCTTATGTCCCATATGTTTCGGTGTCGTCGATGGGAGCGGCACAAGCGAGACCATTCTGTGGCAGGCCGAGAGGCAATCCCAAGGGCACTCCAGGCTCGAGACACGGGTGATCAGACACCAAACAAAAAGTGACCCGTACTGGCTCGAGCAGGGGCTATGCAGGCCCTGGCTTGCCAACACTGACTCCTGCTGAAAGCAGTCGGCCCTCTCGGAGCAGATCCCCACAATGTCGACCAGGGCGACAGAGCCGCCTGCGCCATGGCAAGCCTTTGGGACATATTTGGGACGCTACCAGAGGAGGCCTACTCATGGATGTCCCGCTCTAATCGAATGGTTTCCCGTCACCTGAAAGGTCAGCAGTCAACGCCAGCAGGCTTCGAAGGTGGTCCCTAGAAATGCCAGCATCGATGGCCATCCATGCTGCTGGTGTTCCCTGTCCTCCATGGACTGGGAAGCTAGTGAGGAAGTGGCTAACAGAGCCGCCAGAATGGTTCCGCGGGGTTTAAGTTCATGAATGTTTGGCCTCGACGGCAAATGTCATTGTGCATGGCTAACCCGAAGTTGGAAGCGAAAGATACCTTAGGTACAAACCGGTCAGCAACTCTGGGTTTAGTGTCTGCTCACAGCCAATGCCTGCATGTCTTTGCCTAACGCTTGACTTAGTAATCTCGTTCTCTGCAAAGGGGACTGGTTCTTCGTTCACCGGTTAACCATAGGACTGGCACGAAAAGAAAAGAGAAGACGGTTTGCAAGCAGGACCGTCTTTGCAGCAGATCCCAAGTGCCTCTAGCGAAAGTATCCGACAGAGCACCAGCAAGCGAGACTGAAGGGCTACCCGCGATTCAAGAGTCATCGGTACTGCCGACAGGACAGCGGCTCCCAAATACCTGTCGGTAAGGACTGGGCGTGTGACAAGAGGGAAACCAGCACATGTCGCCCGGAGGAAGAAATTGTGTCTTGCTGGCTTGTGCGGATGGTGGTCCCCTGCTATTATCCCACTAACGGAGTGTTTCCTGTCTATGTCTTTTGGCCAGCATACTCGGAATTATGAAACACCTCGAGTCTGTCCCCAGGCTGCCGAAGCCCAAAAAGAAAGCAGGCATGGAGACAAGCAAAAGGCGTCGGACGCGGCGAGACCGAGACTCAGGACTTCGATGGACTCTGAATCTGCCTTCGTTTTCCTGAAGCGAGAGAGGCTCACCCGCCCAGCATTCGCTCCAGACAGAGGAGTGTGGTCTGTGCCCTTTGCAAATATTTACCTTTCTCTGTTCCTGGATTAGAACGAGAGCCCTTTCTTTCCCTTTTGGCTTACGACCCGGCGAATGAAAGGTCGCGCCTTGGTTAGACTTTGGCTTATTTCTGCTTTTCCCTTCATATTACCCAGTGACTGTTGACTGCCCCATATCTGGGTCTTGATCGACCAGGTCTGCTCAACCTGCGCTTTTGTCTGTTTGCCTGTTTGTCACTGCGGTCCCCTTGTTCCGCCTCCTTGCCTTTTTCGAGAAGTGGAGAGCTGAGAAGTGGGACTGGAACAAGGAAAAAAAGTGCGCGGGCTCAGAAAAGAGAGCGATTCTGTCAAGGCAAAAGGGAACAGGTTGCGAGTAGTATGGCATGGCATATTCTCGCACAGCACAGAACACACAGAGAGGACTGGGTACGAAAGGGCAAGGTGAGATTACAGTAGTAGGCAAGGAGTAGGCAACCTGCCCATTTTTCCTCTCCCCCCTTTTTTTCCCATCTCGAATCCAATTTTCTCTCCTCTCCTCCCTCTCCCAGTTTGATAAACCCCTTTTTCGTCTCGTTAGGTTTCGTCACATCTTGTTTCTAGGGAGCTGGTTGCCTTTTTTTGCCCGCTTGCCTTGTCCTGTCTGTAGCTATGCTCTGCTGTGCTGCGCCTTGTACCACATGGCATGCGCCATATACCTTTCGTTTTTTTCACAACCGACCAAAAACACACATTTTCCTGCGCCGCCCGCTAGGCCAACGGGTGTGGGATTTGAGATTTGGGAATTTGAGGCATCAGAAAGGCTCCAAAGGCAGAAAGACCCCCCAAAAAGGCAACACCATCCAACAAATTCACAATCAACAATAGAGAAAAGAGTAACGGGGAGGCGGGTAATATCGAGCAAAAGGGCCCTTGCGCTGTTGTTTATATTCTCCTTTTTTTGCTCGCGCGACCAACATACTCGTAATTCTGGTAAAGAGGGTGTAATGTATTGTTCCTTACTTACCTACAGGAATAAATTGTAGATGCCGACTCCGTTGGGGGAAACGATACTGTGTTGACCCCCGTCTCTGCCACACCCCAAAATCTCTCTTTTTTTTGGTTTTTTTTCTCCTCAACACAGCTTGAGGTGAGGGTGCTTGCAAAGGTCCTCCTCCTTCATACCCAAGTGCCCATCTTTCGCCTGAAAAGGGTCTCGATGCCTTCCTGAGCCCCCCAGCTAGACATGTCAGCCAGAAGTCAGCCGTAGGCCGCCAAAGGAAAAAAAAGCTTGCAAAAAAACCGCGCTCACGGGGCTCAGGTGGGCAACTGGGGGATTTTGGGCACCAGGCGACCTTTTTTTTTCCAAAGGGCGCGCGGCGCATGACTGCAAGGAGTGGGACGGAATGTTGGATTGTGAGAAGTGGACCAGGCTTAGATGGCGCGCTGTCTCTGGCTCACATCGAGCCCCCGGTGTAAAAGGGTATACGAACAAAAGAGCTTCCAGGGTCGACATTTGGCTGCAGAGGGACGTCATTGCCTGACGATCTCGCACTCTCTGCATCATCCTCTCTCTATGCTCTCTCGGCAATGAGCCCCCATGGTGCCTCTTCTGGTATGTACGCGACCCGACTCGGATCCCGTGGCGTGACCTGGCTGTCCAAGGGAAGTGATCGACACGCACGGCGCTGGCGGCTACTTTCTCTTCTTCGCGCCCGCGTTGGCCTGGGCTCCACTCGCACTCGAGACGGGAGCTGTGGGCTTCAACTCCTTGGTGTCCTGACCCTCGAGGGGTTTCGTCGTCGTCTTGCCGCCGTCGCCCTCCTTCTTGGTTTCTCCCTCTTCCTCCTCCTCATCATCCTCGCCACCTTGCCCGAACTCGTTGACTCTCGAATAATCCACCTTGTACTTGTACTTCTGATAAAGCCAGACAAAGAAGATGACGTCGTCTCTCAGCGTGGCCAGACGGTGTAGAATCGGCATTCTGATGGTGAACGCGAACAGATCATCGATAAAGGTATTCAAGAACTTGTACATCAGGGCCTTGCTGGGCATGTGCGCGACAGATTTCAGTCTGTAGTTGATATACAGAGAAGGCACCATCATGAGGAAGCCGTAGGCGTACACCGATCCCACCAACGTCTCGATCACGAAGCTGTACCACGACTTGTGCGACTCGTAGATGAGGCTGTAGACCGCGTAGGCGAGCAGCAGCGGCACGGCGACGATGTACAAATAACGGAAGGCGATCTGGTCGTATTCTTGCGTTTGCTTTTCCTTCTCGGTCAACTTGTGTTTGTCTTCAAAGACAACCACATAGGGCAATATGTTCTTGAACTTGGAATCCGGGCCGGGTTCGCGCAGCCGCACGTCGACGGTCTTGGTGATCTTCCAGGCTTCAAGGACAATGCCAAAGCCCTGGGAGGCGAGAATCATCCACGAAGTGTTCTCCGAGTTGTCCACCAAGTACAGGAAGATGATGGCCTGCATGAACACGTTCGCCAGGATCGTCCGTACAGATGTGCCCACGTTGTCCTTCTTCTTCCGCCAGTGGGAGATGTCGTTCTTGAATGCGAGCCCCTCAAAGACCATGTGCAGGATGCTGACGACGAACGTCGTCCCTAACAGGTAAGCATTGGTATCGAGGAGGATTTCCTTGAACTTCTCGAACTCGCTGCCATCGCCACCACCGGGCATCGGTGCGCCGCTCGCCGCTTGTGCTTGGTTTTGTTTCATACCCTCGTCGACAGAAGCTAATAGGTTGTATTTCCAATTGGCCAAGTTGTACAGCTGGATGTTCAGGGGCATTTCTTTGACAGTGTCATTGAGTTCGGTCATGTGGCTGCGCAGTTGCCAGAAGGTATTGAGGAAGACGACCGGATAATACCAACCATTTTGACCGGAAGCATCGCGTTGACCGGTTGGTTCGAGGACAATATTCTTGCGCAGCGCCGGGTGCATTTGACGCCAGTTTTGCACACCCGTGTTTGGAATCACAGCAACTGTGAAGTTGGGATGGTAATAAGATGCGATCTGCACTCCCTGCGGTTCATCTGCTTCTTCTTCTCTTTCTGGCTCCTCGCTCTTCTCGAGCAAGTTCTTCAACTTGCGGGCCTTTTTCTTTGGGAGGAACTGGTTCAGCGGCTTTTTGAAGTGGGTTGCTTTGTGTGGGTCGTAGTTCGGACTTGTTGGGTCAAATTCGCTGCCAGCTAGAGCGACATAGAAATGGGCCCATAGGGTCCCGTTGTGTTGTACCTCTGTTGGTATAGCGATTTGAGTGTGCACCTCTCGGTTTTCCTCATAGTTTCCTATCCCAAAGTTCTTCTCCTCCAGAACGAGGCTCTCCTTCGGCACGCTTGACAAGGCAGGAAGAGTGTCCTGCGGAGACACATACATGCGAATGTCGACGACGCTGTTGTCTGGCCATATCGGGGCAATGTTTTGCGGGATCAAGGAATAGTTTGTAAGGGCGGCCACATCGGCTCTTTCATTGAAATCGACGTTTTGCTTGGGCGCAGCGGCACCTCCCCCAGTCTGTGACTTCGAGCCAAAGAATTGATTCACAACAAACTGCGTGAGCATGAATATGGCGATACCTTGGACAATCGTCTGGAACATCGACTACAGCTCTGTCAGGATTCGTGGTGTATCCATACCGACAAAAGGAGTCTCTCACCTTTCCCCCTTGTTCCTCCCTCGCGGCAGGGGCGCCGCTACCTCTGGACTCCGGCATCCTGAACTGTCAGAGCCTCTAGCGATAGATTTTGTGCAGGGGATTGGGCTTTTCCTTGACAAAGTGGCAGACAGGACGGACAGCCTGCGATTGGGAGGTTGGTTCGACCCGCGGTTCGGCCGGTGGGATGTGCGGACTTTCGTTGATCCGGGCGGAGAAGGGCCTTGGCATTGATAGGTGACTCGGCGAGGTCGGCTAGGTCGGTGACTTGATCTTCGGGCCAATAAACCCGCCACTTCTGACCACGACTTTTGTTCTTTCTATCAGCTCAAACCTGCGCTTTCGATTGGATTGTTCGACTCCTGCTGCTGCTGGCTGAAGATCTTCCCGAACTGGCATCGCATATGGCGTCCTAGGACGCAATGCTCGGTCCAGAGCCTCACGTAACACGCATCCATGGCAAACGGCGGCTCGGTGGGCACACCAACGCCTCAATTTCCCACACATAATGCTCCTCGAGTTTGGCTCCTGACCTCAGGAGACTCTCCAGTTGGCATCTCGATTGCCCGCCAGGTGCTTGATCACGGCGACTATGTTGTGTCCGGCATCATCCAAGCCGAGTTCGAGAATGATGGTGCCCGGAGTCAGGAGTTCAAAAGGTTCCTGTCTCAGGTTGGGCGGACACCTGGAATGAAGGAGCGTCTAAAAGTTGTAGCCCTGGATATCAGGTATGCGGTGCTGTCTCTTGCAAGTTGGTGTTATTCAACTCAAATTCTATATGCTTCTTTCCACTATGAGACAGCTGGGATTAACCCGAAGACAGGGTCGTTGGACAATGTCAGGCAGCTATCGCAGAAGCCGTGCAAACGTTTCGAAAGATCGACATCCTCTTTTGCTGTACCAGTGAAGCAATAGTTGGGACCGTCGAAGAACTTTCAGCTAGTTCCCGGACTCTGACCCTCGTGCGAGATCAGTTTGAGAAGAATTTCTTTGGCCCGATGAATATCATCAAAGCTGTCATCCCCCAGATGCGGTCACAAATGAATGGTCACATCATTGCCCTCACTGGTATTACAGGCCATCTCGGAACACCAGCATTGAGCATGTATTGTGCGTCCGGGTGGGCGTTGGAGGGCTTCTGTGACAGCATTGCTTATGAGATTGCACCGTTCAACATCAAATTGACAATTGTCCAAGCAAGCGTCGAGATCGGAATCCTAACCAACAAGATCACTTCGGCACCGCCAATGAAGGCCTACACCCGAGAATTTGGTCACACCGCTCCCATGTTTCGAGGTATCCTAGACGGCTTGTTGAATCGCCTCCCTGGGATTCGTACCCAGTATCCTCCTCCGCCGGAAACCGACATTCAGTCACCTTCGTCAGAAGCGGAGAGACAGAGCGGCCCTTACCTCCTCAGCCGTAATGAGGTAGTCAGCTTGTATCCACCTCTTAGCCATGCACATACAGAAAAATTGATTGCAGAGACTGTGCATGCGCTGACAGCCATTGGTGGTCATGAGAACCCTCCTGCCCGCCACATTGTTGGGGTTGAAGGTGTGGCTAGCGTGAAAGAGAAGCTCAAAACAGTGAGCGAGGAATTGGAGGAATTTGTGGACACCAGTGCATCAGCCGATATTGCCGCTCGACAGGGGGCCGGTGGAGCTGGGCGTGCAGCAAGTATCGTTGACGTGGACATCAAGGATCTTGAAGGTGACATTTTTGATGCTTCATTGGGGTTGAGATAGCAAAAGGATTGGTCTTCGCGCAGCCTTCGCGCAGCAGGTCTGCATTCGATTGCGGATAGACGGAAACCTTTTCCGGAATGACTTCCAAGCAATCAGGACTCAGCGTCGTCCACCTCGCTCGTATGCTCTGTCCCACTCACCCCGGTCTGCTTCGTGACGCCGTCTTGATGGAGAGCTGCTTCTAGACCGCTTCCGGCGATAATGCTCACGTTCTCGAGCTGGCGAAGGTGATTTTGATCTCACACGGTCAGATCTGTTACGCCGCGGGGACCGGGAATGGTGCTCTCTATGTCGATGGCGATCGTCGCGATGTCTTTTGTGGTGGCCGTCTCTGTGTCTATGGTGACTCCGACTCCGGCTTCTGTGTCGTCGGTCGCCATGACGGCGTCTGTATTCCTTGAGCGCATAGTGAAGCTCCTTGTCCTGATTTGGGACGGTGCCTTCGAGGCGTTCCGTGGTACTGGATTTCCCCTCATCCATAACCGAGACCCCTGCCACTCGCCCATATCCAACACCCCTGGAAGAGGCCATATCCTCGCCCGCTCCAGCCTCGCGCAGTGCATTGTCCACCTCGCGTCGAGCCCCTAGCTCATCCATGTTTGGATTGTCCCGCTGAGGCACTGGCAACCCAAGAGCGCGGGCTAGAGCATCCTCCTCGGCCTGTTTGACTCGCTGGATCTCCTCTCTTCGTTCTCTTGCAGCTTTTGCTGCAGCATCTTCATCGCCTTGTGAGTCAGCGTCCGCTTTGGCGTACCAGGTGAGATCACGGCCTTTCTGCCAGCGACCGACGGGGGCCATCAGTGAGTGGCCGAGATAATTTTCGCGGTGAGAAGAGGCTTCGACATCGGACCACTTGAAGTCTCCACGGCCGCCTCGTGACCCCTCCTTTCTGACGGTAGCTAGCAAATCCATAGTTGTACTAAGCCAAGGCCGGCAAAAGGACAAGGTGAATGTAAGGATGGAGGAGAGGTAGAGTTGAATGTCGGCGAGAACTTGAAGGGAGAGTTGGGGTTGGAAGTCCACTAGTATTCGTAGCGCAATGCTGTGTAACCACAAGTCGACACCGCCCGCGGAATATATATATTGGGGCAATTTAGACAGAACAGGTCAATAGACTCTCGTGCATTGATCGGTGGGGTGATAAGTCGCATACAGGGGTCACCAGGATATGTAGGTGGCGTCCAGGACTGCAGGATGAGACAAGGGGATGAGTCGAGCCGTGGCAGAGTTGGCCGGTCGCGTTTGCAATTCTTTCCAAATCGAAACTGTTCTGTGTTGCCAACCTCGATCAGAAAATGCAGGTGTCGGCGTGGGAATTACTCCATCGGCTAGACGGGCTCGGGCTCGGGTGGCGATGGGCGGTGGGTATGTAACTTGGTGAAGTTGAAGGGACCAAAAGAAAATGTGAGATACTCTACTGTGAGATATACTTTTTTCCAAGGCTTGTACTAGTATGAGCAGCCACTCACTACCAGGTACTCGATACTTGGTATGGGTTTGATGGTGCAGTTCAGTATTGGATGCTGGTGGCCCCTGCGCTACTCGCTACTCGCTACTCGCTACAAAATGCGTCATGTCTCCAAACTCTCAATCCCTCGCTTGGTGCAACTCATGTGCTCCGTACCACGGCAAGTATTCGATGTCCAAGCACAGCAACCTGTCAAGCTGTCAATCTGCCTTCACTTGGACTGCACTGATTGGGAATACCCCATAATTGACAGTCGCTGCTCAAGCTACATACCTCGTCTCTTTCCTCCCTTCGTCCGCAGACACGACAGTTGCTGACATCTACCGGTGAGTTGCAGGCAAGCTGAAGTGAGGCCAAGCCTACCCTTCAACCTACCTGCGCTCATGCGCCTGCGCCGTCACCCAGTTCTTGGTTCTGAACCTCCTCCGGACGAGCTCAAGCCCCTCTAGACTGAGTTAACGAGAGCACACGCGCGCTCTTGCGTGGCGATGGTGCGCTCTGCCATGCCTTAGAGTGGCTAACAAGATTTCGATTGAACACAAACGCGTTGACCAAGAGCATGGACGAAGAAATCAGGCCATTCGAGACGGTCACCATTGGTCTCGCCACCGTCGAGACAGGAGCCGAGAGGTTTATGCGAGAGGGAGTGCCCTGCCCACCCCCTCTGGCTTACTGGCGGAATAACCTGACTGCGTTGTCTCAACGCTTCAATCTCTACTTTGTCGCAACGAGAGAAACCATTGCCGTCTACAGACCTGAATTCCCCTTTCAGAAGCTTCACAGACTGCCTGCGCTGCTCATTATCCCCGCCCTGGCAAATCCCGATGCCGCTGGCTACATCGATCCCCAATTTCCCCATACCATCAACCATCTGATTGTGGGAGACTTGGGCAACGAGGAGATTCTCCTTATCGCAACCGATTCCGGCAACATTTCCGCCTATTATACCAAATCAATTCAAGAAGCCATTCGAAAAGACCCGTACCGCTTCAGCACAGATGCTCGGAGTGACTGCGTCGGTTTGTGGCCATTCTTCGAACAATGGGTTTATGAATCTGCTTGGGGCCTCGCCATCCACACCAGCGCCCGATTGATTGCCGTGTCGGCCAACACGCCTCATCACGTTGCAGACGATGATCCTTGTGCTAAAATAACGGTATTTGCTTTCGCCTTGACAAACACAGGTGATGAAGGAGGGGATGACGAGCACCAACTGTCTGACGATGATCACGAGATTTCCGAGCACGCGAAACAATCAGATTGGCAAGAATGGTTGGCAATAGGTGTTGATGCTACTGCTCCACCACGGAATAAAAACTACAAAATCACTCTCGCTGGCATCGAAGGTCATGATCAGAACATTCCCTGCATTTCCTTCGTGAATACAGATGATGACCTAGAAGGCAATTGGTTGTTGAGTACCGACATCGATGGTGACATGAAGATCTGGCAAATCTGGCAAGGTATCTGCCAGAGATCCTGGGATTTCTCTGAAAAAACCATGCGTCCAGGTCCTTACCGAAGGCGAGAGGGCGGCTGGCTTGTAGCTGCTCTCGACTCTCACGCCTTCCGGTCAGCTAGGACGATGGAGCAATTTTGCGGATACTACAAGGTACCTCAGTATCACGGACATAATGCACTGGAAAGCTACGACCTGACCAATGTTGTCCGGCTCCGCACGCCAAGCAATAGTGTCACACATTTTCTGATGTATGAAGGCATAGAGGACGACGACAATAACGAAGAAGTTCGAGAGTTGTCTGACTCCTGGTCTGACATGGACGAAGCTACCGTTGATACTGACCAGGCTGAGGCTAATGCGGGTTGGTTCCCTGACTATGGAGAAGACACTAATGATGGATTCCTAGAGGAAGACTCTGAGATCAGCAGAGAGCCCGAAGGAGTTCGTGAGTCAGGCACAAGTGAGGTTGCTTCCGTTTCTGGGTCTAATCCGAGAGCTCACAATACTGGCGACCAATCTACAACTCCTCAGAGAGATCTCCTATCGTTAGAGCATGGGCGTTTTGAAGAGAGCGATGCCCACTCTGACGAGAGCGAGGAGAGCGAGGATGATGAACTCCAATATCCTTCTAGCTCGGAAGAAGTGGACGATGCTGACCTTTCTTCTTCGAGTCGACGAAGTACCACATCACTGTCAAGTCTCGTTCACCGAAACAGCCAGGAAATTAACGTCGACGTCTTGTCTGCCTCCGATATGGATTCTCCATCGCGCAGACGGCAGCGTATTGAACCGAAAAGTCCCAAACCTTTGGTTGAGAGCAGCGCTTCGAACGTTGCGAAACCCCGCGCAAGGGCCAAACCACCGAATATACCTACACTACATTGTACCACGTCAAATTTGAGACTGATCATGACTCCAGCAGCAGACTCGCCACACGTCTTTTGTGCCAACATCCTGAGACAGGCATTGCCTCGCTCAATACAGCTTACGACTCACATCCACCTCGATAGACTCAATATGATGCTGCAGATCCCCGAGTTAGGAATCGTCGTCGTCGCTGCGCAGGTCGGCCGATGTGCGGTCTGTTCACTGACGAAGAATGAGACGACGGGAACACTGGGACTGCGAGTGAGCTGGGTGTTACCAACCAGGAAACAAGAGCTGCTGAAACGAATTCGGCCTTTTTCGCCACTGCTTGGCATAGCAGCTTCCCCGGTCCAAGGATGCTTCAAGCCAAATGAATACAAAGATCGATCCGGATCAACCGAGTCAACAGAATGGGGGAAGGACGGGCTGGTGGATGGAGTGCCCACCACGTTTGACCCTACTGTGCTTGTCGTCAATGGGCCTAAGGGCGAAGGGGACGGCTCTCAATTCTTGCATATGAACGCTGAATCTTCGGAGCGTGCGGATGGGCCTCGGACGAAGAGGAAACGTCTGTCACACAGTATCAACAAAGAGCAATCCGCGAGGATGAGGACGGAGATACGGGAGTGGGAAGTTCCACCAAAACCAGAGCCATGGCAGGCTCTGGAAAATAGTCGGAGATACAGGCTCATGCTGACATATATGGACATGACCGTTCTATCCTACGAGCTATCGCGGGGTGTGGAAAGGGAAGATATCGCATATGAGGTGTCGGCGCTCGACATGCTTGATTGACCCCTGTACCAAGGGAGTATATATACTTCTCATCTGGCCGAGAGTACACAGGATGGCAGATTCAGGCTGGAATATATTCGCTGCGTCTCACGAGGTATCGAGACTGATGCCCTCATAAAGTCCCTCAAAGCTTCCAAGCTGATGCTTATCATACATCTATTCCCCAAGATGTACTGGGTGACCAAGATATGCTGTTCTGATCCAATCCGCGGGGACGAGGCTGAGAAACTGTGATTGGTGGGGGAAAGCCGAACACATGTATGAGGTCATCTGGAGGTCGAATTCTGTATATCGTATATCAAATTGCTTCCATATTTTTCATTCTTCATCATGGTTAGTGGCGAGGGACTTTTGTACACAGTAATCTTCAACCCGAAACCTATCATCTGATTTTGAGGGTGGTCGATAAAACATCCAATCAAGCATCCACCGTTTGGGTACTACTTGGTGGCTTTCCCACCCATTGAGCACCATCTGGCTTTGAAACAGCCAAAAGCGCCATTATCGGCCAGCATCCGACTCCTCCTCAACACGCAACGTTCCCTGCGCCCTTGGAAACGACACCTCGGCATAGTCAACATGGCCGAGCGCCAGCAGAAAAAGTCGATAGTCATTGTCGGCGGTGGTATCATTGGCTGCTCGACCGCTTATTTCCTTACCCGCCATCCAAAATACAATCCAGACTTGCACTCAATCCATCTTCTCGAGGCTACAGGGATCGCCAGTGGCGCTTCAGGGAAGGCTGGTGGTCTGCTGGCTTTGTGGGCGTATCCATCGTGCCTGGTGCCACTCAGTTTCAAGTTACATTCCGAACTCGCAAAGGAACACGGGGGTGAGCAGAGATGGGGTTACAGAGGTGTGGGTGTCGGCCAGGTCGACTTGAAAGGGCGCCATGTCAGTAGCCAGGCGAAGGTACTGGCTCAGCACGGACCTGTGGATGGCGAGGTAATGACTGGGAATGGGACGACGCATCGGCAAGGTGAGGATATCAGAGGAGTGCACCGACCTGATGTCGCCAGCCATGGCAACGTCGATCCCACTCGCGTCAGTCTCCAGAAGCGGAGCAAGGAATCATACAACAATCTACGGAGTATGGGGCTTCCGGATGATCTCGACTGGGTAGCGGAAGAATGTATCATGGGATACGACTCGATGGGATCGCCCAGGGATACCGCGCAGGTCCATCCGTATCAGTTTACCACGTCGATGGCGAAGCTTGCAGAGGAAAAGGGCGCCAGGGTCATTTTGGGCAGCGTCAGCAAGATCGAGCCTGCCTCTAGCAAAGAAGGAGGCGAGCATAAAATCAAATACACCGACACCTCAACACACGAGGAGAAATCCCTCCTCGCCACAGATGTCATCATCACCGCCGGGCCGTGGACCAAGACCGTCTGGCCCGGGTCCCCGATCGGCGCATTGCGCGCCCACAGCGTGACCATCCGGCCCTCAAGACCAGTCAGCGCATACTGCCTCTTCACATCCCTATCTTTGCCCAAGAACTTCAAGGAAGGCACAAAATCCCGCGCTGCTCACGTCACGCCGGAGATGTACGCGCGGCCGAACAATGAACTCTACGCGTGCGGCGAGGGGGATCACCTTGTGCCCCTGCCCAAGTCTACGGCTGATGTCCAGGTCGATGATAGCCGATGTCAGGACATTGTGGATTACTGCGCGAGTATCTCGGATGAGATGCGCGATGGAAACGTGCTGGTTCGCCAGGCGTGTTACCTCCCGCAAGTTGAGACCGGTGGTGGACCACTGGTGGGCGAGACGGGTGTCAGGGGTGTGTATATGGCCGCGGGACATACCTGTTGGGGAATCCAGAATGGGCCTGGCACGGGCAAGTTAATGAGTGAGTTTGTGTTTGATGGGAAGGCGGTGAGTGCCAATGTGAGTAGTTTGGATCCTAGGAGGGTGCTGAGATGAAGAGATGGAGAAGGCCGGGAAAGGGAGTTTAGAAGGATCAGGTAGAAGTGGTAGCGTTCCGCGAAGACCAACGGGAGAACGGTGTCCGAGGCCTTTTTGAAGTTGTGGAGGCAGATATTAACCTCATGTAGAGATGTCCACATGGTAGTGATTCTCCTGCCGCTGTATTGCAATGGAACACCACAATGCCTGTCTCTGCAATCAATTCATCGCTTCAACACCAAGCCATGAGCAACACAACCTCAGGCTTTCCACGCACTCACCACCTGCACCACATCCTCATCCGCAACCACATGCCCCAGCCCGACTCTCTGCGGGATATGTTTCGCCGAGGCGCCCCAGACGAGCGCATACTTGAACGTCTCCTTCAGCGTGCGATGGATCTGGTCACAGACATCCTCGATCGTACTACCACTCCTCACAATCAGCGCCTCCCCAAAGTCCGGATCCACGGCCTGTCGCTTCGTGTAGATGCGCATGAGGCGCAACTCCTGCCAACACCTTTCCACCACGTCCTGCACGCCCAGGTCCAGTTCGCACGACATGACGACCGTGTGCGGCTCGCGGGCCAACTCGTCCAGATACTCGACCGTGACGCTGTCGATCTTGTTGTATACGTACAGACAGCGGATGTACTTGCGGTGGTCCTTCATGATCACATCAATGAAATCGTCCACGGTGGCGTTTTCGTCGCGCACGAGTACTTCGCAGTTCAGGAGCTTGTAGTCACGTAGGATGTTGTACAGCATCTTTTCGTCCAGGTATTTGGGGGGCGATTGGAAGGTGATTTTCATGCCCCCGGCCTTTTTGGCCTTGAGGTAGATGTTGGGTGGGTCGCGGTTGAGGCGGATCCCGACGGCTTCGAGCTCGGCTTCGAGCAAGGCGCGCTGTTCGGCGCGCTTTGTCGCGTCCAGAACCATTAGGATTAGGTCGGATGTCTGAATACTTCAGGTCAACGATACTTGTAAATGGATTGGAGGCTTCTGAGTCGTACCTTTGCCGCACTGATGACCTGTCGTCCTCTTCCTTTCCCCTCCGAGGCACCTTCGATGATACCAGGCAAATCCAGAATCTGGATCTCCGCACCCCCATACTCGAGCACGCCGGGGATGGCGGTAAGTGTGGTGAAGGAGTATGCCGCCACCTCGGACTTGGTCTTGGTGATCTTGGATAGAAACGTCGATTTACCCACGGACGGGAAGCCGACCAGGGCTATTCGAGCATCGCCGGATTTGGAGACATCGAAACCTGTACCGCCGCCGGAGCCGGCACCGGGTCCTGGCTCGAGGAGTTGTGCTCGCAGTCGAGCGAGTTTGCTGGCCGATAAATGTCAGTCATTGTTTTTGAACGCAACCAGAATATGGAAAAGGGGTAAGGCTGAAGACTGGGCCAATCCGTCCCCCGACAACAAATATCAGATGTGCTTGTGCTTGTGCCTGAAATTCTGCGTCCATTCGGCACATTCATGCTCTTATATCTCTTCGACATGAACTAATCCTGAGCCATGGGGCAAAGGCTCTGCTCAAACATGCAGACCAACACATACAGTCACGTGAAAGCACGTGCACAGGTGCTACTCTTCGTCTTCACAATCTTGTCTTTCTTTTGTTCCGTCTTCCTTTTGGTGGGTGCTTCGTCTTCAAGAATCAAGAACACGAGACCTACCCTTTCAATAAACCAAGGTGATACTCTGAGATTCATTCAGTCAGAGCGCATACCCGCAGATCCTCAAACCGTTTCAGCACGAACCTGTGGCTTTGTTTTCTGCAACCCTATCAGCACTGGAATAGGCGATCTATGGCAAGTTGCAGAAACCCACTCTGAGTCCGGGCCATCTCGGCCTCGATCCTGTAGCGAGAGTCAGATCCGAGACGGCAATGCGCAAGATACAATGACCCACTCCTTGATTTTCTCCGTGATGTTGACCATCTTGACGGTGGGAATCCGGTCAACCTGTCGAACAGTGTCGTAACCACAAGCCGGCCCAGGGAAGTCTTGAAGCTGTACAAAGAAAGAGTAACACTGTCCGTTTGGCGAGACAGATACGCCTTGTCCCGACGTGTCCCAAAGAGTGACAGAGACTCAGTTGGTGGGAGACACCCAACGACCAAGTTGAAGATCAAGATTCGGCATATCGGAACAAGGTAATTCCGCCCCGTGGATTGCTTGGCTGTTGAGCCTTGCGTCGTGACTCAAGACACCGGGCTTTCAACCACATCTTCTTCTCCATTTTTCCAACAACCACAACAACCAAACCACGACGATGAGAACGAGAAAGATGTTGTAGGTGGTTGCAGCTGTCGCTGCGGCTACCAGGCAAACGCTCCAGAGGAGCCACGTGCCAAGACTTGTGCGGCAAAAGACTGAACACCAAGCGGGTCTCCAGGTCCCTACGGGGATCTGAAGTGAATTCTTCATCATGCCGGCGAAAAAGAAAGGGAAAGCTCCCCAGGTGCCTGTGCCCGCGCCTCAACCACAGACACCCACGACGCCGCCTCCACTTGAACAATCTCAGCGCAACTTCGAAGAAGAACTCGACGGCTATCCAGAAGTCCAGTGTAACGAGTTCCTTGCTACAAAAGCAATCTATCCTGACGAGTTTCAGCGCATCCGGGGCAGGAAAGATGCGTGGAAGGTAACGAGTTCCTGCCACACCCTTAACACGACGCTTTTTGACACAGCGGCAGACTCAAGAGAACTTAGCTTTTCAAGTTCGGGTCTCACCTCTCGAAAGTCGCGATTATTTCGTCAAACTCATCTTCGAGTTTCCACGCGACTATCCGAAGGTGCTCCCAAAGATCAATATTGTCGAGATTGGGCCCAAAGACCCTGACCTCAAAAAGCAAATCGAGCACATTGTTGCTACCAACCTGAAACAGAACCAAGGAAGCGAGATAGTCTACGTGGTCAACACTGCCATCATGGACTTCCTTGACCAGACCGTCTCAGACAAGGCTGCCAAGAAAACGGAGCTCAGCCTCGAAGAAGAACGTGCCGCCAAAGAAGCTTTAGCTAAGAAGCATCTCCAGGAGAAAGAAGAAAGCGCGCGCAGACAACAGGCAGAAGAAGCAGAGGAGAAAGAAAAGTTACTGTATTCGCAGGTCGAAAGTGAGAAACAACGTCGCCAGAAATCCAATCTTTCTCGCACAGCCACTGGGGAAGATGGGGCGGTGCTCTACGACGCACCCGAAGAACAGACCCGTTTTGACCAGACCATGACCTGCAAAGACACAGTCACAAACACACCGTTCAAATTCAAGGCAGTTTCAGGCAGGGTCGTCATCCTCAGAAGGAAAGACAAGAAAATCACTATCGTTTCCCCTCGAGTGGATACTGAACGTGTTCAAGCTCCGCAGCTCCTCCTCAAGGATATCTACATCGCCGAGACTGCAAATACAACGGCTCAGATGCAGAAATGTATGGAGATCGTTGAAGAGGACCTGGAGTTCTCAAAGGAACATCATCACGAGAATGTCGTCGACCTGATCAACTACAAGATTGAGCACATTACCCTTGAGGATGGCACAGGCCAGTGGACCCTAGCTATTCTCTCTGAATTTGCTGATAAAGGCTCTCTCGATGATCTTCTCGAGCTTTCGGGACCGCTCACTCCAGCCAAAGTCCGCACTTGGACTCGAGAACTCGTCGATGCTCTGGTCTTCTTCGATAAACATGGCTATGTCCATCCTGCGGTGCATGCTGGAAATGTCATGCTTTTCATGTCGCCAAAGAGAGGGGTTACAGTCAAGTTGTCCGACGGTTACGGAACAAAACTTCGAGATCTTGTTGATTCCGTCCGAGACAAGTCTGGTACAAAGACAGATGAGCTGCCTCTTTGGATCGCTCCCGAACTCAACAACGAAATGCCGGCACGAACAAACAAGACCTGCATATGGGATCTCGGCGTGATCGTGATGCAGATGGCTTTAGGCAAAGGAGTCAAATCCAAATACACATCTCCTGCAGATGTGCTCGAAGATGTCGATTTCGAATCTAGTGCTCAAGGACTTCTGCAAGAAATGTTTCGTTCCAATCCGAACCGTCGCCCTTCAGCGTTTCATCTCTCAAGCAAAAAGATCTTCTTCGAGGAGAATGACAATCTCTTCCGGACACAGTCCCGAACTCTTCTCAACACTCCAGGACGCGTGAGACGTTACAGTGACAGACCTGGGAATTCCAGGTATCGAAATGAATGGGAGGAGTCTGCTGTACTTGGACAAGGTGGCTACGGCAAAGTCGTGCGTGCCAGAAACAAACTGGACGGCCAGTTTTATGCTGTCAAGGAGATCAAGAGCGAGTCGATAAAGGAACTAGAAAACATTTTACGAGAGGTCGCCCTGCTTGCGAAGCTCAACCATCCGAATATCGTCAGGTACTACAACGCCTGGTACGAGAGCGCACACGAACAAGTAGAAGAACCACCTCAGCGAGCAGTCCCTTCCAGATCTATTCCTCAAACGGCGCCACTAAGTCTGGGTCATGATTTTATGGAACCATCTGTCTATCGAAATCAGGGTGCGGAATATAGCGACTCTGACGATGGTGGGCTGTTTGCTTATCAAGATCCACCTTCTATTGACGCAGACGACGGCTTTGATGACGACCCATTTGAAAGTGATCCAGAACCAGAGAGAGAGGAGGAGAAGCAAGGAATAACCGATCCTTTCGAGCGTTCAGACGCGCCAGAGCCTGGATCCCCACAAGGTGTAAAATTGTTCGAAAGCCAGGACTCACCACAAGTGCCTTCAAGTCCTGCTCGGTCACGCTCGCTGATACACGATGAACCATCCGTACTGTATATCCAGATGGAACTATGCGACGGCCGCACATTGCGCGATCGAATCAACGGAGGTCTGCCAAAAGATGTCGATGCTGGCTGGCGATTGTTTCGGCGCATACTCGAGGGATTAGCCTACATACACAGCCACGGTGTTGTGCACAGAGATCTTAAACCCGAGAATATCTTTCTCGACTCACACGATACTCCCAAGATTGGCGACTTTGGACTTGCCGGCTACGGACAAGCAACCTCTAAGGCAGACCTCTCCAGGTCAAGGCCAGCTATGGTCACTGTATCGTACCACATTGGGACTGCAGGCTACATGCCTCCTGAGCTTGAACGGACGGGAAGCAGCTATGATTCACGCGCGGACATGTACTCCCTCGGAGTCACGTTCTTCGAAATGTGTTTCTCATTCAGCACCAAGAGCGAAAGAAGTATCTACTTGCAAGGCAGGCTCAAAGAAAACCCACCACGCTTACCCCAGCTCTTCAAGGAAGAAAGCCACCAGAAACAAGGTGACATTATTGCGCGGCTGATCGACCATGATCAAACTCAGAGACCAACTGCTTCGATGCTACTTGACAGCGGCGTGATCCCCGAGCCACTGGAAGATGAAAAGTTTCAACGCTACATTGACAGGATGGCGGCAGAAAATCCTGGTGAATACCAAGCGCTGATCACGAAGCTATTCGCAAACCCAAACAGCCCCGTTGCAAGTCTTGCCTGGGAGGACAAGTCGACAATCAGCACAGCCTCTGTCGACTCGATGCTTTGGATATCTACTTGCGATCAGCTGAAATCCATCTTTCGACGACATGGCGCAGTGGAAGTCGGTCGGCAAAGTATCTTCCCAAAAGCCGAGTTCTACCCACATGCCGCCACTTTTCTCGATTCTTCAGGCTTGGTCGTCCAGCTACCATATGATCTTACTCTCCCTTTCGCTCGCACGCTTGGACAAAGTCCTCCTAATTACAGCAAGACCTACTGCTTTGGTACCGTGTATCGAGCTGCTGCACCAGGTTCACAGCCAAGACAATTCCCTGAAGTTGACTTCGACCTCATATCTAACAGTGCAAAAGACTTGCCTTTGAAAGAAGCCGAGGTGATGAAGGTGCTTGACGAGGTTCTTACCGAGTTCCCTGCTCTGGCCGCACGCTGCTGGACAATCTACCTTAATCATGCTGATCTGCTCGACCTCATCCTCGACTTCTGTCGAATCAAACCAGTTGAGGCACACGATGTCAAACGGGCTCTATCACACCTCAACACTCAGGGACATGGATGGACACAAATTCGTGAGGAACTTCGCAGCCCTGCCATCAACATCGCCGAGACGTCTGTGAGCGACCTCAAGCGATTCAATTTCGACGGCGACTTGGAAAAAGTCCGCACGAAGCTGTCCAAGCTTTTCGGGGACTCGGACCATTTCAGCAAGGCGTTGCCCCTTTTGGGCCGCCTGGATGAGGTGACGAAGTACCTCCAGCGCATGAATGTCCGAACCCAGATCCTCATCGCGCCACTCAGCAACAACTCGGAGTATCTTTACCGGCGGTCGCTGCTCTTCCAGTGCGCAGACAGCGCTTCTCGGAAAGTCCTGGCGGTCGGTGGGCGGTACGACGCCCTGGTCCAAGAGTATCAGACCAAGTCTGATAAGGGGAATACCCGTGCGGCGGGGTTCCGCCTCAACATACTGGACCTAATCGGCTACGTTCGGGGCCAGATCTCCGCCCAGGCAAGCAAGTCGTCCAAGACGACAGCGAGCGCCGCGGCGGAGTCGAAGGCTGTGGCTAGGAGATGTGATATCCTGGTCACGAGCTTCGACTCCAATGCGTTGAAGAATTCGTGCCTGGAAGTCTTGTCGTCTCTGTGGGCCGCCGGGCTCAGTGCCGAGCTCTCCGAGGAGTTCCACTCCTTGGAGGAGCTGGAGATGGGCTACGGCAGCCAGAATGCCGGAGGATACTGGCTGGTGATTGTGAGGGGAGGGGCCCTTGGGGAGAGGACCTTGAAGGTCCGGGGTCCCTCTCGCTCGGAAGATGAGGTCAAGGCTGTGGAGTTGGTGAGCTTTTTGCGCCTGAAAATGGCAAAGAGTAGATAGTTTGGAGACGAGTGTCTCTCTTTTTTGTGCTTTGAACAATGAAGATACCCCAAATTCGCACCTTTGGCTGTCCTGTTTGTGTGAGGTGAGAGAAGTCTCATGCAATGGCCCACTGCACTGTCACTCTAAAAGTCGTGTGCTCCGCAGCAGTGATATACTAGTAGGGCTGCGCAGAAGTCGTCCAGCCGCCGTTCCCCTGACATGGCTATCGATAATGTTTCCTCGAGGCCACATGTCCCCACACGAAATGTCCCCCCAGACCAAAACCAAATGGCGAGTTGATGTGAGGTCTTCGAAGTAGCAATCAGGCAGGATGTTGAGCTATGCGAGCTGGCCTGTGGCTCTCCGGGGACTTAGTCTCTCCATTTTTACTCTTCTCTCACTTTATTCCTTGACTGCGCACGCTTCGAACGATACCTTGCTATGGGGTCCTTACCGGCCAAACCTCTACTTTGGAGTCCGACCACGAGTCCCCAATAGCCTGTTGACCGGCCTGCTATGGGCCAACACTGACAACTATGGCACTGCCCAGCTCAATTTCCGTCACACCTGCGAGCAGAACGAGGGAATGGCGGGTTACGGTTGGGAAGAGTATGATGTTCGAAATGGCGGAAGACAAGTCATACGCGACACGGGGAACAAGATTGATTTGACTATTGATTTTGTCAAAACTCCCGGCGGACAACACGGCGGGAATTGGGCTGCGAGGATAAAGGGCACTCCAAGAGAAGACGCGCCTGCGACACTGGTCACAACCTTGATCTTCTATGCAGGCATGGAGGGACTGGGTGAGCTTGCATTCACGAACACGGACGAGGAAGATGGAGTGGTGGCCTTGCATGGCGAGACAAGCGAGCTTGGGCAGTTCGATTTGACCTTTGAGGATTCGTCGGAGAATCTCTTGCCATACAAAACACACCCTTCTTGGGATTCCAAACCACTCGACAGGCCGGTTCTGTGCAGCCTGCAGTTACCACCGGATGCCATCTGGCAAGCCAAGAACATTGTTTTCGCGAGCATGAGGTCTGAGATCGATGGTCTCGTACAGCAGTATGGACAAGAGAACATGCCACCTCCGTGGCAGGCTTTTTCCATCCAACAACAGCCCGGTCCGGGGAATTTTCACATGGTTCAGAAGTTGTTTGTCGGCGCTTTTGAGACCGACATTCAGTTCAAATCAGTCTCTGGCCCGTCAGCATCTTCAGGATCTCTCTCGAAATCCATCTCGGATTCCTCAACTGAATTCCAAAAGAAGTTCAAAGAGGTCTTCAAGCCATTGGCGCCTTTCACCAAACCTGCCTACACTGATTTCTCCGCATCCATGTTCTCCAATCTGTTCGGCGGAATTGGATACTTCTATGGGGATTCCCTAGTCGACAGATCTTATGCTCCAGAATATGACGAGGATAATGAAGGATTCTGGGAGGAGACTGCGGCTGCACGAGCACGAGCGGAGATTGTCAAGGATCCTCCCGCCGAGCTCTTCACCAGCGTTCCCTCTAGACCTTTCTTCCCACGCGGGTTCTTATGGGATGAGGGTTTCCACCTCATCCCAATCGCGGATTGGGATCTCGACGTTACGGTCGACATTGTCAAGTCATGGTTCAACCTCATGGACCAGGACGGTTGGATTGCTCGCGAGCAGATTCTCGGCGCCGAAGCACGTAGCAAGGTGCCTCCGGAATTCCAAGTCCAATACCCGCACTACGCCAACCCACCCACGCTCTTCCTCATCATCGACCTTTTGATGGACAAAGTGTCGAGTCCCGCACATGCTACGTCCAAGGCACACATCGAAAGCGAGCTCCGAAACTTATACCCCTTGCTCAAACGCCAGTACTACTGGTTCCGCCGCACCCAATTTGGAGACATCAAATCGTACGACCGTGAAGCCTTCTCCACCAAAGAAGCATACCGCTGGCGCGGACGGACACCACAACATATCCTCCCTTCTGGCCTTGACGACTACCCGCGCCCGCAACCTCCTCATCCAGGCGAACTTCACACCGACTTGATCTCCTGGGTGGGCCTGATGTCGCGCGTTCTCGTGCGGCTTTCCACTCTGTTGTCGGAAGCCGACGACATTCCCGACTTCACGTCGCAACACAAAGCCATCCTCCGCAACATCGACGACCTGCACTGGTCATCGGAACATAAATGCTACTGTGACGCCACGATCGACGACTACGAAGACTCCGTCCACGTCTGCCACAAGGGCTACATTTCGCTATTCCCCTTCATGACCGGCCTATTGCCGCCCACCCACCCGCACTTGCCCGACGTGCTCGACCTGATCTCTTCACCCTCAGAACTATGGTCCCCCCATGGTATCCGCTCGCTCTCCAAATCCGACCCCTTCTACGGCACGGACGAAAATTACTGGCGCTCCCCAATCTGGGTCAACATGAACTACCTCATCTTGAAATCCCTCCTCGACACCATCCAATCCACCGACCCGGCACCTCCCGCCAAGATGAAATCCCAGGCAACAAAGATCTACACCGAGCTGCGCAAGAACCTGGTCGAGACCGTGTTTGGCGAGTGGCAGCGCACGGGGTTCGCCTGGGAGCAGTATAACCCGGAAACGGGCGAGGGGCAGCGCACGCAGCATTTCACAGGGTGGACGAGTTTGGTCGTCGTCATTATGAGGATGCCAGACCTGAGCGGCGGGAGCGGTGGAGGGATCCAGCATGGCGAACTGTGAAAGATACTTCCCCTCGTAGTTAGTGATTATATGGTGTCTAAGACGTCAAGTTTTTTGAAAAAGAAATCTGCTTTGGGCAGGGATGACAGGTCAATAAAAAGCGTGAATGCAGCAAGATAAATAAAAATCCAGTAGAAAATGGCTGTTGCGAGCGTTTCGCATCAAAAGAATCTCTCCATTTTCCTTGGTAGTGGTCATCCTACTAGGTGGTTTCAATCTTCGTCGTCATCGCTACCGTATGCGACAAGCGGCCCAGCTGATGCGGCAGGCTTTGAAACTCCGTTGTTGGAGCCTGTGCTCGAGGTATATCCCTTGAGAGCCGCCAGCGTTGAGCCCGACAAGATGCCGTTATTCCCCCAGGCTTGGTGACCGTTACCATCCTCCCGGCCTGCTTGCGGCGGTTCATGCTCTTCCGGGGCCGCAGTATGTGCTTCTTCGGTGGACGGCGGCCCCTGCAGGTGCTCAGCGCCAGACTCGGTGCCAGGAGGAGGCTCAAGCAAGCCTCTCTCGCCCAACTTCTGCCCCTCCAGCTCCCTCTGCTGCTGTTGCGTGAACCAAATCTCCTCGGGCGCCTCATACCCTTCCAGCCCATAACTGCTCTCGATGCGCCTTTGGTCCCTCTCTTCTCTCGTCTCGCGTCCTTCAATCTCCCTTACGGCTCTCTCGCCCAGTGCCCGCCGGACGGCCTCGGCCGCTTGCTCTTCGATCCTGGCGGCCTCTCTTTTTTGAGAGAGCGGGTTTGGATCCACCGTGGCCCATCGAACGTTCAATATCTCATTGTGGTCCAGCGCTTGGTGTGCCATTGCCTCCTTCGCAAACTGACTGTTCGCCTCGTTGACGTACGTGACGAACGCGACGCCCCGGCCTGTGAGGACGCGAATGCGTTCAATCTCCCCCCACTCTTGGAAGTGCCGGGCCACGACTTCTTCGATGTCGTCCGACACGTGGATCCTCCCGACGTACAACGTGCGATTCTGCCTCATGAAACTTCCCACGCCGCCCATGTCGTCTCGATAGTCGCTGTGTTTGTCCCGTCCAAAACAGTCAACGTTCGGGTTGAACACGTCGTATATCGTGGGTAGGCGGTGGAGGTATTGACATTCGTGACCCTTGGGACACAGTCCTCGCGCAAAGAACAGACAGAAATAACTACCCGGTGTCCTGTCCGCCGCCGTCCACCCGGAGTCGTTGCGGATATTGCACCGCGAAGGCGCAGCATGATTCGACAAGTAGGCATCCTCGCGATCACCGCCGGACCATTTGTTGTACCAGATGTTGAACACCGTCCCAGTCTGCGGAGGAGGCTCGGATTTTATCGTCGAGGGGTCGACTTGGGGCCGCGCAGGCCGGCGCTTGCGGCGAATCAGTTTTGTCTTTTTGGCGGGAGGCTCCTCGTTCGAGGTCGCGGCGAGAGAAGTTTCATTATTTGTCGTTGTGAGAGCGGTGCTGGTTGAGTCGGTGGTGGCGAGCTCTGCTTCGGCTGGGGATGCGGAACGTTTTCGAGAAGGAGAGGGAGATGTCAGTGTCGTGCGGGCTTGAACGACTTCAGCCATTATCTATGGCTCTTCACGGCAGTTGGTTTTGTTCAGGATGTGAGAAATTAAGAGGTGTGCTGGATCTCGAAAGTTGAATCTCAAATGCGCAGCCGACGCAATTGCAGTTGCAGGTGAAATTTCGTTTCGCATCTTGCTTACATGATCAACCCTACGAATTCTGCGGAGCACTAAGCATTTCAAGCGCATTTTGCCATCTTGTCGTGCTGTATTAAATTTTGGCACTGTTCGGAATCAGAAAGACATAATCCTGTTCGTCCTTTCGATCAGCTGGCCTCTTTCACCCTTGATTCAAGCCTTCCGGATATTTCTATGCTACTGCTTTGACAGAACCATGGTGCTAGGTCCTGGGGCGGCTTTCAAGAACGTCTAGTCCACGTCTACTAGCCGTCGTGGTCATGGGTAAGAGGAGGAAAGAGGCTCCAGATTATTTCTTCGACTAGAGAGATTCCTGAGACGGTGTTGTCTCATGTCTCTCGCGCTCAGGCGCGGCTTGAAAATGGCGGCCTCTCCACCAAAGGACCCCTTGATTATGATCATCGGTGCAACCGGCACCGGCAAGTCGAAGGTGAGTTTCTATCCTTGGTGGGGAGAAATGTATATCATGCTGGTGGGGAGAACTAATCGCCACAGGGAATAGTTGGCGGTCGAATTAGCCACCAGATTCAATGGCGAAATCATCAATTGTGACGCTATGCAAATGTACAAAGGGCTTCCGATTATCACCAACAAGATCCCCGAGAATGAGCAGAATGGAATCCCCCACCACTTGCTCGACTTCATCGGCCTCAGGGAGAAACTATGGACGGTGCAGCAGTTTGTCAAGGAGAGCTCGCGCATTATCGACGAGATTCGAGCCAGGGGTCGCCTTCCGATAGTGGTGGGCGGGACGATTTACTACACGTTTTCCTTGCTCTTCGAGGATGCTATCCTTACTCCCCACCAGGACGAGCAGCGGCCAAAGCACGATGCAATGGAGAAAGACGAAGAGTTTCCCATCCTGTCGGCTTCGACGGAAGAGATCTTCGCGAAACTGCAGGAGGTCGATCCTGAGATGGCGAAGAGGTGGCACCCTAAAGACCGAAACAAGATCCGGCGATCTCTCCAGATATATCTCCAGAGTGGGAGAAAGGCTTCCGATATATACGCTGAACAGCGTCAAGCTTCGTTGGATGATCGGAACAGAGTTACTGCGGACAGCACCGATATGCATGGTGGTGGCATCCTGGGCGATCGTAAAATGAAACTACGATATGCAAGTCTGATCTTATGGTTGGAAGCCGAGGACACCGTGTTGAAGCGGAGACTGAATGACCGAGTTGACACCATGGTTGCGAACGGATTGTGTGACGAAGTTCTGCAAATGGCAAAGTTGGAAGAGGACTTCAAACAAGAGGCAGAGCCAGTTGACCTCGCTAGCGGCATCTGGGGATCGATTGGCTATAAAGAAATGAAGCCCTGGCTCGAGTTGCACCAAACGTTGAATCCCGATCCTGCAAAAGTAACGGTAGCAGAGCGTGAGGGTATAGACACTGTGAAAGCGAGCACCAGACGCTATGCTAAACGTCAGAACCGATTTGTTCGCCTTCGGCTGGCAAAAGCTCTGAGCGCTGCCGGCAGGCTTGATCTACTGTACCTTCTCGACTGCACTGATCTAATCCGGTGGGAGACCGCCGTGACAGAGCCAGCACAAGCGCTTGTGGACCCTTTCCTCAAAGGAGACGAACTACCCAAAGCGAGGTCCCTCTCGACCATGGCGGAGAGGGTACTCTCACAGATTGAGGAGTATGATGATGATGTCCGCGAAGCCAGAACCTGCCAGGTGTGCCAGAAGACACTTATGACTGGTAAAGAGTGGAGGGCACATCTTACCAGTCGCAGCCACAAGAAGGTTGTCGCCTGGCACCGCAACCGCCAACCCGTGGCGTTCGGGGAAAGTGACGGAAGCCAGCAAGTACAAATACCGACTTCTCCAGGTTGATGCTTGATCCAACTCAGTTGATGTTTACCGGAGCCTTACAGTGGCGAAGGGCCACCGCTAGAAGACCGTTCATGGAGGTTCGGATGCCGCCGGTCTCACTTCGTCTCTAAGCTCCTGCAAATGTAGCTGATGGGATAGCAGGCCGTTGGTACGCCACTCGACAAAAGCTGACGACAAGATGTCGCCGTGCCCTGATTCTTCCAGCTTGGAGACCTCCAGCACAGAGGATTTTTCTCGTTTGCGGATTCGCCAAACGCCATCGGAAGTGATGATAGTTTTCAGCCCTGCGTCGAAGTTAGCAGCGCCCGAGCATGTCTAAAGATGTGCTCACACTCGAGGAAGCTTGCGGCAAAGTTGATGCAGGTTTGTCCGTCCCACAAACCCTTGCCCTTCAACTTGACATTATCTGGAATATTCTGTACGTTCAACTCTTCAAGGCGCTCCAATGTGCCTTGCTGATCTCGATAGCCGACGATAATCTTGGGTACTCCCAGCAGGAACGATTGTGCCCAAAATTTCAAGAGTTTCCTCTCATATTTGATTTGCTCTCTCTCGTTATTGATCTTGGCCGTCGTCTTGAGCTCCACCCAGTCGATCGGCTGCGACTTGTCTTCCGGCTTGAAGGCCATGACGGCGTCCACTTCTCCACCAAGAATCATCTTGACTTTGCCGAAGCCAGTCCGGACGATGGAACAGTATTGAGCGTGGTTGCTAACCATCAGATCTTCCCGGGATTCGATGTACTCTCGAGAGGTCTCCGGCCATGGTGTCGGCATCAAGGACAAAGTCTCGAACTTGTATCCCCAGAAACTCATAAGGTCTTGGGACATGGCGCCCGGCCGTCCCGCAGATGAATACTGCTCATTGCGGGAAGAAATCTTCTTGGTGTGATTTTCCTCAATGAAGATGGTGCCTTGGAATAAGGTGGCGTTCATTTCCCAGTCATCCAGTTTGGAGAAGGGAACTATCATCAGCTGTCTGGGCCATGAGCGAGTCTTTTGCAGTTATGTCAAGCATATCACACCTTGGTCATCATCCCTCTCCATGTCAGGAAGTCAATTTCCGTTTTGGAGCCTTTCTCTTTCTCGTACGCTATAATCGCTTCCAGCAGGCCGTCCAGATGGTCATCGTCAGAGTCATCGAGTTGCCGGAACGTCTCGAACCCTTTGTTGAGATCGCAAGGCAGGGCAGGTGGGTAGTAGTAACGAAGGCTCGAGGCGTCTAGCCGAAATTTGTGATCCTCATCAAACGAAAAGAATGCGATCTCCTGAAATCCTCTCAGACCGTGCGATCAATATATGTTAGAGCACACGTACCCTTGGCCTTCGAATTGCCGCACTCAAGCCCGCGAAACGAGCCACCGGCTCAACACTGAAGTTGTGTTTCTGAGCCATTACCACGCCCCAACTGTAACGGAAGCCTCTTGGGAAAACATGTCGTCCGGCCCAGAGTTTCCTGAACGAAGCCGCCACGAGATAGAACGAAATACCACAACCTCTGTGCTCTACATATGACATGGAGAATGAGCAAAACGGGCTTCATCGATGAAAGCTGTGACCACGTGAGAGCGCGATCCGACTCGCGTCGCGTGGTGAAATTGACGTCACATGTTGACCGCAAAAGGGGAAAGGTCTAACCATCAGGGCTGGAAGATTCCAGGATCTCATACTTGTAATCACTTCTCCTCCTCTGAGAGGTCTTTGGATTCCGCGAAAGATACCTCCACCAGCAGGAGATGGCAGGCAACAAACGGGCATTGAGCCAGACGGACGGCAATGCCACCCGATCACAACCACCTTCCAAACGGAAGTCGCAGCAACCAGCGGCAGGCAAAGAAAACGAAATTAGAGACTATGCGAGGATGAAGAAGCTTGAACTTTCCGGCCTCCTTCGAGAACGCAACTTGCCGTACACTGGCACCAAAGAAGTTCTCGTCCGGCGACTTGAGGAATCTGATGGGAGCCACCTTTCTGAGGTTACATCGGAACATGCAACTGGGGAGGTGTGTCTTGACCATTCGACTAAAACACCTCTTGTGTCATTCGCTTACTTAGATAGGGTCATGCCGCTGCACAGCCTGCCACGAGTGAGTTCGAGTACATAACGCTCTGCAGACCGCTGGAGGACATTCGCCCGGAAAAAAGGGCAAATAACTTGGATTTTGATGACTCTGAAGAACTCAATGAGGATGAAGACGACGAAGACAATGGACAGCACGGAGGCGCAGAAGTTACAACTGGAGCCACTAGCGAGGGTGGTCAACGCAAATCAGTCTGTGGCATGAAGCAATGCGTATGCAAGCTTCCGGCAACCGAGCTTCCAGGGCATCCATGGATACTTACAACCAAAGGGTATTCTTTGATAGCTCGTCTACAATGGGAGGTAGATGTGAGGGATCAAGACGCGGTTGGGGAGCATTTCTTCTCTGATTTCAGTGGATATGGTTTTCAAGAGGTGATGGAAAACCAGGTGAGTCCAGAGTGCAATCCGGGATTCGTTGTGCTTCTTGCTGAGCTCTGAATGGATAGCTTCTATCCTTCAACCGCGAATTCTCCAACAAAGGAGGCGCATCGCCTGCGGCATTATGGTCGATCATTGAAGGGTTCGCCTGGACTCTGTACGACCCGAGTTGCTGGTTCAATATTGACGACTCGGACGGGTTGTTGGCGACGCTTCAGCTCATTGGGGGCGCGGTCTTCACGACCCTAAACACCTTCGAGAAGAATGGATTGCTGCGCCCTAATTCGCCGGTGAAAAATATCGCGCTTGTGCTGGGTGTTCTGTATGACAACATTCGAGCTTGGCCAGGCGACGAAGACGAGCCGGAATTGGAATGGCGCGGGGCCATGGTCAGAGAAGCCCGGCAGCATGGCATTGAGGTCAAAGGGCAACCTTATGGCATCGAATCGGTGCTCGAGAAGGATGGAGTAGATGGGACGCTTGACAGCGAAGCACACTCAAGGTGGAAGAAGTTTGACTGGGCCAAAGAGGTAAGTCTGTGACTATCTACGCGCCCAAGCGCCACTTACTGACGCTTCCAAAGTTCAGGGCTTTCTCCAAGAAGTACCGAAAAGGATCGGCAATTGGTGGGCGGCAATACGTCCTGGAGTCTGAGAAGGATGTGACGAGGGCGCGCAAGACCTTCCGTGCGTGGGATTTCTGAACTCTCAGTAGCGGCTACTCGAGGTGCAGTGTAAGATTATGGTTGTGTATACATACTTCTACTTGTGACATGCAAAACTGCTGTTCATATTCCCATTTGTATGCTTCCTCCTTTGCATCGCACCCAAAAAAGAAGGGTATCACTGGCAGCCTGCTGCTGTTCAACCGCCCTCCATGGTAGATGAACTACGTCCACTTATCTCGCTTGCAGATGGGTGCACCGAGAAACTAATCTCTCAACTTAACCTTGACATTGATGTTGGACTGGAACATTAACCATCGATTCGCAGTCTTCCACTCGCTGAGCAGATCGAAATCAAGATGGCGAACGAGCTGTGGGACAAATTTCGACATCTCCATTAGGGCAACGTTCAGGCCTTGACAGGCTCGGGGACCGACGCCAAACTTCGGGGTGCCCATCAGCAACCCTCCTCGTCTATTCAAAGACCAGCGGAACTTACAGGCATGTAATACCGATTCATAGCGGTGGTATTACCCTCAAGCCAGCGCTCTGGTCGGAAGACATCCGCATCGGGCCCGAAGACGTCCTTGTTACGGTGGGCGACCCAATTGTTGATGCCGACAACGGCTCCTTCAGGGAAGTATGTCCCAGCAATCATGGCGCCACCCTTTGGGACAACACGAAGTAAGGGCAGCCTGAGATTGCGGTGAGTGAAGCTCAACGGATAATGGGAGTCAACATCTTACCCGGTGCCAGGATACAGTCTCTGTCCTTCTTTTATCACCGCCTGACAGTAAGGCATCTGCTGGGACTCGTGGAATGAAATAGGGTCTGAAATCGACCCTGCTTTAGCCATATCGTCGATCTCCTTGCGCAGCTTGTCAAGACACCGCCGATTCTTCAGCAGATAATAAATGATAGCGGATAATGTGATCCATGTGGTATCAGCGCCAGCCACGATATTGCCAAAGGCCCCAATCAGGACATCCCAGTCTGTGAAGGTGGCGGGATCCCTCTGCTGGGCAGCCATGAACTGTGCAAGCATGTCCTTTCTATCGTCCAACTTCTCCGCTTCCTTCCTCTGCGCGATACGCTTCATGGTATAGGCGATGGTGTAGTCAACTTCACCTGCACCTGTCCCGGCGAGCCAATTGACTATTTTGAACAGGATTGGATGCAATTCCGGATAGACGCCGACAAAAGCAACATAGGGCATTCGTTGATGGAGACTCTCACTGATACCTCCGATGTCTTCACCCTTGTCAAGGAACCCAAAACGTTCAGAAAACTGAGTGTCGTCAGTCAATACAGCCGCCATTCGGAGCTCTGGAAGGAGCACACCGTTATATGGCCTTGACAATCAAACGCCCAACAAGAGAACCAGTGAGTTAGGTCAACAGTTTCGCCTGATTTGGCGAAGGCCTGGAGCTTCTCGATTAAGAGCTCTCCACATTCATCGATCAACGGCTCGAATGAAAGTACCGACGACATGGCGAAGGCTTGTGCGTAATTCCGACGGTATCGAGCAGCATCCTTGTTGTCTTGGGTGCTGAAATTGGTGGTGGTGCCAGGAGGACAAGATGGCCCATACCACTTCGACTTGATCCACGGATTTGAGATGGTGTAGATGATTTTGATAGCCTCGGGGTCATCGATACTGTATGAGTTGGGCTCGAGGCGTACGATTTTGCCTGGAGCAGATTGCATCAGAAGAGTAAGGGCAGAGCAGTGTGTGGCCACTCACCATATTTTCTATGCAAGGCGATGTTCACCTGCTCAAAATCACCTCTGACAAGGGCCCTCAGATACCACAGGCGGGTGAAGCGGGCGAGTAATGGTCCCGGGGCGGATGGAAGTTTGCTAGTAGCAGACCAAAAGAAGAAGTACAGCAACCAAGCCAGGAAGAGTGCTGACAGACCAACCAAAGCTGCTTTGTACATGTCGATGGTAAGACTAGAAGAATCAGGGCGTGTCCGCTCCTGACTCTTTCTCTTGCCTATTCTTGTTCTGCCTCTTCCCCAGTGAAGAACCAGGCTGTCTGGCAGTACATATACAGCGCATGGAGAAGATAGGCGTCAGCCGGGCGGTTGGGAATTTATGGAGAGGAAATACGCCCGGCGCATTCTGGAGGGCTTTTCTGCCTCTCCAATCCCCTCTGCAAGTCTCCTCGATCCTTCGATTGCTTTTTGGCCGCATTTCTGGTGGTGCATGGGGATGCAGGCCTACGGGAGAGACTTGCATTGGCAGAAGCATTGGGCAGCTCCTTAGGTGCAGTTCATGCGCCATGGCTGCATCGGCACCATGCACGCCTCGAAGACTAACTTCTGACCCGGGAGCGGTCCCCGTCGGGTCCCGCCATGATAGGCCGCTGAGCTAGGACGGGGGCTTTTCCACGCTGGATGCTGTCCCCTAGACTGGGTCTAAACAGCATCGTAGCCACTCGGAACGACCTCTTCCTGCTCCCCCATCGTGTCCGCACGGAGGGGCCAGTTAAACGTGGCAGATGAATGAAGAACTCACGGTGGTCTTCCATTCCGTCAGCTTTCTGCTTGTGCAGGGTATGGTTGCAATTCCACCGTCATCCGACTCGAAAATATCTCGAGGCTTGAAATCCTAGCGTTACTGGCGCTAGGCTGCTCGCCGAATGATTTATATACTCATGGACTGTCCTTCGCTAACGATTCGATATCCTTATCTGGATCATATCCGCTATGGCCACCACTGGCTCTGACCCAAACGAGCCGCGCACCTCCGTCTCGATCGACACTGCTGTCAACGAAGACGTGACTATACTTGTGGACGAAGAGGTGATTACACGTTTGGTGGGCACAATATCAATAATGCGTGACTAATTGGCAATCAAGGCAACAGAGCGAGACTCGGCATACGGAGACGAGATGTATTAGGCCTTTCGTTGCGTCGAGAAGTGCATATTAGATTAACCTTATCAGATCTGCCTATACAACCTCACTTACATCGTCCGTGAACACTTTCATGATGCAGTACGGCCGGATCTATCACACCTTTCGGGATCATCAAGGGAGTTCGTCTCACCCACGAGTTGTGCCTTGTTGATTGCGATGGTAATATCCCTCCAGATATGTTGCCTAGCGACGAACAAGAAATCAACAGGCTAGATCTCCATCATGCATTGATGCTTTGGCTTCTAGGGGGCCAGCTTCATCTTGCTCCAATTGGTTCACAGCCGCAGCGAGTGCTTGATCTGGGTACGGGGACAGGCAACTGGGCTGTCGATTTTGGTAAGTCAGGAGCCTCCCTTGTCTTTCTAGTCTTCTGACAATGCTCCACCAGCCGATCTGTATCCCACGGCAGAAGTCATTGGAACGGATCTTACTCCGATACAGGCCACCTTTGTGCCCCCGAATCTAAGATTCATCATTGACGATTTTGAGGACGAGTGGGCATACGGGCAGGCGCCGTTTGACTATATCCATGGGCGGTATTTGGCCTCTGCTGTTCGAGACTGGCCGCACTTGGTCCGACAATCTTTTCAGTATGTCGATCGAACTTGTTGTGTTCATGTGTGCTCGTGGCCTTCAATACGTCATTCCTCGGAGTCTTAGCGTAAGCATGCAAAGTGTGTTTCGGGATACTGACGATATGGACATTCTAGGAATCTAAAACCTGGCGGTTGGGTCGAGTTCCAGGAATGGGATACAATGTTATATTCAAAGGATGGTTCGTTGACCGAAGAAGCGGCGCTTTACAAGTTCCATCACCATACATGCAGCCGTCGGAGTGCTGCTGGCTACGATACTCAGCCTGGGCCAAAGATTGAGGGCTGGCTTCGAGATACCGGCTTTGTTAATGTGCAGGCTATAGAATTACCCATTCCGCTGGGCACTTGGCCTAAGGACACCACATATGTGAGTGAGATGTGACCACTGCGCACGTCGCCAGGTTTCCCCCAATACTGCGGGACGCTCGAGTAGGGTTTGCTGACCAGCAAGATATCCATCTGCAGAAGCAAGTTGGAATATGCAATTACCTTCAGTTCCAGGCTGGGATGGAAGGCATTGCAATTGGGTGCTTGGTGAGGACTGCCCCCGATCCTTGGTCGATGGAAGAGGTGCAGGCCTTGCTCGCCGAGGCAAGGAAAGATATGAAAAGTCCGAGGATTCACGGACAGTACGACTTGTAAGTATGAGTCTACACGAGGTGTAAACCAACCGTCGTCAGATCACGTAACCTTGGGGAATACTGACTAACCTTTACACAATAGTTATGTGGTATATGGGCAAAAGCCGCCATCAGCTGTCCATTGATACTGGGGCGCTGAGCATCCCTGTACCTTTCTTCATTTCCATAACGGGAATAATACTCCCGGAAAAGTTCTGCTTGAAATTTGTTATGCCATACCTTTATACTATAGAGATATGTCCTAGCGCATAGTCCACTATATATATGGTGTATACTGCTAGTCGACACAAGGCTGGCAGCCATGATGCTGACTTTGTATAGGCATAGCGACGCGGTTATGGTGTTAGTTACAAGAAAAGCGCAGAGATACTTGTACGTCAACGTGGAGACTCGATTAGTCAATACGCCATATCCCCGCCCAGGATGAAGTCTGATGTCCCTCTATGCGGATGGGATCAGATGTGTCCCACGCATAAGGACCTCCATTCACATTGTGTCCACAATCTGAAAAGCCCAGCAAAAGCCTCGCTCCTGGAGACGTGCGCCGACTTCGACTACGAAGGGCGCCGGCGCACGTTCTACATCTTGATGAACTCGATCGTTTGACGATGATCTTCGGGCGAATGCATAAGCATCATGAGAAATAGCGACGTCATTTTCGCCCTCGAGGTCGTCGAAGCCTTGCACAGCCAGGAAACGGCCGCTGTCATGATCTTGGTATCCATGCATGTTGCCACCGGTACCTAGTATTCAGGCGCGACAAAGCGCCTCACCTTGGCACCTGTTTGGGACAGCGGCCTGACGCTTTAGTCAGGACTCCTTAACCTCAGCGGTTAGGATCGACCTATTGACCTTTGAACCTACTATTCCCTTTGCCTATCTACTTCTAGGCCTTCCTTACAGATTCCTAGCCGACGAGGAGGTTGGGGCGGGGTGGGCATCACCGTGTGCCAAGTTGTCCAGGCCCCTCGGGTGGCCAAATCACAATCTTCCAGGATTGGCGGACACGGTGCCACATCCGCAGCCACCGGGCATCTAGACCAGTTTCTCCTGATAGACATAGCACCCGTGCGCAGTTCGCAGTTATGGCGAGCCAATCGAGAGTTCTCGTTTTGGGAAAACACAATGAGTGATATGTCTTCAGCCGCACAAGTCACAAGCGCGTGTGCAGAGCTGTGCAAGCCGCGTGGTGCAGACTTTGCAAGAACAGGATAACCAGAAGACCCAGTAGGTCCGTCAGAGCTGCACAGCTGAAAGATACTACGCTTCTTTGAGACAGTGAGGGACCTGTTGATGCTAAAACTAGGAAGAAGCAGTGGTAGGCCGACTACGGCAAAGCTGGGGGTTGTGACCTGTTTGCACAGTGAAGTCCATGTATTTCCGGGCGGAACACTGTTGTCGAAGTACATGGGCACTTTCTAGCAACGACTCCACAGACGAACATGCTGCGTGGTGCAGGGCATCGACTTCAGCTACGCCTTTTCCATTCAGCTACGCCACAAAATTCCCCGCGAGCCTAGACCACTTCTCTTCTCTACACCCGTCTTCAACCCCGAATATCGCGCAAATCAAACAGACGTGATAGCCAAGTTGGCTCGATGGGGTGAGCCAGCTGCAAGCGTCACTACTGTGCGCTGCCGTGAAAATTTGGCCGTACAAAGCAGGTACAGAATGTAAACACTTTCCGGCCTCGATGGTGGGACTGGTCTACCTCCCTACTCCTCCGCCTGGATACCCTGATCATGGATACCAGAGATTTTGAGAAGGGCCCTGTGTCTACATCAGCCCCTTCTGCAGTACCTTCACAGGCTTCGTCTTCTCCTGACAAGGCCATCATCAAGGAGCCCAGCGGGCACACACCTCTCCAGCTTTTCCAGCTGCTGATCGGCATATCTACGCCACCCTCCCTGACTCACGATGGTGTTGATCTCGGCAGAGCCTCCGAAGCAAAGTCGAAGCGAGTTCGGACGGATAACATTGGTCTCTATCAGCGTGCCAGACAGGAGGAACGGGCAAGTAGAATCGCCTATCTGTGCACAAGCATTATCAGCAACACTTTGTACATGTTTCAGATCCTTCTCGCAGCGACGTTCACGGCACTGTCTGCGTACAAGGACTCGCGTCGTGTAACGTTGACTGTGCTGGGAGCCTTGAATACTGTTTTGGCTGGGTAAGTCCCCCCAAGGGCAGAATTCCACGCAGGACCACCCACGACTGACTTTGTTTTCGATCATAAGTTGTCTAGCCTGGCAGAAAGGCCAAGGGGTGCCACAACGATATCGCAAGGCTCAGGACCAGTATCAGGCTTTGATCCTCGAGATCGAGATGGCGGAGCGATCATTCTTGGACCTCGAGTACAACGGTGATCAAGGCGGCGGCGTCAAGCTTGATCCGCGAACAGAGAAGGACAGGCTCCAGAAGCTATTCGACACAGCGAAAGCTGATCAGCAGGCAAATTATCCAGATCTGTATGTCAGCACGGGCGCCGTCGCCGCAAAAGACTCCAAGGAGCTGAAAAAGGAGCTGGAGGACGCAAGGGCAGAAACGGCCAAGGTGCAGAGCGAAATGATGGCCAAGATCGAGGCGTTGATGGCTAAGCTGGCGACTAAGGTCGATGGCCCGGTTGAGGAGGTTGTTCAAAGTGCTGCGAAGGAGTAAAACACGGACGGTTCCGTGTCTCCAAAACTGCACCCTGAATGAAACAAAGCTTCACCACCAGAATGTCGACACCAGTCCACCTCCTGTGAAACGTGCATCCGCGCCGCTTTTACTCAGGCTGGCTCACGCCTGGCTCAACTGCTGCCCAGGGCCAGCCAGCTCAGCCTGGCCAGCTGCACCTCTGGTGTCTGGCTTACTACACCGTGGCAGCGGTGATCCAGGTTCGTCCCTTCTTCAGTCTGTCAAGTTTCAAAGAGTGCCCAAAGGAAGGCTCTAGAGGGTTCCTGGGAAGGCGCCACGGCATATTCTCTCCTTGACCCTGCGAGGCCGAGTCGAGACGGCCTTCACGAGAGTGATAGCCTCGCACCACGTATGCCTGTGTCCTTGGCCTGAGAGGGTTTCCAGAAACAGGTCCATGCCGCTCTCTCCTCTCCTCTATGCCGACCAATACACCGAGTGACCTTGATCAGTTAGCTGGATTCTTTCTCAATAATTCTTTTCGCCTTTATCCGACCATCCTGCCGCCGAACCAATTCAGACAAATATAGTCTAAAAACCACTAGGAGGAAAAATGCCAAGAAGTATTTTATAATACTTCCATCGATGCAGTACCAGAGTAGCCAATAATGGTATTGTAGTAGCCCGTTTCAGTACCCGAGGTATTGTATTATTGGAAACCACCCTATTTGGGAGCCGATGCCGAGGTGAACAAATTACGAAGATCTCAAACCGGTTTTGATTTGTGTTTGGAAGAAAGCCGACTTGGATGGGCCCGAGTATCTGATAGCACAAGGTACGAAATCTGAGCGAAGCCGCACCGTGTCAAGATGACCGTCGTTGTTGAAAGTCAAGGACTACCGGTTTTTAACGTCTCTCATGCTGTGTGCTGCACATCATTGTCGATGCACTACAGTACCAAGAAAAAGCTCCAGTTAACTACCGAACTTTTGGGAATTCCGGGCGACGTTACGTTCATTCTCAAGCCCTGCGGGACGCACATTTGAGGGTCACCTATTGTACGATCGCGGCCGAGTCTCAGGCAGTGAATGCGAAGGGGAAAGGAAGCCCCGTTTCACAAGGTAGCCGGCTCTTTGCTCTGCGTCTCTCAAAACATGGTGGATGGAGACGACCGTGCGACTTAGCCGCTTTGAAGACCAGGCGTATCCCAGGTCCCCCGTCGTTTTAAAGTTGCAAACATCTTTTTCGGGTTATCTTTCAAATTATAGACTACCATTCCATTTTCCTTTTGCCTCATCTGAAAAGCCCCGAATCTTTTCGTGGCTCTCTCTCCCTCTCTCAAGAGATTAGTTGGGATGATTTGCATCAGGGAGATTGAAACCGCTCTTACCACTTCCAACTTTCCCTTGCTGGCATTGAACTTAGTCCTAACCAACCTTCGTGATTTGTTCGTCGACTTTGAAGATGTCATGATCCTGGGCCAGATCTTGCTCGTTCATCTGATGAATGTCGACGGTAGCAATCTCGTCGCCGAAAAGCTTGGGTATTTCCTCAAGAGGGATATTTTTCGTCTATAGCCAGTGAACCCCACGATATTAGCAATCTGTTTGTAGCGAGTGAGAGAGGAGGGGTGACGCAGGAAGAACAGACCTCCGGATAAATGAAAAAGACCACAATGAAGCAGACAATACAGTTCGCCACAAAGACCATGTAGAACTTCCAACCAATGTGTTCGAATCCGATAGGCGCAGTCTGCGTCCACAGGATGGTTGAGGCATAGGAGAAAGCGAAGGAAATACCACATCCTAGCGCGCGAATGTGATTTGGCCAGATTTCGGCAGTAAAGACCCACGAGGCGGCATCGATGAACGTTCCATATATCTATTTTGGTTAGCGGGTGCGCCAGCGAAGGGGGGAGAATGCTTTATACAAAAGCAAAGAAGTAGAGGAAGAAGATCCCTCCGCAAGCGTAGCTTGTGTTGGCAGTTTTGACAAAATACTTGGTAAGCGCCCCCTCTCCAGATAGTGCAATACCTAAAAAGAAAGAACCGATGACTGTGAAATACGTCAGCTTAGGGACTCAATCGCAGCGCGAGGTAACCGTCAACTTACGAAACATCCGCTTCCTCCCCAAACGGTCGATCAAGAATGGAGCAAGTGCGTTGAATGGGATCGTGACAGAGATCCATCCTGCGGACAACAAGAGTGCATCACCACCGGTATAGCCGAGTGAGTTGTACAAGAGCACACTATAGTTGTTGATAACCAGGATGCCCATGCCATTGGCACTCCATAAGATGAAGCAGGAGAAGAATAGACGCTTTAGGTTGGACTTCTTCGTAACCACCGACCATTTCCCCTCCGCCTTTCTCAGTCTAGCGTCAAGCTCACGCTGCTTTTTAATCTCGACAGCCTCGAGCTGTGCAAAGTGTTCGGTGTCAGGACTATTTTTGTCGGGATGCAGTTTGGCTAGGAGCCGGACACCTTCGGCATCACGGCCATGCTCGATCACTGGGAGGTCGCAGAGACGTCAACATACAGATGATTCATCAACGAAGCGGCCAGTCCGACTTACACCAGCGGGGCGATTCAGGCAAACAAAATGACACTGGCACCATCACCACGGCCAAGAGACAGCCGACAGAGATTGGAAATCGAAATCCGAACGTGCCAAGGGCCTTCGACTGCGCGAAGTATGCACCATAGCCGATCCATGATGAGCAGGAGTATCCCAGAGCAGAGAAGACTCCTCCTTGGGCGACCAGGAAGCCTCGGAAGGACGGGGGCGAAATCTCAGCCTGGTAGACGGGAATGGTGGAAAACAAGGATCCGCTGCCGAAGCCAGTAATGACACGGGCGACCTGGTACATAGGTACGTTCGTCACTCCGGTTTGTAGGGCGCTGCCTATGATGAGGAAAAAGAGCGACGCCCATATCGTCTTCTTACGCCCGAACTTGTCGCCGACGGCAGTGAGGATGGCGCAACTCACAAATGCACCTAGAAAGTAGATGGCATTGGAGGTCGAAATCACCGTCGTCGTGTGAGAAGATGTGGGATCCAGGCCAAGAGTCGAATAGAAGGTTGGTTGACCCAACGTGCTAGAGATGATGGCTAAAAGCCACAAAGAGGTTAACACCTTGATCAACTGTATTGTTGTCACTCTGCGACACGTACCATTGTTATAGGCCGCTGTGAAGATGCCGAATCCCGCCAGCCAGATCAACCGCAGGTTATACCAACTCCAGTTCTCTTGGATATCCTCCATATTGTTCAGCTTGCGGTTGTTCGCCCCGATTGGAGTGTCCTTTTTTCCGGTGCCTTATCAGGTGGCTGTGAAAGAAACAGTCAGAGAAAAGTGACAGAAAAGAGAGCTATTGTCTGCGGGTCATGTCGATCTAACTGGGCGGCCTGGCGACCATAATATCAGTCTTGAGGAGCACATGCCCAGCGTCCCTCGGGGATAGAGAGGGGCAATAGCCTTGTCCAGGCAGATTACCAAGGCAACCTACCGTACCCTCGGGTTCCTCTTGCATGACTTGGGTGTCACCTGCCGAGGGCGGGAACATGAGCCGGTATAAGCTTGTGTCCTCGAAATGCAGCCGGATCAAGTTTCTGGTCCCCAGCAACTCCACGTGTGTTTCAGCGTGGAGCCCGAGAATTGTCATGGCGGCATCCGTACAAGGGTATCATCTCGGCTATCAGTCTTCCTGGTGAAAAGATGCCAAGTCCTGATCGACCAGCCTTGAAGTCAAGATAGAGCTAAAGAGAAGCAGCCACCAAGACCTTGGCGACACCTGGCCCTGCCTCGGAAATTGATGTCCCCGAATGTACGGCTACTCCACGTTAACCCCATGGGGAAGCCGCCTCAGATACAGAGAAAGCTTAAGGTCTATATTGTCTGATTTCACTAACCAGATCGCTCCGTTCACGGATGACTGAGTAACTAGCGACTGCTGCTGACTGCAGCCCTGGCATCGCTGCTTCTTAGAGGTAAAGCTGGGAATTGAGTCTCTTCTTTTACGAATGGTTGACCATCCTTGACGAAGAAACTTCTTACAACCAAAAATTCCTGGACAACATCTTCCAACAGTATACTGGCGAGATCCGGGCTCGGGCTCTGAACTTGGTATCCCTAAACTAGCAGAAGACGTCCATCCGGTCCCTCGGCTGGCCAGCCTCGGTGGGCTACCAATGTGCTGGGGTAGTATGGGGTCCGAGGTCCGGGGAACTGGGGAGTAAGTATTTACATTCAAAAAACGGCTTCCCTTCAAACACACCTTCCCAAGCAAGACAGGTCAGTGCGGTATCTCCTAGTGGATAGTTGCTCTCTACAATATTCTTTACAGAGTCATTAAAAATGGACCACAAAGTCGACCTCGAAGCTACTAAGGTGGAAGAGGTCGGGAGAAAGTCAGACAGCCAGGAGCTGGAGCTTGAGCTTGTTGATACTGACCCTGACACCATCCTCGCTGTTGATCTTCAAAATAAGAAGGCCGTGAAAGGTGACGATTCCGACGGGAAGGTTGACTGGAACTGGAAGCAGCGCATTGCTGTTTTCTTTCTCATTTGGCTCTATACAGGTAAGTATCGAGACACAGAAGAGCTTAAAATTAGCACATCTAGATGCTAACATTCATCAAAATAGGCTCTCAAATCCCCGCCTACTTCATCGGCGGGCCCCTGAGCTACATATCGGCCGACTTAAGCGGCACAGTTGCTGCAGGATGGCTGCCGGTCACGTACGGTTTATCTGCCGCCGCCGTGATCCCCATGTGTGGATATTTCCAAGATATGATAGGTCGCCGCTATGTGTGTCTTGCTGGAAATGTTGCGCTCCTGGTTGGCTGTCTCATCATGGCATTGGCACACTCGTTCAGTGTGGGTATTGTCGCGATGTCGATTTGTGGTGTTGGTGCCGCCATTGGGGAAATGACCGCGTTAGCTGGGTAGGTTTTCCTGAAAAAGTTTCAATCAAGGAGTACTGACGAACTACGTCTTAGCACGTCTGAACTTGTGCCTGTGAAACGTCGTCCTGTCTATGTTGCCTTGTTGACAATCATGACTGTCCCATTCTACCCCTATGTCATGGAATCGCAGTTATTGGCTAGAGACGTCAGCTGGCGTTGGGGGCTTTGGATATGTTTGTAAGTTACCGTCGGATGTGATATATGGCCTCCTGACCTTGAAGCTTACAATCCTGACCAAAAGCATCTGGAACGCGATGAGCTTCGTTGCCCTGCTTTTCACCTACTTCCCTAGGTCGCAGACCCGAGCCCACACCAAGGACTTGAGACAACTCTTGACTAAAATCGATTACCTTGGCCTTTTCACATCCTTTGCAGGATTGGTCCTTCTGTAAGTTCATCTCATTTTCCATCCAAGGGCCAAAGCTTATCAGTAAATAGTCTCGTCGCTCTCGAGGCAGGAGGCTACAGCTACCCCTGGAAAAGCGCCCGTGTCATCTGCCCACTTATTATTGGTGTGCTTCTAATCGTTGTTTTTGTTGTATGGGAGTGGAAGTTTGCTCGATTCCCAATGGTGCCCGGTGCACTCTTTAAGGGACAAAAGCTCGTGACTGTTGGATATCTCATTGCAACGGTCGCAGGTATTCTCCACCCATTCATGTTTCAATGTTGCCGTGTCTAACCATTTGACAACTAGGCATGAACTTCGCTGCTCTCCTCAACCTCCTCCCTACTGAATGGGCTGGCGTTTGGGACCCTGATCCAGTCCAGGCAGGTATTAAGGGCTTGATCGCTTCCTTTGGTGTCGTCACAGGGGCAGTCTCGGGAAATCTAATTCTCCCAAGAGCAGGACGCTGGACCCGGGAACTAATGATATTCTATGTTGTGCTAATGAGTAAGATATCCCTTCATTTCTACCCTTTTAGAGACATTTTCAGGCTGACAGACACAGCTGCATTCCAAGGTGCGTTCTCAATCGCAAAGCCAGATAATGCAGCAGTTGCGGTTACCCTTGCCGCAATTGGCTGCATTGGAGTGGGAGGCGTTATCACTCCATCAGCTACACTCGCCATGATGGCTTGTCCCGATTCACTGCTCGCAACTTGTGTGGCACTCTCACTGGCGATCCGCACTGCGGCTGGCAGCATCGGCTATGCCATCTACTTTAACGTCCTTGAGAACAAACTCAAAAACACGCTGCCGACAAGGGTGGCGGAGTTTGCTGTCGCAGCAGGACTTCCAGCTTCCGAGGGCGCAACCTTTGCGGGCTTATATCTCACCACGCCGCAGAACGCGACCAGTCTACCTGGTGTTACGGCAAAAGTGCTCGAGGCAGCTGTGATAGGCGTCAGATGGGGCTATTCAGACGCTTTCAAATACGTTTGGTACACCAGTATCCCCTTTGGAGTCCTTGCACTAGTTGCGGCTTGCTTCGTCCCCAAGTTGGAGAAGCATATCACCAACAGAATTGCTGCAAAGATTGACTAGGAGAGAAGGACAGGCGAATCTCGGAAGGCGTCACCCGTCTCGCCATCTGCCCCCAATTACAGGGAATTTGAGATTTTCTGTCAGTGCCCATCACTTTTTGTGTTCCTGCCTCCATGAGGAGGATGTGAAGGAAAGCGCGCAGCACAGGGAGACTCGCGAGCCGTAAGCAGGGGGTTTCGAGCTCCTCAGACCCTGTTACTCTGGGCTGGACAATGACCGCGTTTGTTGGACCGCAATTTGCATGATAGAAAGCGCGAGAGAGACTCGCAGTCCAGCACCAGTCGATTACGCCAGGTCTCGTCATGGTGTGCCCCCTCTCAAGGGCGGGCGTCAGTAACAGCGGTGATCAAGGGTTCCAGGCTGGCCTCGGGCCCCCCGGAGCTTGCCCTTAGCAGAAAAATCCTAGAGCCATACCTTTCGTGTGGCTACCTGTCGGGGTCGTCGATTCTAAGTGTACAAAATGCACTACCGTTAGCAGATCAGTACCTTCAAAACAGCGCGCTTCAATTCTATCTGTATCATAAGATTCTATTCACCCATCCAAAGACTCCATCCATACCCGTATCGATGAAAACCGCGTTACAAATGCCTGTCAGATTCGTCGTCGAGCAAGCCTGCACGTTTTCTACTCTCTTTTAGCCACGAGCGGTACCTGGAGACAGCCTGTGCTTGCACACAATCCTTTAGTTTCGTTCGGAGATCGTCCCAGTTGCAGCATGTCATTCGAGGGTCGTGAATGGGAAGAAAATCCGCGAGTTTAAATTGAGGAGACAGGTTCGTTGGAGGGACAAGAGACGTTCGACCCCCTCTTCGCCTCAGAGTCCCAGTCCTGGGGTTACGGGTCCAAATCTCCAGAAATACTGAGATTTGTCCAACCCACTGAAGTCCCTTGAATTCCGCTGGGCCATATTCTCCCTGAAGAGAGAAATGTGTTCTCGTTATCTGAGGCCCTCTCTTAGGCATATCGAGTTCGTCACAAAGATCCAAGTCGAAATCAAGTGGACATCGGTATGTTGGACTCTCCGTGATGCTGATGAGAACGGCCATAGAACATGTCGGTTGGCCGGTTAACCAGAGTCGAATGTCTTCCTGAAGGTCGTTATATTTTTCAGAAAAGCCAACCTCAAGAGCCCATTTAAGCTCGTCATGAATATCGTGTTTATTCCTCATAAAAATACCGATATCCGGAACTTTGGTTGAATCTTCATATTCTCCGGTAAACCCATCCGCCTCTAGGCCTGTACAAAGATTAATCCTATTTTGGAAGCGTTCAGGAAGGACTCGATCGAATAGGTCCTCAAAGTTTCTGCGGAGAAAATTGACAATAGTTTCGTGGAACCAGGTAGCTGGCATGTATATCTTGAGAGTTGATGTGACGGAATTATATGAAAATCTAGGCCATCTATGAATAGCACTCAGTAAAATGCTCTTAAATCAATAAAGAACGCCAAAAGAGGGAAAATGTGACTGTACCTTTCAGACCTCGCCCCGTCAAGATCGAACTCCCCACAAAGACCAAACCACTCAAGCTTCGATATCCTGCAGATAAATGGCTTCTCGAGGTCGTAGTATGTGGATCTCAATCGCGGGTCGTAGAGCTGCCGTAGAAATGTACGCGCTTGATCAATTCCGGCTGGAGACTGTTGTGTAGCTGCTGTGCTCTGCCCGGGTCGGGAAATGACAGGATAATCTAAGAGTTGTTAACGACTGGAATGGAAGAACGTGAAGGTATTCTGACCATGTCGTTGAGATATAGACGAGCCCAACCTATTCACACCGTCTTCTGAATCCATGGTTTGAGACATTGAATGAAGCTGGAAGATATGGTGTTGAACTCAAGTCTCGCCTTCGGACAAGAGGGAAGATCAAAGATGGTTGCGGTCAAGCCTCGCTTTCCGACAAGTCACAAGAGACACAGAGACAAGTGTCACCCTCGGACGTGAGAGAGACAAGAGACAAACGGGAAGCTCAGAGACGTGCTCAGTGAGCTCCTTGTAGCTCTGGGACTGGAACAACGAAATCGAGGGGTCCGAGCGGACGGCGGAATGTAATGTTGCCCGGTGACGTTCATTCCTGGGGTCCCAACGTTAGTATTTGTTCGCATACCAGTCATCAAGTCGGAGGGAATGGGTCGTCTGGACTCCCTGCTGGTTCACCACGAGAAGAATGGATTGCGGGCACCAAACGAGGGAGGGAAGTCGTGCGGGGATTGAGTTCACGACTTGTAATATGCTGCTCGTCGACACAAGGCTGGCATCGATGAGGCTGGCCCGGCCACAAGGCTGAGCGGAGCTTCTACGGTGGATCAACGCTTGGCATCCACGAAATGGGCTTCAGGCCCGCATTTACAACTTTCCACCTCCTTTTTTTCTGCTACCAAACGTCTTCATGCGGTCGCCGTTCCTTGTGAGACATATTAATCCAAAATCTATAATATGCGCCTAAAACCTTAAGTCACTACCAGCCGCCGGCGTAAGAAGTGGCTCGGCAGGACGTGTGTGAGGTTGAGCCACGCGGTTTCGCGCAAACTGCCCAACAACTCGAACCACAACCAATCCAGGATGAGCATCAGGCTTCGAAATGCCGCGCTCTTGCTTTCCAACATCGTCCTCATCGCGGCCCTTCTGATCTTTGCAAAGGGATTTTTCCCTCATAAAGCTTTCTTGCCGGGGTTAGCAACATGGCCTGCAAAGTCCGAAGCAGGCGCTCGATCGGCTCCTTTTGATCGCGTCATCTTTATGGTTGTGGACGCTTTGAGGAGCGATTTCGTCTACGGGAATACATCAAGCTTTACTTTCACCCAGAGCCTCATCAGGTCTGGCGCCGCGGTCCCGTTCACCGGCCATGCCAGTCCGCCAACCATAACAATGCCGCGCGTCAAGGCCATCACAACGGGCTCGGTGCCCAGTTTCGTGGACCTCATTTTGAATTTTGCCGAGTCGGACACGACGTCGACCCTCAAGGACCAAGACACATGGCTGGCTCAGTTGCGCGCAAGAGGCGACGGCAGCCTCGTGATGTATGGAGACGATACTTGGCTGCGCCTGTTTCCAGACTTTTTCACTCGGGCCGATGGCACGACGAGTTTCTTCGTGTCCGACTTCACCGAAGTCGACAACAATGTCACACGGCATATTCCTGCTGAACTGGCAAACCAGGACTGGTCCGCAATGACACTCCACTTCCTGGGTCTGGATCATATCGGGCACAAGACTGGGCCCAAGGGACCAAGAATGCCAGCAAAACAGGCCGAGATGGATGGGATCGTCAGGGACATTTACACGAAGTTGGAAAGTTATGACCACCTCAAATCGTGCTTGTTAGTCCTGCTCGGCGACCACGGCATGAACGAAGGGGGAAACCACGGCGCGTCCTCACCAGGAGAAGTGTCCACAGCTCTGACATTCATTTCTCCAAAGTTCAAGTCGGCTTTCGAAGGACAGTCCTGCCCCGTTGACGACGCCGTCGATTACCATTACTACGACACTGTGGAACAATCCGATATAGTCCCCACCCTCGCGGCTCTACTGGGATTTCCTATCCCGCTGAATAACCTCGGAGTCATTGTGCCGCGATTGTTGGAGCTCTGGACACATCCGCAGGATCAGTATGCTTTGCTCTACAGCAACGCAGAACAGATTCTGCGGATTGCACAAGCAACATTTCCTAAAGAGTTCAGTCAGGTGTCAACGTCAACATCAACTGAATGCCCGATCACTGACGGAGACGACGTCCAGATCCTCGCCTGTCTGTGGCAACACGTCTCAGAGCAACACCAAGCGGTGGTCGGCGCGGCTGATCAACAGCCCTACTCCGTTCCGCCGACCACACATCTCAGGTCATTTCTGTACAAGGCGCAAACCCTTCTCAGTGGCACGGCCAGCAATTACGACCTCACGAGCATGCAGATAGGCATCGGGTTCAGCGTGCTGGCGCTGGCGCTCTGCACGCCCAGCTTCGCACGAGATGTTCTCTTATCCGGTGTTGATGGGGTGATCCTGGTGGCCACAATGCTCGCCTACGCCGTGACCATGTTCGCCAGCAGCTACGTCGAAGAAGAGCATCAGTTCTGGTACTGGACCCTTGCCGGCTACCTGGTCATTCTCCACTGCAGGGACAGCCGGTTCAAAATGACCGACACTCACGGAGCCGCTCGTCCGTTATTGAAAGGCCCGACCGCCACAGCACTCGCATACTTCCTATTCGGCGTGGCTCGGCGTTGGAGACAGACGGGGCAGAAATATGCAGGCGAGGCCGACATCCTGAGCCAAGTCATCACCTCGAATTCATGGCTCCTCTGGACGCTGGTCATGCTCGTGTACGCCGTGCTTTCGCGCAATCTGAGCCATCGCGCGGGCGTGTGGATGGGCTCGCCGCAGATGGGCATCCTGCCGGCGCTGGTGTCCATCTCGGCATTCCTGTTCAAGATCGCCTTCACGGCCGCGGACGCGCCCGAACTACTCGCTTCCTTCCCGATCCTCAACCCCTTGGTGGGCTTCGTCTCACAGTACCCGCTGGTGAGCATGGCTAGGGTCGTCTTCCTGGGCCTCGCCCATCTGCTAGGTTGCGCAATCTACTTCGAGGCGCCGTGGAAGAGCGCGAGCCACCTCCAGCGGTTCCTGCCTGCCTTTCAGGACGTGCTGTCGCTGTTTCTCATCACGCAGACCCGAACCGTCTACGTGCCGCTGTTCCTGTTCTCCAACCTCCAACTCTACCTCCTCCGACGAGGCGGTCGGCAGCGTCCGGTCAGCGAGATCGCCATCCTCGCCCTCCTCTTCCAACACGCCTCGTTTTTCACATTCGGAAACACAAACTCCATCGCCACCATCGATTTATCAAACGCATACAACGGAGTCACGGGTTACAATGTCGCCGCCGTCGGGATGCTCACGTTCATCAGTAACTGGGCTGGCCCGATATGGTGGTCCTTTGCAATTTGCCAATTATTCAGTTGTCTCCATTTTGAGACCCGTGCATATTCTTTTCTCTTTACCGCTTTGGGAACGTTTGCCTGTATCCATGCCCTCTCGGTCATGGTCGCGTGTCTGGTCCTCCGAGAACACCTCTTCATCTGGACCGTCTTCTCCCCCAAGTATCTTTACACGGTGGCGTGGGTGCTGGGCCACCATACCGTCGTCAATGCATTATGTGTCGGATCGCTGCTCTGGCGAACACAAGCCTAGTTGACATCATAGCGATAGATCATCTGGCGTCATGAATAGATATAGAGTTTTGCAAACAAGGCGTCCGTTTCGACCACTCGGTCAGGATTCTACAGATGGCCATTCTGCTCTTTCTTGGAGACGCAAAACCCGTCGAAGAATTGGCCGATCCCTAGGGTATCGTCGATGGGGATCACTTTGGAGACATCTGTGGAGAGCAGGGGTCAGTACCTAGGCAGGCTTCAAGCGCAGGCGCCACGAGTCTCGTGTGTAAACGTACATTGGTCAGGGCGCACAATGACAGTGGCTCCTTTGTCCGGATCAATGCCGTACTTCTCATAAGCATGGCCATTGCCTGAGTTGTAATGCTCATCGTCAACGAAGACTTTGTGGAGATCTTCGGCAGTCGCAAAAAGAAAAAAGTCAGCAAAATAGTCGACGTCGGTCGTTCAATGTGTATTCCTCCTTACCTCTCATCTTCCACTTCCCGGTGACGGGCCAGAAATAGTCCGGGATCTGCTCCTGCTCGAGCTGTACGCGGGCGCCAGTGGCGACCACGATGGGCTCGATGAAACTGTCGATGTCCGCCGACACGGGGGTGTACTTCCGCACGGGACCGCCGGGAGATTGCATGTATTCTGCGATCTGGACACGTCTTTGGTCAGTTCCTTGTTTGGCAGCATTGGCAGCAGCAGCATTGAGAACAAGACAAGACAAACCTGATTCAATCTCGGGAGCATCTTTGGGTCTTCAATCCTGCCCACGAAAAAGATGACGCGCCACCGACCATCTGCCTTCAAGGCCCCGGCGAGCTGCACGGCTTTGACATCACAGAACCGCACGACCTGCGCCCCGGGGAATCTCATGCCGACCACAATCTCCCTTGCCAGCTCCTGCGTACTGCCCGCGCTGGAGGTCACGGCAGAATCCTCATATTTCGAAGTCAAGCCCGCGGTGTACCGCCCGGACTTGATGAAACCCTCGCGAAATTCCTCGGGGGTGATCTTCTTCTCGTTGTTGGCCTTGTTGCTCGCGAACAGCTTCATAAAGTACCGGTCAAAGTCGATCAGGTCGGCGGCCGTCTTGCCGCGCTCAATGCTGTACGTTTGCAACAGGTCTGGAGTCGCCTGTCCCGTCAAGACGTGACCGAGTTTCCAGCCGATGTTGAAGCCGTCTTGCAGGGAGACATTCATCCCCTGTCCGGCCTTTGGCGAATGGGTATGAAATGCGTCGCCAGTCAAAAATACCCGGTTAGACTTGGTGAAGTGATCCGCGAGCCGTTGGCCGATCGAGTAACACGACCACCAGTAAGTGTCCGCGAAGTCCATCTTGTACGGGTGGAAGATTTGCTGTGCTTTCTTGTGCAGGTCTTCGAGTTTGATTTCCCTGACGTTTGTGCCCGTGGGGAATTCGATGTAGAAACGGGTTAGCGAGCCGCCTTCTCGAGGGATGACCAAGAGGGAACCCGAGTCGGAGTGGACGGTGACTTTACGGCGGATGTCGGGGAAGTTGGTTTGTGGATAGATGTCCATCACTCCCCAGACGGCGTCGGTGCTGTCCCCAACCATCTTGTAGCCCAGCGATTTGCGCACGACACTGTGAGCTCCATCACATCCCTGTGTTCAACCAAACCTTAGTAACAAGCTATATCCTCAACCACAGGATGTCCATCTCAATACTTACCAAGACATATTTGGACCGGAAAATCTCTTCCTTCCCATCCTCGTCCCGCACCGCAACAACCGTACAAGGATAACTGGCTGCATGCATCTCGGCCAACTCTTCGTCTAGACTGACGCTCTTCACCGTCCAGCCGTAACTCACTTCCTCGCCCCTCCCAGCGCCCAGCTTCTTCATCTTCTCCAGCAGCAGGCCGTTTACCCGCGCCTGGTTCAGGATGAGATGCGGCATGTGGCTCAGACCCTTGGCTGTGTCGGCGGCGCGATTGCTTCGACGGATCCCGCCTTGCCCGTCGGGGCTCCAGAAGGCGACTTCGAGAACGTGGTACGCCTCGCGAAGCAGGTCCTCGGACAGGTCGAGAGTTTCAAAAATCTCGACTGTGCGACATTGGACCCCGTCCGCCTGCCCGATGGCCATGGGGCCGCCGCGCCGCTCGAGGATCTTGAATGTGATCTGTTGTCGTGGGTGTGTCGTGTTGTAGATTATCAGCCACAGCGCCGCGGTCAGCCCGGCGCTGCCGGAGCCGACGATCAGGACGTCGAAAAGGTCGGCGTCGGCCATTCTGGAGTTGCTGATGGTAGAGGGAACGGAAGTTATGGAGATGTAGAAGGACGAGTCGGGGAAGGCAAAAATGACAAGTTGACGGCGACTCTTCCAGGAATGGAACTGACTGTGATGGGGCTTGTAGTGAGAGGACGTCTCTGATCTCCGAGAATAAGAATGATCAGGCCTCCGTCGAGAAACCCCATTCAACCCGATGGATTTATATCTCCAGCGCCTCCTCCCCAGATCTTCCGTGTAGAAAGCAAAGACGACTCCCGACCCGACAACAAACCGACTCTTGAGATGCACTGTTAATGTGAGCTGCGGTACTTGAGCACGGCACTCCTATTCCCCTTCAAACCGCTTGTCGTCTGCAAAATACCTTCTCTTCTATTGAGCCTATCGGCGGCATCGAGATGGCTTAACTTCCGCACTCAGTCTGGTGTGTGTAGTCCTGCTCTTCCCCGCTCTCGTTCTTCGCTCCTCCGCCCTTCAACGCCGTAATCGGTTCTACATGGGAATCCTTCCGAGGGCGGGATCGTGTGACCAATAGGCATCGACTCCTTTCCGACAGGCGAGAATCTCGGAAGGAATTGCTTCCATGGGCTTTTTCGATTGACCGAGCACGAGCAGCAACTGCCATTTGGGGTTTCTCGGTGCTTAAGAGGAGCCGAGCTTGGTCGCCGTGGTCTGCACCCAGCGTGTATATCGGGAACTACATATTGACCTTCATACTGAGTGAAAGCGTAACTCGTAAACTGCTGCCGTTGATATGGATCTATACCATTTCTGGTTAATGCAGTGCCTTTGCTGGTTTACCAAGCCAATCGTAGTGCCAAGAGCTCCTCACCGCCTCCAGATATGTACCGGCAGAATACTTGCGAAATTTACAAAGCCCAGAGCTGCAACTCTAGGTACCATACACAATACACTATGTAGCCTGGTCCTTCTCTGGCAGAAATGCCGTCTTTGGATTCCATAGCCGCGCTGAATGCCTCAGTTCCTGCTTCTGCCATGCCACTCATTTCTCCCAATGCCCTTCTCCACGCCCACTTGAAGCAGAGCCCACCTCGACGCCCTTCAAACCGCACCCCCTCAGAACCACGGCCTATCCAGCTCAACGTGGGCTCGTTGACGCATTGCAATGGGTCTTCCTTGGTGAAGATTGGAGCGACGACAATAGTGTGTGGTGTCCGCGCCGAAATACTTCCTACGAGCGAGATTCCCAGTTTTCGAGTCACCAAGTCGTCGGGCAGAGACCGCGCAACGCCATCGAGGCTGAAGAATGAGGTGGACGACCAGGAAGATGAAGGAGACTACTCGGCGATTCAGCTGTACAACCTTGTGGTCCCAAATATCGAGTTGGCCACGGGTTGCTCACCGAAACATCCTGCCAACACGGCCCCTTCTGTCGAAGCGCAGTCAATATCCCAGCGCCTGCTGTCCTTGCTCCATACCTCCCAGCTCGTCAGAACCTCTGACCTCGAAATCATCTATACTCCGCCTGCTGAGTCCCAAGACCTAGAGCTAGGAATAGATGCGGAACCTCAATTGAAGGCGTACTGGACGCTTTATGTAGATATGATGTGCATCAGCCATGGTGGATCCATATTTGACGCAGCCTGGTTTGCGCTACATGCTGCACTGCGAAACTGCCTAATACCGAAGGCCTGGTGGGATGCTGACCTGGAAAAGGTCATCTGCTCAATGGATGTGAAAGAGGCACGCAAACTGCGGCTAAGAGGAATGCCAGTGCCCAGCAGCTGGGGGGTATTTGTACCAGAGAAAAGACTGTTAACCATGCAGAATGACGTAGGGGATCGGTACTGGATTCTTGTGGACTTGGACGCCTTTGAGGAAGAGTCTTGCGCGGAGGTGGGATGTATCACGGTGGACTGCAGCGACGGCGCTGATTCAGCGTTGGTTTTGAGAATTGAAAAGAGTGGCGGCTCTGAGATCGGGGTCAATCAGATTGCGGAGGTGGCTGAATTCGCCAAACAGAGATGGCACCAGTGGAAAAATGTCCTGGACGCCGCATTGACTGCTTGAAATTGGTCTGGAGGAGGATGTCTGCGAAACAGAAAATGATCCGGCCTTATGTCCACATGGTGTGAGCAGGTTCCCATTCAGCATTGACAATCTCTGCGCAAAACCTGTCTGGCTGTGATGAACCCTTGTACGCATCTCGGGAGGAAAGATCCCTGTCTGTCTGGGCAGGGCAGGGCAGGAGCCTCATTGCCTTGCTTGCCAAGTAGCGAGCCAGCACTGTCTGTCTAGGTACACGAGCGGAGGGCCTTGATTTCAGCTCAATGCGAACCACCCCTGTTGGCAACAATGGTCACAAGAGTTTGTCGACGATTGGGTTTTGCCATTGAATTCACGAAAAATCCTCCGCAGGCTTCATCTGTGTACATGCCTGTGAATCAAAGGCCCCCGGTATTCGACCACGCCCCTTCACATGCGGACGAGCAAAGAACCGCCTCTTTCCGGATCTGCCGAGTTGTACCCTCCGCGCAAAAACAAGCCGTGCTATGCAAGATCTCCAGTTCCCTCCATGCTGTTACCTAACGCTCTCGTCCATCCTCGGCCTCGTCCGCCGCCGTCAAGGCTGCCTTCAGGTGTTTAAACAAGGTTTCAGCAAACAACGGTGGAACCGCATTGCCAATCTGCCGCAGCTTCTCAAGCAGGGTTCCTGAAAAGACGAAATCGTGTGCAAAAGTTTGCAGACTCGCGTATTCGCGGATACTGAATCTTCGAGTGCCGCAAGGATGGTAATGGTGTTGCTTTACCGACGTCATGATGGTTCTGCACAGCCCTTCCCCTGAATAGGCCCGATCTAGTTTACGCATCCGCGGGATGTCTTCTTGATGTGGTGCGTCGACCGGAATGGAGTTGATCGCTCTGTTGATTGATGGCGGGGGTAGCAGACCTGGTCCTGTTCCGTGGGTCGGTTGGACAAAGGGAGGAAGTTGCTCGCCTGGCCTATAGGGGAACCTTTGGTCAGTGAATGAAGATGAGAGTAAGGGGAGGGTGCTTCTGCCTTACCCTGCTGCAATGATGATAAGTCTGTTCCTGGTCTGAGGCACGCCATACCTGGACAGATCGACGGCTTTCCACTGCACACTGTATCCCTTCCGGATGAACCAGCAGATGAGATCACGGAAATGCGCTCTCTTGTCAATATCCAACAGGCTCTTGGCCTCCTCCAAGGTGACAATACGTGGCTTGCAGATCTCTAAAATGGCAGGCACTTTGCCGAAGGAGTGGATATTCTGTTCATTCATTTGCAGGTTCGGGTTGCGGTTCGCACCGCAGAATGGCTGACAAGGAGGACTCATATGCAAAAAATCGACCAGGTAGCGCCCCGGTGACATGGAGGCCGCCTTGATGAAATCCGAGATGTCGCATCGCATGGCCTTCGTCCCGCTTATGCCAAAGTTGTATTTATAAGTACGGATGGCTTGCTCATCGAAGTCGACGCCGAACTTGAGCCTCAGGCCTGCTTGAAATGCGCCTGCGGTCGTGCCCCCAGCACCGCAGAAGGTGTCACCGAAGGAATAGTCCTTATCCGGCGATCGGGGTTCGCCCCGCCATTGCCTGCGCAGCTCTGAATCAGGGATTGAGAACTCGACTGGTCCTTCTGGTGTGACGAGGGCGCCATTGTCCGCCTGGTGGGCGCGAATACGTTCGTCTCTGCCAGCGAGCGGTGGCCCTGACGGGTCTCTTCCTTCAATGCCGACATTGCTGTCAGCACTCATCCATCGGCAAAAGTAGATGGGGGCGTCATCTTCATCGTCAGTGATTGTTCCGATATGTTTCCGGTAGTGGAGGTCGTTGTACTCTCGATTTGTGAAGACAACGGTACAATTCCTCACAACTTGATCCACATTTACTGTGTCAGTGGTGTACTCCTCCTCCATCTTGTTATTGATCTTCACGAGCTGGACTAGCTCGTGCTTCCTCTCTGGCATCAACAACTCCGGCTGGTTCTGAAACAGGAGTCGGGGCCCTCTAATACGAACACCCCTTCCGGTGTCAGGGAGGTGTTCCACTATTCGAAGAAACGATTGATCCGCCAGTTGGACATCGTACCCGGGAAGCAGCCTCAGCGGTCCCCTCGCGACTCGCTGGACCTGGTCGATGTCGACCACTTTTCGGGTCTGGTCTTGCGAGACATGTCGGCTCCCTGTGACGACGAGCTCCTCGTCGCTGTCATTGTCGTTCTCCTCGTCGTCCAAGACAATAACGTCTTCATGATCGCTATTGTTGATTTCTGAGAGGTGGTCCAAGAAGTCTAAACGTAACCGAGTGAATGCAGATTGGCGCGCCCACGCCCCGGTCCATAGGGTACGTGTTCGATGAGCTGCCACACCAGCAGTGCGATACATCTTAGCAGAAGAAGGGTGATCGGTGACCAGGACGAGAAAGACTAGAAAGGTGAGATGGCTGGACGAAGAAGAGTCGGATTGGGACCTGGATGACTTGAGGTGTCTCTGAGAGAGTCAAAGAACGGATAACCTGAGAGAATGAAGAGACGAGAAGACGAAGAGGACGAGTTCCAGAATCTCTGTGTCTCTGAATGAGAGGGCCAACGAGAGTCTGAATCTTGAGGAGAAGAAGGATGGAGATAAAGAATTGGATAAAAAGGTAAGGGATTGGAAAGAGAGTCTTTCAAAGAGAATTAGGTTCGATGAAAGAACTGTACAAGAAGGCAAGGTATCGGAAAGAGAGTCTTGCAAGAGAACCAGTCTCGATGAAAGAGCTGAAGAAGAAGGCAAGAGGACGAGAAGAGACACTTGAGAAGAGAGAGAGAGGGGACAACCAGTGTCGATGAAGATGAAAGAAGTGGATGGGAAGGTTTGTTTGTGAGTGAGAGAGAGATCGCAGAAAAAGACGTTTAAGGAATCGGTGAAGCGATTGAATCCGTGCACAGAAGGTTGCTTTGAGAGTTGGCATGAGGCGACGCCGAGACTCAAGAAACATATATGTCGGCGCAAGAGGAGAAGCCATCGTTGCCCAAGCCGTAGGTCTCGACGTGGCGCGGGCATGGGCGCGGGCGCGGGCGCGATGTATATGCGATGTCTCATCTCTCTTCATTGTCGAGATCCAAGACAGGTAGGGCCTGATAAAGCCAATCTGTGTCGTTGAAGCTACCGACCTACATCAAACAAAAAGGCGCCTTCTGGTTCATGGTCTCAGGCAAAACAATGCGATGTTTGCACATGTGAAAGCAGGGGCAGCATTGTGGGAAGCCGCACGTGGTAGACAGAGACAACGGACAGCCGAGACATTCTTCTAGGCAGCCCGTTGATAGCACTCAGCTTGCTGCTGCCTACTCGAAATAGTCATGACTGAGAAGCATTCCTACACTGACGTTGTGTACCTTTGAGTTTGGACGTTGTGGTCACGTGCGAGGCTCGCCCCGGAAAGGGGCATCTTGCTTCTACCCATATGAACCTTCTTGCTCGGGAGGATATTGAGAGCGCTACACAATGCCAACACCGTAACAGTGCGGCAGGGACACTGCGCTACAGGTGGTCCATTGTATGTGTAGAGACAGGCTCAAAGCATTTGCAAGCACGAAGGTGGTGCTTGCACATAAACCACCAAGCTTGAAGGGACTGAGGACAGAATATTATTGTGCCTTTGTTTGCCCTTTTTCCAAACTCGTGCAAACAGGAGAAACGTAATACTCCAGACACCTTTCCAGAAGTCTCAATACTACGCATTACTACTGCGACTCTTGCTCTTTGTACAGGTTTCAAAAAGTTATCTTATCTCTTCAATCTGAGATCCAAGTTTTCCAGACGATCGCTGTACTCCCGACCCCGGATTGGGTTCTAGACACTCTGGCACGCGGGTTTGTCCCCAGACTTTCCCCTTTGTCAGAGACTACCTGCCTGGTACTCCAGTCGCAGTCTTTGTTTCCCACTGGGAGATTGCTGGTTGCTGTAGAACTAAGCGCGGCAGAAGGGAAACCGCGGAATTCGCGGCATGTAGGAATCTAGGTCAAGCCAGCTCCCAAACAACATACTCTCAAACCTGGCATTTCCGGTTTGCTTGCTTGCGTACTTCTTTGTACGTGTCAAGGGTGACGTTGTTCGAATGTGGCTAGTGTTTTTTCAAGCCCGTGGTGGCCGGTGAGAATCTACCAGCCCTAAGACTACTGGGAGGCTACTGCGTGAATAGGGCCAGAAGCCTCCGTCTTCTAGGTAAGGAGAGGTCTCCTACGTTGGAGAGATAACCGCCCAGAGTTCAGGCCTGACACCCCAATGGGAATGTCAATGAGCGAACAGCCGCGACCCCTTGGATACTGTGCGCGCTCATCAAAACTATGAATTCCGCGGACAAATGCTGGCCCCCTGGAGAAGCTATCTACATCATGGATGGGTAGGTCGTCTCAGGACCCGCGACGTCCTCATCATCAGCCGCTGCATGGAAAGAGAGAGGTCTAGGGTGATATACTCTCACACAAGGGCTGGCGGTCATGTCGTTGTAAGTTGAAGCGTCGCTGTCCACATCGATGGAACCGGACTCAAGACAACAGCGGACGCCTTAGCACCACCTCCACCAGAGGTATGACGCATTGTTATCTAGGGAAGTTACGGTATGGCTTGCTAGCCTGGTTGGTATTTTCGAGCGCGACGAGCTTCCTGAAACTCTCAAGGAAGTCTTTGGCAACCTGTTGGAGTTCTGGGGCCTGAGCCATGAGCGCAGCCCAGTGATGCCAACTAGTCTGTCTCACTAGTCCTAATCCTAATCCTCACTCTGGGGTCAGGCCAGACTAGTTGGCAACACTGCTAGGGAACCTGCATGTCGAAGCGATTCACTTTCTCTGTAAAGCTATCGCCGGGAAATCCGCCTTCGGTTTAAGGCGGTCCTATCGCTTTGGATATCTCCCAAGAGATAAAACGATTCCTTTCTCGTTTTCAAGTGGGACTATTTCTAGTCTCACTGAAGGTGGTGTGAACCGGAAGTCAATCCGTGGTAGATCATCAGCTCACAGATCCCTTATCCATCTTGTCTATCGATGAGCGCACTCAACTCCATAGGTTAGATAACGCAGTCTTTGGTATGCATACGATGCTTCTTTGGTGCAATAAAAAATGAGCACCGCTCCCGTTCATTTCGTCAGAAGACGCTCAAACAAAATGCATGCCAACGGTTTTTTTCGTTCGAATCGGTGCCGGGCATAACGTTGGTGAATTACTTCTGGACTAGCGATACCCAGTTCGCAACATCCTTGCCGTCGGTGCCAAAGTTGCCGGCATTGGCATCCGACATGAGCTGCTTCTCGACTATGGGGCCAACAGCGTCGTAGACTTTGCTCGCAGTCATCTTGACGAACTGCCACCCGCCCATCTCCGTCTGGACGATCCCGACCTTTTGCTCTGCCGGGACGGCGGCTTCGGCATCGCCCGCAGCATTGGTCGCTTCGGGGGATCGAAAGAGCTGCTCGACGTTCTGGACCGCAACTTGTTGGTGTGAAGGCGTGTCGCAGAAGTAGGTTGCCGCCAGGCCCTTGATGGTAAGTCGCTCCTTGACGGACTGCGCCTCGGCAGGGTTGGTATAGTGGTACGCCGCAATCGCCAGGCAGAGCACAGCGAGGCAGTAGAGGAATTTGAAGCCCAGGAGGACGAAAAGGGGAACAATCGGCACCCGCGTGGCGCCGTAGTTGTTGTTCCGCGTCTGTTCCAAGATGGTCTCCGTAGGGTTGATGTTCCCAGCCATTATGCCCAGGGCGCAGGTAGAGAAGTAGTCGGCGAACAGGTTGGCCAGTTGCGTCGAGTTATTGGCTTCTTTCATATGACTAGCGGCAGACTGGGCGCAGAGCTCGCCAAGTGGTAAGCCCGAGACGAAGGGATATGAGACCATACCACCAATCTCCTGCGGGGCGGGCCACGGGGTGAAGCTGTGTGTCGTGCCGTTGATCCACTCGTAGTATGCGTAGGATATTTCCGTACTGCAATTCAGCATCCAGGCGTAGTAATAATTTGCGTCCCAAAATATGTTGCGGTCGAGATCCCAAGGGTCCTTGTTCTTGGGATTGCCACCGCCAGCATCATCATAATCGTCATCAGGCATGTTCTGCCACCCCAGCGACCAGGTTCCGAAATACAGAGGATTGGTGAAGGCGGCGAACTCGACCTTGGACGGATCGTGTCCAATCATTTGGCTGAGGCTCGCGTCAAGCGCAAATCCAAACCCCGTCGATCCGACCGATGAGTTTTTACGAAGTGAAGTCGCCCAAGACGCTCCATTCGAGGTCAATTCTCCAGTGAATCCTGGGCTGCATTGAAATGCATAGGAGTTATTAAGATACCTGCAATTGTCTTCTTCATCAGGGTTGTCAGAGAAGCAGGCTTGGAAGCACTGCTCTGTCATCGGAGCACACTGTGTCTTCACTGCAACCGTCTTGGCTCGAAAGTCTGTGGCGAAACCTAAGCCCGTGTGGGCCAGATATTTATAATGGTGGACCGGATCGCTGGTGCTATTGTACCAGTCGTTCACAGTATTCGTGTCGGACAGGTTGGCAATGGTCAGGGCCGCTTGGTTGGCGTTGGAGATCGAATAATCCCATACGGTCGTGTGGTTTACGTCCTTGTTATAGTAAAGACCAATCATATTGCATGGTAATTTCCAGCCATTGTTCCCATCATCCGGGTACCACCAATTGTCCTCTCCACAAGCATCTTCAGGATCACTGAAGTCTCGCCCGAAAGGAGAACGGGGGGTGTCGGTGACTTTCTCCACCTTAGCGACATGGACTGGAGTTACGGTCGTGCTGAACCATGTGTCTGCAACGGGAATGATTATTCTGTGTTTCTATTCAGCTCTCTTTCTCGACAGATCCGGGATGACGCCAGGGCTCACTTACCCTAGGGCCGTGACAGCAGCCAGGGCAGAAAATGCGTGTGGGATAGGCGAGATCCATCTCTTCTTGTGCTTGATGTGATAGTGAACAGTATCTTTCAACGGGCCATAGCTGTTGCCTCCTAGCAGCTGAATGAGGAGCGACATCTGACGTGGAGTGGGGAGTTCGTGACCCTGACTGTCCTTGGAGACGAGGATGATGCGACGGGCAACGAAAAATGCAACCAGTGCCATGATTGAACTCGAGAGGTATGGGATAATTTTGCCAGTTAAAGAGGCGACGGCTGTCAGAGAAGAAGGATTGAAGTTGACGAACAATGCCGCATTTCCCCCGTGTTTCTTCCAGCTGTTGATGGCGGCCCACACTCCAGTTGAAGTATTCGTGCCATTCTGGCCAACATGCAACTCGGACCAGCCTGTGTAGGTATCGACCTTGTTGACATAGATGACGCCCAGCAGGATAGCAGTGACCACTATAATAAGCCCGCAAGGAATGGCGGCACTGAAAACGATGGAGAGAAACGCGCCGTCCATCCTCTCAGCATGCTCATGATTAATCCGGACAACGTCTTCCTCCGCGGGAACATCTTCTGTGGTCGTTTGAGGACCCTTTATCGTTGTATAGGAAGCACTCATGGTGTGAGAGAAGGTACGACAGACTGCTGGAGGGGTGTAGTAGAAATCCTGGCCACGAAGGACGCAGACCTACCTTTGTCAAGAAAAACTCTTCCGCCATGCGCCTAGACTTTCCAAAAGATGCCGCAACATCCATATACGGGTCTCTAGACTGAGAGCTGGAGGCTCCAAATGCAGAGTAGCCATCTTCTCATTGAAGGAAAATGCGACTGAGGTATCTTTCTTGTGGTGTGCTGTACTCCACCCCATCGCGCGTTTGCACCCGGATAAAGCGAGTCGAACGGTTTTGTCGACTGGACCACCCAATCTTGGGGTACAGTTTAGGCAAGAGAAAACGTGGCTTGCGCAAACCAGAGACATGGCGTGCGTTTTGTGGGCTGACGGCAAGCGACGCCCGCCAACTGCAAAGCGAGGCGAGGTACCCAACCTTGACGCCATCGACTCGCTAGGATGGAGGGAGAGGTTCTAGGCTCGATAAATCGCCTGCGCACGAGTCGAGAACGCCTCTCGGTTCTTGTTAACGGTGGATATTGGAGTTTGGACGGTCTGCACTTGGTGCCATAACATAAACGAGGTAGCTCGCCCGCTAAGCATTGATGCCGAGGCTTGATGTCGATAAGCAGCGAAAGCGAACACCAATCGTGGAGTTATGAGCCCGGCTTTTCATCCGCCTGAAGCACGCGACTCCGGCTCAAATTGCTTCAACGTCTGTACGTCCAACAACCACCCCAGAACGCAGGGTTGTAAAACTCTACGAAATGAAAATACTTGGGACTCCGAAATTTGGTCACCACTAAGACACCAAACTATGGGAACCAGATTCGGACTCGTTGGTAATGGCACCATTACCTTCAGCAGGACGAAGACTATCAAGACTCTACCAGGTAGCTACTTACCATAGTACTATTGTATATAAAAGAAGGGTGGCAAGACATGAGGTTTAGAGAAAGAGCTCCTCTGTACGAGACTATGAGAAGATCTATTGAGATCCTCACTACGTGTCCTTCGGGCGCTGTACTTGGGTAGTGAAGGTGTCTATTCTGTCGCCGATTCCGTTGTCTCTTGAAGAGGTTCGAGGGATACTAGGATAACCTCCAAAAGCAGCAGCGCCTACCGGTAAAACAATACTCCGCAGCAATAAAGGCGGCCTGCTCCGGGTCGCACAGAGAACGTCGCACATGAGCGCCCGATACAGAGTCACGTGAGAGCATGCCGAGATGCCTCGATGCATGCATCCCCTCGCTAACCCAAAGTCCCCGCTGACCACCTGCAGCCAAAGAAAAAAAAATTATATGTCCGTTGCCGGCATGAACCAGGTCTTTTTCCTTTTCAAAAGAACTCACCATGTCGACTTCTCTCCGCTCAGTTCGACTGGGCAGACCCGAATCCAAGTTGGAATACCTTGCTCCCACTGAGTCCATTTCACCCTCAGAGCCGCTATTGCTCGGTCCGGCGCGACGAACTTCCCACTACTTCTACTCCAACTACTAGCCCTCGATTCTTCCCGATCGTAAAAATCCTGACTCGTGTGCTATCTTTCCTCAACCCTCCTAATCCCGCCTGTGTGCTGGTTACCATGTTCATCTAGGTATGTCCGAAGTCCCTTTCCTTCCGCCCCGACTGCAGGATGATCCCACTTTGTATATTTTATTAGATGTTAGACTTCATAACCAGTTTTGCTGAAAACCCTCGGGTCTGATGGTGGCTGAAATTGGCGCTTTACTCCGCAAGCACTGTATTCGAGGACCTGTTTCGGCTGACCTTACTTCCAGATTTGTACAGACCCTTGGTCAAAATGTGCGGTATTCTCGCGTTAATCCTCGCCAACACGTCGTCTACTGCGGCCGCCGTCGACCTCCACGAAGCCCTCTACCTCCTGCAACATCGTGGCCAGGATGCCTGTGGAATCGCGACGTGTGCGACCGGCGGACGGATATACCAGTGCAAGGGCAATGGCATGGCGGCAAAAGTTTTCCACGATGGTGCAAGAGTAGTTGATCTTCCTGGTTTCATGGGCTTGGGCCATTTGAGATACCCCACGGCAGGGAGCAGTGCGAATGCCGAGGCCCAACCGTTCTATGTGAATAGTCCCTATGGGATCTGTCTGGCGCATAACGGCAACCTGATCAATGCCCCCGAACTGAAGCAGCACCTGGACCTGGCGGCTCACAGACATATCAACACCGACAGCGACAGCGAGCTCATGCTCAATGTCTTTGCCGACGAACTGAACGAAACTGGGAAAGCTCGTGTCAATGAGGATGATGTGTTTGCCGCCCTCAGCAGAATGTACGAGAGGTGTAAGGGTGGCTGGGCTTGCACAGCGATGATTGCAGGTTACGGGCTCATTGGGTTTCGAGATTCATTTGGCATCCGCCCTCTCGTCCTGGGCTCCAGGGAATCAGCCGATGGTCCTGGCAAAGATTACATGATGGCTTCAGAATCAGTTGCTTTGGTCCAACTTGGCTTTGATGTCATACGGGACATTCTGCCCGGCGAGGCTGTGATTATCCAGAAGGGGCACGAACCCCATTTTCGACAAGTTCAGAAACGAAAAGAATATGCCCCTGACATCTTTGAGTATGTCTACTTTGCCCGCCCCGATTCAGTGATGGACGGAATCAGCGTCCATAGGAGCCGGCAACATATGGGTCTGCGACTTGCAGCACACGTCAAAAGGGTGCTCAGCCCTCAAGACCTAGAAGACATTGATGTGGTTATACCTATTCCCGAGACGTCTGTCACTTCAGCATCCGTGGTGGCCAAAGCCCTGGACAAGGAATACTGCCAAGGCTTTGTAAAGAACCGCTACGTCTTCCGCACCTTCATCATGCCGGAGCAGAAAGCCCGACAAAAGGGGGTGAGGCGGAAGCTGAACGCAATGGCCATGGAATTCAAGGATCGCAACGTTCTTTTAGTGGACGACAGTATTGTTCGAGGCACTACCAGCCGGGAGATAGTAACTATGGCTCGAGAAGCAGGCGCAAAGAAGGTCCACTTCGCGAGCTGCGCCCCGCCAATCACCCACGCACACATCTACGGTATCGACCTGGCTTCACCGTTTGAACTAGTGGCACACAACTATCACGGGCCTGATGAGATTGCAAAACATATTGGGGCTGACAGTGTGATTTACCAAACTCTTGACGATTTGAAAGCAGCATGCGTCGATGCAGCTCGAGAAGCAAAAGCGCGCGACGCCCCAAGCAACTTCGAGGTCGGTGTATTCTGTGGGACATACATCACACCCGTCGACGACGACTACTTTGAGCACTTGGAGAGAATCAGAGGGCAAACTCGAAAGCTGAAAGTCGTGGACGAAGCCAGACGGGCGGTAGCCCAAGGAGTCGCCGGCGAACAGCAAATCCAGTTGGCCACAAATGGAGCTGTGGTTACGGAGAATGGCAAGGTGGTGCCTGCAGCCAATGGCAATGCACACCGGCAGTCGATTCAGACCGATGTTACAGACTCCCATCGTGGTTCAACGGTGTCATTGGGTCATGAGGAGGAAAGCCCGACTGTACGGGATCGCATGGATATTTCTTTGCACAATCTGGGAGATTTCCCCAGAAATGAGTGAACATGACCCAGGCGGGTCCATCAAAAGGTGGCATTTGTGTGAATTTATTGGCATGGAACGGGAAGAGCATAGAGGGCCTTGTCTAGACGTGATGACTTGCAACTGTTTAGAGTGTCCGCTCGCAGCTTGGGGAGGCCTTGCTCTTCTATGGCGCCTTCTATTTCTTCTGGGAGAGAAGTACTAGGTAGATACCACTGCCGCTTCGCAGGCACCAGATGCTCCTTCCCTGTGACCAGGAGCCATGCATTGGGCCAAATCTATTTCTCTCCAGCATGCTCTTTGCCAGATTGTCCTTTCTACATCTTCAACTTGCCTCCTTGCCGGCGCACGCAGCACTGTCGACTTGTTCAAATCTGGCTGAGGCTGTTTCCATCACCACGCCGCCATCATGTACCTTCTCTTCCTTTTTCTCAAGGTCCTCCTCGGCAACGTCGGTGCTCAGCTATACACACCCACAGGCAGCGACGGGAATGGGGACATCACCCAACCAGGCCCGTGCCCCGGCTACTTACCACCCTTTCCTGGCTTCGAATTTCCGCATCTGATGATACCAATCTCAACCAAGGCTCCTAACACTGCGTTCCCCAACACTGACACCCCGTACATCACGGCTGGGGACATTGAAATGATCTTCAACTTTGACATTCCCGTTTCTCGCAAGGGCCAGACCTGCAACATGGAATTCCTCTTTCCGAATCAGACCGAATTGAGTAGTACAGCTTCGTTTCAACCCGCCGGCGTCAATGGGTCCTTCGTTTTCTCTCTGTCGGTGCTTGGTGGAGGAGCAGTGGAGGGCAATACCACTTACAATAATCAACCTCTTCAATCCAACCCGCACGGGCTCCCAAAGACCCTCAACATGGAGCCAGGACATGCATATGCCATTGGCAGCACCATTTGCGTGCCGGGCAGGATCAGCATCACCATGAGCAGCACTGACAGCAGTTTGACGTGGTTTCAAGACTGGAACCAGTGTGCAATTGGGCTCTTCATCACCTACTCGCCATGAAGGTGATCAATTGGGACGGGGAGATGGCAAAGAGCTGGGAGAGTGGTTCGCAGGATCCCCAGCCTTGTGGCTCATCAGTATGGGATATGGGGCTCACAAGGCCACAGTTATTGGGATGACGTTAGTTAGGGTTTAGGCGGGCATCTTAGTGAAAACCAGCCATCTGCATTCTGCATTCCCGGATTGCATGAACAGTGGGTGACGGAGGAGGCTGGGGGGCGGCAAGGGCTTGATTAAGCATGGTTTACGGAGGGAGCTGCCTAACTTGGTGGCTGCACGGGGTTAGTGAAGCCTAGATGAAGCGTGGTTAGAGCCTAATGAGAGCCTAATTAGGTGGTACGAGTAGTTTGTCCCGCCGGCGCCTATCGGGAGGGGAACAGGCTCCCAGCAGTCAGCCCACCACCTGCACATAGCAAACTCTCATCCATGCCCTCATCCCAATGTTATGTCTTGTTTCGGTAGCAATGAAACTCACCATAACATCCATCTACAGTCCCCTGCCTCCCTTACGCCAGCTCACCTTCATTTGTGTACGTATTGTGTCGCCATCTAAACATCCATCCCGAGCCTCCTCCCTCGCGTTTCCCTCTCGAGCCGATGGAAGTCTCGTTACAAGAACGCACATCTAGACGCAGGCGACCTTGCAACACTTGACGCCAAACAAACAACAAGCGCCCAAAGCAACATTCGTGCACCATGTCTTCTTGACCTTTCTACGGCATAATCTCCTGAGAGACATAGCTCATCCTCGTCAGTTTGACCATGTCGCGGCCGCCTGCTGCTCGCTCTTCGGTCGCATCTGGCCTTGCGCCGCCACCACCTCCAGGCTATCCAGCCAGTGCGCATGGCTCGGCTGTCTTTGCTCCTCCTCCTCACTCTGTTGCGCCCACAAACCTGAGTCGCCCACAATCACGTCTCGAGCCACCTCCTCTGGCTTCAACAATGGGCCCCATGCCTGGCACGCTTGAACGACCGATCCACGGCCCTAAGAAGCGCCTGATCGTGACCTGCGACGGAACTTGGCTCGACGCCGACAACGGCCTTGTAAACGGGCATAAGCAGCCCCCATCGAACGTCTCGCGCATAGGTTGGGCAATCAAGGACACATCGCGCGACGGAATCCCTCAGATCGTGAATTATCAGGCTGGAGTCGGAACCATGGGAGGCCCCGCGGCGCGTGCCGTTGGGGGTGCCACGGGGTTGGGATTGAAGGAAAACATGCGCATGTCGTATACATACCTGGCTGTCAACTGGCGTCCTGGCGATGAGATATTCCTCATGGGGTTTTCTCGTGGCGCATTCACGGCGCGATCCGTGGGCGGCATGGTCGGCGCATTGGGGCTCCTCACGCGGAACGGACTGCCTTACTTTAACGAGATTTTTGAAGACTGGGAACACCGCGCCGACGACCGTTACGTCTCGCAGTTTCAGGACATTCCGTTTCCCAACAAAGGGAGGTTTGATGATCGTTATGTGCAGGAATTGGCTAGGCGCGGATTGACGACGTTGAACGTCCCGATCAAGGCGATTTGCTGCTGGGACACAGTCGGTGCTCTCGGTATCCCTCGGGTGCCTTGGCTTGAGAGTTTGAGACTGCAGCCGCGGGGCATGCACGCCTACGAATTCTACGACACGACGTTGCACCCGTGCGTCGAGAATGCATTCCAGGCTTTGGCGCTGGATGAACGGAGAGCCCCGTTCACTCCGGCACTGTGGGAGAAGCGGGACAACCACAGAACGAATCTCGTCCAATGCTGGTTCCCGGGAGCGCACAGCAACATCGGTGGCGGGTACGACGACCAGCAGATCGCGGACATCACCTTGGCATGGATGATCTCGAAACTCGAGCCGTTCCTCGACTTTCGGCCGAACTGCCTGATGGGACTGTGGGAGGAAAATCGCGCCTATTACAAGCAGACGAGACAGAAGACGAGATGGTGGAGTTTTGGCGAGATATACGAAACCGTCAAGGGAATCTACGCGTTGGCAGGAGCCAAGACGAGGACTCCTGGAAATTACTTTCGATCAGACCCTGCGACGGGACGGACCACCAACAAGAGATTACGGGGCACAAACGAATTCATCCACGCTTCCGTGCGTGCGAGACTGGGGCTTCAGGGTCCTGGGGTCCAAGACCGCGGCAACTACGATCCCCCTTCTCTACGAGATTGGACGTTTGACGTGGAATACGTCGGGCCAGGCCATGGTGGCAGTCAAGATGGATTGTTGGTGATGTGGAACAACCACAGCTCCTCAAGGCGGAGAGGAGAGAAAGGGGGCCAGGAGAGGATTCCTGAAGAGAAACTGTCCGAGACGGAACTGGTGCTCCTGAGGCAGAGTCCCCGGGTGAATGACTATATCATGCAACTACGGCCGCCAACTGCTGGACCGGGCGGGAAGAGGAGATCTCGAAGACACGGACAAAACGGTGTGCCGAACGGTGGACCGGGCCCGCCCGGAGGTCCACCAGGAATGAGCCCGTATGGGATGCCACCACAGGGCCCACCGCCGCGAGGGTCTTTCGTTGGAGGCCCTCCTCCGCCGCCGGGTGGTGGGAGACGCAGTGGGAGGTCCTTGAATGTGGATGACTCGCCGGATAGTGAAGACGACAGTAGGGAGCGCGACCGCGACAGGGAGAGACGGCACCGGAAGAGACGGGAGAGTGGTGGAGATCCAGATCGGCATAGACGGCGGCGGAGTCGCAGGTATGATGATGACGAGTAGCAGGAGCGAATGGAGGATTTCAGCATTGAGCAAGATTTGTTTTTTCTTTCTTCTCCATTTTTGGTTCGTTGAGCTCTTCTTGATTGTAACACAGCAAGTGAGTGAGTGATGTGAGCGATAATAGCAACATACTAGGTACTGTCACTTGTACAAGAGGATGAGGGGATATGAGGATACCGGAAGTTGGGCGTCAAACAATGAACATGCACAGTCCCAGTGCCGGTGCCGGTGCCGGTATTGGTAGCGATGATATCGCGGTGATGTATCACGATGACAATGACGAACGACGACAAAAAACAATGCAGACGATGGTTGGTGATGAATGTGAAGACTGAAGAATGGAGATGGAGGATTTTCATACGATACCCAGATGCATGTGCAGGTGGTCGGTCATATTTGCCGTCCATGTTTTCTTTTCTTTTTGGCATTTTGCAACGAAGGAAGGGAAGGGGAGAGGGACAAGCATCTAGCGTAGCATACATACCCTAGGTAGCAGACAGGGACAAGCAATGCAGGGTGGAAGGAGATGTGGCCGGGAGAATACCTAGGTAGGGATATATAAAATGAGCTCGAGCATATCCAGTACACCTGCAATATATCTAATGTATCCAATATCAGGTATCCAATATATCCAACACACGCTCTCTGCCCCCTGTTAATAACTTAGGGGGGAATGTGCGTGTGTGTGAGAGAGAGAGAGAGAGGGAGGGATAAGACAGGCATGGACATATATACGCCATGGTAATATATATATATATATATCTTCGGAGGAGGAGTCAGGAGGGAAATATAGCGGACAGACGAGGGTAAGGGATAAGGAGCAATCTTCAAAGCTTATTATATATGTCGTTGGATCTCAATATGCAGGGTCACTAGGGTGAGAATCTAAAGCCCCCCGGGAGAAGTCATCTACATGCATACATAGCTACCTAGTATCTAGGCATGTATGTACGGTACGTCCTGTGGGGACGGAGCATTCTCATCCAGTTGAATTTGTTCCTTCACCTCTAGATACACTCACAATACACTCCAGTATGCAAAGCACTGTCGATTGAGCACAGGGCTGATATTATTGCTTATCGCTGTCCATCTAATGCCACTGTGCACTGTGCTCGACGTGTGGCCGACCAACCCACCCGCCCATGTCACTCATAACATTTCAAGATCATTTCCACTTGACGCCCAAAACACCATGGCACCACACCAATAGCCGTATTTCAGTCGAGCCGAGTCACCTTACCAATGCCGGAAGCAGCGCGTCGGAAGAAAAGGGAAGGAATCATGATCCGATGGTTGCGGTGAGGTCCTCGTCGTCGATCCCGGGCAGCCCGCCATCATCATAGTCATCAAACGGCAAGCCAGCCTCGCGACATCGGGACTGCCACTTGGTAGTCTCAGCCCACGCAGTTCTCGCAGACTCCTTCATCCGATCAAGCCGACTGGTAAGTTCTTTGATGGCGATGTCAAAGGTGGCACGCTCGTTGTCCCATTTGTTCTTCTCGTTGAGGAGTTCTTGAATGTACTCATAGGTGCGTTGGAGGATGGCCCCCTTGTTCTTCTCAGTGCCCGGCACGATCTTGGCAATGTTCTCGATGCCTTCGTTGATAACCTCGCGACGACGGCGTTCAACTGAAAAGCATCAAAGTTAGTGACGTGACTCTGGACAATGAGGGGAACCTGGGAGCTTGTCATACCTTCTTTATGATTGTCCTTTCGCAGTTGATGCCACTCTGCACTTCCCACCGCAGGCTTGGCCGTATTGTTGTTGGTACCACCTCGAGCATCGACAAGAGCTTGAGCAGTGCTCATGCCATGAGCGTTAGGGCTGCCGTCGTCAAAGGTGAATGGAAGACCTGCACCGCCATCATTTGGATTGGGTTCAGGATAAGTCGAAGGGTTCATGCCTGGAGCCGCAAGGGCCGCTTGGGCAGTTCGAGCGTTATCATCCGCCAGCATTCCATCACTTTGCAAGAGGAGACCAAAGGTGGTAGCATCATGCTCGCCGTTTGTATTGGGCATCTTGGCATCACGTCCGACATCTCCGTCAGCCAACCCACGTTTGCGCTTGTTCGTGGTATTGCCGGTAGTAGAGGTAGCGGGTTGATTCGCCATCTCGAAGAAATTGACTGTGCAAAGTGCACTCAAGAGCAGCCAATGCCGGTATTATGAATTGTGACAATCAGGCACAGACCCGAATCACTGCCTCTGGCTCGCGAGGAGATGGCAGCAAGGCAAATTTCAGGTGGGCAGCGAGGTGGATTGTGGAGATGGGACCGGAGTCAACTGTGATCGCAGGGTTAGCCATGGTCAACGAACTGGACTTGGGCCTGGATGGGTGAAATAGGTCAAGAAAAAAGCGGGAAGGGTGAATGAGTAAAGTGATGGTGTGTTGCGACGACTTGTCACATGAGGATTGCATTGCGGGCTAGGGACGTAGTGGGTGGTGAATTGGAGCGCGTCCTTGGGTCAGTTCTGTCGGTCGCAGTGAAGCCTGGAGCTGCTTTCACCTTTGGCGCCGCTGAGCACCAGGACTGAAAGCGCGCCAACATTGCCAGACGCGCTGCGAGAGCCCATCCAACGGAGTGAGATAGGCAACGCAGTGGGCGCCGACCTCGCGAGACCCGGTCAAGGACGACATCATGATGAAGCTGCGCCAACCCGCAGATTGCGCAGCGGGACTTGGTGTTGAAGGAGATCAGGTGCCATCAGGTGACTTGAAATTGAACTCACCAGCACGGAGAGAAAATCACAGTCGCAAGACCGTGAACTAGGGTTTTCTTGGAGGCGAATCTGATTTTCACAAAGAGACGACACGGGCCCAGGGGCGCCACGGGTTGCGAAGAGTTGACGAGTTGTGGTTGTGGCAGTCGGACTGGAATTACAGCATTCAGGTTCAGATACTCGAGCCTCTTTGCAGAGGGAAACAACGACAAGCGACAGGCGGCGGCGTCACGGGGGAAGATGCAGTTCATGTGACTCGCTGAGGTGCCAAGTGGGTGCGAAGGGCGGCAAGGGAGCCACCCTCGCTAGGAAGCCGCTTGCCCCAATACCGCTTAGCGCCGCGCAAAGGTCCTCCGGTGGCTTGGCGGGCCGGAAAAACAAATGGCGGCGGCCGGGAAAATGGCATCTGACATGTGCCAGTGGGTGCCAGCTTCATCATCACAGCAACTGCACCAAGCTCTGCCTGCTCTTCCCTCCATTCCCCGTCTGACTGTATCTCGTGATCAAATGTCTGACCCTCCATTCTCCGTCTATGTAGAGGACAAGGCCTAGCTTCGGAGGGTTATGGAAACATGAGGACTGCCCATGCCCCTCCATTCTTCAACACCGTGTCTTGCGCCTGCCGCCAGCCGCACAATCAATCCATGTCAAACACCGACGCCTTTTGTCTTGAACCTGAGAATTCCCACCGAAGTTGTCAGCGAGAAAACATTGGATACCACAGCAGTCGTCTTCATCTGGTATCTCAGCAGTCTGGCGTTCATGCCGTTGATAGTTGATTGTCATCATCACCGGCATCACCCGGGACCGGCTCTGTGACCTGTTTGAGAGAGACAGCGTACGCAGGGGCGCTGTCCGTGTCCACCATAAGTATCCCTTCCTGAGCTCGTCCAAGGATATCCCAGATCCGGACTTGCCCATCCTTTGTCATGCCCATTACACAGCTGCTGCCGGCGTATCTGACCTCGCCAATCCGCGGATTGACGCCTTCCTCGCCGGCCCTGTTGGCGCAGACAACAAAGGCCTCGGACTGTGCGCCTTGGGGACCAAATAGGGGAGTGAGCCTGTCGATCCAGTAGTTGATGGTGTTCTCATCCGGGGCCATCACCTGACCCGACAACTCCTCGGCATCCAGCCTTGTTATCCAAGCCATGCTAATGACAACCACCTTTGCACGAGCCTCGCGCGCGTGATTGCCAAATTCATACGCCGTCCACGGAGCCTCGAATCGATATGGGTTGATGTCCATGCAGATGCCCGCCGCCGCCTTGACCTGCTGACCCTTGCCGCCAATCGGCAGCACACCCGCCCAAAACCCCTGGCCCTCTTGAGCCCATGTTTCGTCCGTGTAGTACAGGAAGGATTTGCGGTAATGGGCAACAACGTCCCCTGTAGAGCTGACAAAAACGAGCGAATTGTAGGCGATTTTGCCTGTTTCTTCGGCGGTGATCCGTTGGTCATAGATGGTGTTGTAGTTGCCTTCCTCGGCGGCCTCCGGGTATCCCACTGCCACGGTGCATTTCAGACGTTTAGCGGTGCGGGCCGCCCATCGAGTGGAAGGTCCTGCCGCTGTTGGCTCGAGAAATGGTGCTATGGCTGCCAGGGATGGGTGATTGTACCCTGCCACCACGAATTAGCCCCCAACGGCGTAGGCTGTGCAGAACAGCAACGCCCATCTTTCCTCCACGCGAGACAATGTGCCCCTCCTATCAACCTCTTCCTCTTGGAAAACGGATCTCTACTCAGGTGCCTCTGACTGACTCACCGGTGAATGCAAGTTCGGGAAGGACCAGTAAGTCGACGTCCTCTAGAAGACCCTCTCTCTCTTCTCTCATCAGCAGACTTTCCGCTCGGCTGAAGTTGGCTGCGACCTCCCCCAGCCGCGGAGAGAACTGTAGAGTCGCGATCTTCATATCACCACCTGGGCAGTGACCACGGCGACATCTCGATCAAAGTCGCGAAAAAGAGGCAGTGATCACGCGAGGGGCATGCTCTAGCAACGGATAGCGGATTCTCGATTCCTCAGCACAGTTTAATCCCGAACTCAGCGACCCTGGAGGTGGGGAATGCCAGTGCTAAACAAATGCAAGAGGAGCAAGATCCGGTGCCGTGTACAAATGACTTGAGTTGAGATATGGTGGTTGATCAATCACAAATTCGACCAGAATTGCGGTGGGAGTGGCTACGGCGGAGCAGGGGAAAGTCTCGTCAATTTGCAGCACCCAATAAAAGTAGCAAGCATGTGGTTGTACCTACTAGGTAGGTAAGTATGGTAAGAGCGAAGCATTGGCCATTCCTGATCAAATCAGACATAATCTGATCTGATCAATCTGTATGATAATGCGGATCCGGTATCTGTAGGTCCCTAGCAATTCATAAGTCGGCGCCAGCCTTGTGCTGCTGTCGTAACACTTCAAGCAGCTTTTGCACCCTCTTCTTCCTCAGCAACATTCTCTTTCTTCTGCCTCTCTCTTTCCCGTTTCCTTTCTAATAACCGGTTCAACTTCTTGGCCACATTGAATACGCCTCCCGTTCCTGAGCCGCAGGCAGCACACGAGGGATCTTTTCGAAACCGTTTCAGGGCGCATGCCTCACAGAAGTAATGGCCACATTTCGTGACAATGGGGTTTGTATATGATTTTTTGCAGATAATGCAGGCAAACGGTATGCTCTCAAGTAGCTTTTCATCGTCTTCGTCCTCCTCTTTTGATTGAGCGTTGCGGTTGGCAGATGCCACAGTTTTGGCGGCCGGATTCTTTCCTTTGGTGCTGATTTCCCAATCTCGGTCAAGCTGCCAACCTTGCTTGTAGTCCTCACGTGCATGCAGGAATTTACAGTTGTCTCCAAATCCACAGAACCCGGTCTGCTTGTAATCCTTACAGACGTCGGGAGCAAAATCTGTAACGGTGATCGTCCTCACGTTGGTTGAAGATTTGACGGGTCCGACCTGTTTCGGGGCTCGATCTGGATTCTTCTGTATGAATGACTGATAGTTTGCTACGCCTTTGTATGTTCCATCCGAAGCTGCTATGTCTGTCGCTTTGGACGAAGACTTATCAGACTGTTTGTTGTCATCTTCATCGTACCAATTCGATGCTTTGGTGGCATCGTCCCTGTTCGTTGCAGCGATCACGGGTGCGGCCGAGGCCTCTTCGTCTGGCTTCTGGCGAGGTTGAGGATTGGCCTTTGACGATGCGGTGACGCCTGCATTCTTGCGCCTTCGCTTGATTTGTCTTCCCTCCTCGTCCTCGAATGATGAAAAGCCCGAATCCGAGTCATCGTCTTGTGGAGGGGTGGCGGCTCGCTTTCGAATGGTGGACTTGACTTTGGGATTTCTTTTTTTGAATGTGACTTGGGGTGTCTCAACGGCAACTTGTGGGTCCTCCATCGTGCGCGTAGGGTGAGAGAATCAGGAGGTGAAAGTCAGGAATATGAAGCACGACCGACTCAAGATTGAAGGCGCAAAGAGGAGGCGAGGCTTCTGGAAGCTGCGCAGACCGTAGCGCAGGCGGCGAGGCGGATTTCTAAACTCGCTGGATGTTGCTTGCATAAGCCAAGCAATTGATCGACAGCGCTAAACCTTATTTTCGACTCGCCATAGTTTCCTTGTGTGGACATTCCTGTCACTTTCTCCGACTGCATCTCCAACCCCTTCTGCCCTTCAACCTGCGCCCATTCTGAACCCGCAGGATAGACACACCCAACAGCATGTGGCAGCGTTAGCACTCGACCTTTCTGTTCTCTTCTACCATGTTATTCAATCTCATGTTGCCTTGAACATACCTATCCCTTCCTTGGGTGGCCTGTCATCCCGCAAACAGGGCCATGGTAGACAATGCAGGCCCAGGTCACCAAGCTGGGACTTCTGGAGACGCCTCTCCAATTCTCAGTCCGACCGCAGAGGAGCGTAATCGACGTAAGATAGTCAGCTTCAAGGTCACCCATGTCCTTCTCACTCTCTTTCTCTTATGGTTGATGTGAGTGGTGAAAGGCAACGCGTTGTGCCTGCGCTCAAGCCATCGGCTGACTGAGTTAGGACTGTACATATTGTTGGCATTCTCTTCTTTGCTAAAGGCTTTCTTCTCACCAGATTGGTGTTGGACAACAAATCCGAATGTGGCATACTTCCATCTGACAAGCCTTCTCGAGAAATTGGCGGATGCTGGCATCCAAAGTCGTTCGATCGGGCGGTTGTCATAATAATTGATGCTTTACGATATGATTTCACCATTCCTTCTCATCGTTTCTATACAGAACCTCAGAAAAAGTTCTATTTAGACAATCTGCCCATTCTTCACCAGACCGCTGCTTCAAACCCTGCCAATGCAATCCTGCTCCCATTTATCGCCGATCCTCCGACTAGCACCCTCCAACGTCTCAAGGGCTTGACAACTGGTACTCTTCCTACATTTATCGATATTGGTTCAAATTTTGCGGGTACAGCTATCGAAGAAGATAATATCATTTCTCAGCTGAAAGATGCCGGCAAGACGATTGTACAACTTGGAGATGACACATGGCATTCCCTCTTTCCTGGATATTTCCATCCGAATATGACACATCCGTATGATTCTTTCAACGTGTGGGACCTGCATACTGTCGACAATGGGGTCATCGAGCATATTATGCCTTTGCTTGACCAGACGCCGGTCCAGTGGGACGTTATTTTCGGCCACTTCCTTGGGGTTGATCATGCAGGCCACCGGTACGGTCCTGACCATCCGGCAATGGCCGAAAAGCTCCGTCAAATGGACGGTGTCATTCGGCAAATAATGGAGAAGATTGACGAGAAAACGCTCCTTGTCATTATGGGCGACCATGGTATGGACACCAAGGGCGACCATGGTGGGGAATCCGATGACGAGATCGAAGCAGCGCTTTGGATGTATTCCAAGAAGCCTTGCTTCGGCCGCATCGACGCGGCCGACAGCTTGCCTCCGGCTACAGCGAAGGAGCGCCCAGTTGGCCAAATTGATCTGGTCTCAACTCTATCAATCCTCCTTGGCCTCCCCATCCCCTTCAACAACCTCGGCAAACCAATTGCTGAAGCTTTTGCAGGGCCTGGTACGACGGACTGGGAAAATCTTGCCAGAGTGGAGCAATTGGTCCAGAGTCAGATCTCACGATATCAAAAGTATTATACGCGCTCGCGGGACCTAGGTCTGCCCCAAGAAGCATACACCAAGCAGAACCAGTATGTGGTCGACGCAGTAGATGCTACGGCGCACGGCAAGTGGCAGGAATCACATAATGCCCTTGTCAACTGGCATAGAGAGGTGATATCCATGTACAGACAACTGTGGGCCAATTTCAACTTGACAGATATGTTGATTGGTGTTCTGCTTTCGGGTCTCGGGTTGGGGTTTTTGTTCCTGTTTTCCTGCTTCTTGGAAGGAGACAAAGCCGGTCTCGCAGTGCATCTGCTCAGGAGCGCTGGACTGGGCTCCATGACAGGCGCTGCGCTCGGCGCGCTGACTGGACTTTTCTTGCCTGCGCACTTCACTGTGGCGGCGGGATTGATCTTCGGCGCAGGGATCGGAGGCGTCGTTGCCGCTTGCTTCTGGTCTTGTCAACACCTTTTCGCTCCAAAGTCGTATGTGCCATCCGCATGGGGGTGGTTGGCTTTCGTCTTCTGTGTGGCCCAATCGGCGGGATTCGCATCGAACTCCTATACCATCCACGAAGACACCATCCTCCTCTTTTTCCTGAGTTCATTCGGCATCGTCTCCTTGGTCTCGTCATTACGACAAGCGTCCAAACCTGATCGAGTACTGGGCGCATACCAATCCGTCGTCTTCGTATTCCTCACCCGAGCCGCGTCATTTTCACGTCTTTGTCGAGAAGAGCAAATGCCGGGCTGTCGCTCCAGCTTTTATGCTTCGACAAACTCATCAATCTCGGCCCCCTGGCAGCTTCTCATCCCTTACACCGTGGCTCTGATCATACCGGAAATCATTAAGGCGTTCTACAAGGGCACTGCATCGTATGCAGGGTCGGCCGGGTTTTGGATTGGCTTCAGTGTCCGCATGGGCTTGTTGCTCGTTGCTGCCTACTGGACGGTAGATGCTGCGGATAATGGGGACTGGCTGCTGGAGCGAGTCTCATCAGCGACGCTCAAGACAGTCAACATCACGCTGGCCAGGTGTGCCCTGGCAATCGCAATTCCTGTCGGGATAGGGACCTTTGTGTGGGCAAAACCCTGTATCGATATCTCGATAACCGAAGCGACGACTGCCAAGGACGAATCTGGCGCCCGTGGCCGGCCCCAGCTAGCTGTCTTTGGCTATGCCAACGTCTTTGGCAGCCGTCACTTCATTATGATACCGATCCTTGTCCTTGCAGTGTCACTGCTTCTGCCACCCATGGGTCAGTATTCCATCGCTATTCTCAGCTGGCAGATCTTGTGCCTCCTCGAGATCCTAGATACCAACGGACTTATGATTACCTCTGCCACCAAATCCAGCATTGGCCCTATTATGCTCGCAATCCTGGGCTCCTACCATTTCTTCAAGACCGGACACCAGGCAACCCTAGCCTCGATTCAATGGAACTCGGCATTTGTGCCGCTGCGTACGATTCAATATCCTTGGTCTCCGCTTCTTGTCGTGCTCAATACCTTTGGAGCTCAGATTATCTGCGCGGCAGCGGTGCCATTGACGGTTCTATGGAAGAGACCGGTCGACAAAGCAGGTGTACGCGGGTTATGGAACGACGTGCTCGGGGCTTGTCTTAAGCACGCTCTGTACTATGCGACCATCCAACTGGCAACGACGATGTGGGCAGGACATCTGCGACGGCATTTGATGCTGTATCGAGTTTTCATGCCACGATATCTCATGGCCAACGGGGTGCTGCTGATCGTGGATCTAGTGCTGGCTTTGTTTGCCTTGGCCAGCGTTCGGGTGGTCGGGCTCAGTGTTGGGGAGGTGTTCGGCTTTTGAACCCCACGGACTAGTGGCTCGCTGCGGGATCTGCACCGAGCCGAGAGAAGGTTCTCTAGCCATTATTGAGCAAGTTCCGGTGTGGAACTGATGGGCTAAGGTCCTCAGTTCGTCAGTTGGTCTGGATCTGGCAAATGTATTCTGTACAAACCTCGAGGCAGACACGGATCAAGTCTTACGGCATCAAACCATTCATCTAAGAGAAGCAGCCATTAGTCACGCGATACACGGAAAGAGAAAAGCTGACTCAGGACAGACTCTTAAGGGGTCTCCAAGCACCTGTTGGCCGTTGAAGCTGGATTTCCGAAAGCGAAGAATGGGGCCCAGGCACAAGCGCTGAATGCAATGTCAAGCAATGGCCGTGCGTCTGTCAATGCCCTTACGTCATCAGCCAATCTTCGTTGCCCAATTGACCGAAGCAGCTCCAGCAGCTCCAGCGACTCCAGAGACACTCGCCGTATATTAACCAGCTGCGGGTTGCAGTCACTGTTCCAAATTTTCACTTGCTCCCTTCTTCTCTTCTTTCTCTTCATTCTCTTCAGACTTGTCTTGAAAGACCTCTTCAGATCTTGCTACCTCGTCTCGCCTTATCACAAGCCAACCATCCTACAACCCCCTCTGCCATACTCTGTACCCCGCACCCATCACCCATTGAGAAACCCCCTCCATCCGCCAAAATGCCTATCTCGGTGCCCTCCGCCACCTCTCTCCACGACCTGTTCAGCCTCAAGGGCAAGGTCATCATCGTCACCGGTGCCTCCGGACCCACCGGTATTGGTACTGAAGCTGCCCGAGGATGTGCGGAAATGGGTGCCGACGTGGCCATCACCTACTCGAGTCGTCCGCAGGGAGGTGAGAAGAACGCCAAAGAGCTCTCGGAGAAGTATGGCGTCAAGTCCAAGGCGTACAAGTGCAACGTCGGCAGCTACGAAGAGGTGGAGAAGCTGGTCCAAGACGTCATCAAGGACTTTGGCAAGGTCGATGTCTTTATTGCCAACGCCGGTCGAACCGCCGACAGCGGCATCCTTGACGCCCCCGTTGAGAAGTGGAACGAGGTCATCCAGACCGACTTGAACGGTGTCTACCACTGCGCCCGAGCCGTCGGTCTGCATTTCCGCGAGCGCAAGACCGGCAGCTTCATCATCACCGCGTCCATGTCTGGTCACATTGCCAACTATCCTCAAGAACAGGTCAGTTTCTGATGACCTTTTTTCGTGTGTGATTTTACTAATTGAATATGTAGACCTCCTACAACGTCGCCAAAGCCGGTTGCATCCACATGGCCCGCTCGCTGGCCAACGAATGGCGAGATTTCGCCCGCGTCAACTCCATCTCCCCCGGCTACATCGACACCGGTCTCTCGGACTTTGTGCCCCAGGACATCCAAGCGCTGTGGCACAGCATGATCCCCATGGGCCGTGACGGCAAGGCCACCGAACTCAAGGGGGCCTACGTCTACCTTGCAAGCGATGCCAGCTCGTACACGACCGGCACTGATATCATCGTCGATGGTGGATACTGCGCCCGATAAATGCTCAATGGCAGAAAGAAGGTCAATCGAGGTGCACTGAGAAAATAGTTGGAACCATGAACCATGAGCGAGTTGAGGGACTTAGTCTCAGCCACCTGCAAGCTGCTTGCAAAGACGTGGTGTGTTGTGGTGCAGGGACCTCGAGAGGCACTGACACTGACACGTGTGACGAGGCTGAGCTAAAACTTCCCCGTTCAGGGGCCAAAATTCATACAAACCCATCTACAAATGAAACCATTTCTCCAAACGAGCCAAAAAGCTACGCCGTGTTTTGTCCATCCTGCAACCAATAAACAAGTGTTGCGTCTTCTTTGATCTCTTCCCTCTTTTCTTTCTCAAGCCCACCCCACCCCCGGTTTACATCCTCATTTCGCAACTCCGGCTATCGAGATGCGCGGCTTGCTTCAACTCGGTCACCGAATCTCATGGACCTTCGCCGTTTCTCACTCGCTTGCTTTTTTTCGACGTTGTGAAGAGAAGAAAAGAAAATAATTACCCGTTTGCCCCTCCTCCAATGTGGCTACCTAGATAGGTAGATGGATAGTCATCTCAGAGTCCCGGCCCGGGTTGAACTTTCGTTGGCTGCACCCTCGTGACCGCCTGCCCTCTCAGCCTGCGCCGTCCTTTTAAGCCCTGCAATATGGAACACCGGTATCGAATCGATGCTGCAGGTGGATCAGTCTGATCACGCATGTGACCGCGCCTCCCACCGTGCAAGCGGCGAGGAAAGAGAAAAACGCCTGGGGAGGTACAGACAGGCTCTAACAATGTACTTTCTTCGATTGGCTGCCAGGGTCAGCTTTGTGGTGCGGGGCGGGCGTCATACTCGCACATCCTCAGCATCGCCGGGCAGACGAGGCTGTGTATACAGACAGGTACTATCAAGTAGACTGACTGATATCCCTCGTTCGAACTCTAGTAGTTGTTGCTATTTCCCACCCTCACCCAAGACTTGCCCCCTTACGTATTCCTCGATTCCGTCATCGCCTTCCTCAAGCTTAATCTCCCACTCATCCCGGCACTCGGCCTGGCCGCCCCCAAGAGCACCTGATACGGTCTGTGTCCCTCCACGGTCAACCTCTTCTCGCCACTGACGCCATCCGCGAACTCATCCCTGGTCTCCACGGGCCTCCAATCCCCTTCCTCGATCTTCTCGCCGTCGTATTCCGCCGTAAAGTCCACTTCTCTGATCACCAGGGCGAGGACGACCTTGGCCTCCATCATGGCGAGTTCCTGGCCGATGCAGTTCCGGGGACCCTTTTCGAACGGCCGCCACGCGTCTTTCCCGGCCGGCGTGTGGAGTTTGCAGTCCGGAAAGGGTGTTAGCGCAGGGATGAAGCGCTCGGGAATGAATTTCAGGGGGTCCGGGAAATATGCCTCGTTGCGGTGAATCATGTGCGAGACCGGCCACATGTCAAACCCTACCATGGGGCATTCTTTGCCCGTTGACGGATCGATGATGATCGTCTCCTTTACCGAGGAGATTTCGCTGGGACGTTTTAATTCGCGGATGGTCGAGGCGGGGGGGAAGATGCGAAGCACTTCTTTGATGACGGCGCCGAGGTACTCGAGTTTGTTGACGCTGTGCGGGTCGGACTTGATCAGCTCGGCCATTTCGGACGCCGTGACGTCGTGGCCGAAGACCGCGTCAAGCTCTGCGACGAGTTTGGTGTAGACGTGCTTGTGCAGATGTACGAGGTACATGGTGTATGAGATGGTCGCGCTGGTGGTGTCGTGGCCTGCGAAGATGAAAGTTTTGATGCTGTCGATTGCCATTGTGCGGAACGAGCTCGTCATGCCGCCACTACCACCTCCTTTGGCGGCCGCTGCGACCTCCTTCTCGTACGCGTCGAGAGCAAGGTCCACAATCGAGCGCTTGCGGTCTTTCTTGGGCTTTTCCACATCACTGGCACCATTGGTACCCTGTGAGGTCTTCCGGGCAGCTATCTTCTTATCGATCTCGGCACCCAGCAGGGCGTCAAGTTTCCTTGCATTCCACCAAAGTCGGATGGGACGGATGAGATTGATGTCGTCAAGCGGTCCGATACTGGCGGCGTTCGGCATCATCTGCACCTGTTTTCGAAACGTGGTGACGATCGGGTGTGGACGTTTCTGGCTGTCAAAGTCCGAGTCCATGACCACTTTGCCAATGATGTCAATGGCAAATCCTATGGACAGAGGGTCGAGTTCCACGAGCTCGTTGGATTTGGCCTTTTCGAGAAGCAGATCGAGGAACACGAGGCTGGAGTCGACCACGTAAGGGACCAAAGTGATCAGGTGGCTTGCGGAGAAGCCTGGGTTGAAGATGGATCGGAGGGACTTCCAGGCCTGGCCTTCCAAGCCGACCATGTTGTTGGCGCCGAGGAGTTTTGTCAAAAAGTCGGTCGTCAGTCGCGATTTCGGCAGCGATTGCCCTGCTGTCAAGTACTTGGAAGCAACCTCCGGGTCGGCAACGAATAGCCAGCGGGGACCCAGTGGCCACCAGTCGACGTAGAAGACATCTGTGAGTTGGATGTGTTCTCAGCATTTGACATTGAAGACGCGTAGATATAGGTTCACAGACTGAAGCAATACCTCACGGTACAGCCCTTTGTCACAGAGAACGCCGAGACTCCATGGCCGGTAGAACTTACCGCCCAACTCATATTTCTTCCTGATATAGTTCCCCCAGTTTTGGACGTGACAATTCGGAGGGAAGAGCTTCTTGCAATCTCCTGCAATCTTCAAGTGACCCCAGAACCGGCTTTCCATGGGCGGTTGTGGCTGGACAAAAGGGGGCGTCAGCGTCTGCTATAGCAACCCTCCCCCCCACCACTTGGAAGGCGCCGAATGGTCCGGTGATATGCATTAGTAGATGCGAGACACTTACCAGTCCATCGAGCTCTGCTCGTTTCTTGTAGACCAGGTTGACAAAGTACACTGCTGCCGCTGTCAGCAGTGCTAGGACTGCTGATATAACCCGCCACATGGTTTCAGCATCCACCTGAGAAGTTTGCAGATAAACCCTTTTTTTACTCTTCCCAAATAGATGCAGAAGATGCAATATATATGTAAGCTGGCAGCTGTGTCGTCCGAAGCGAAGGAATATGGGGTATTTGATAGTGGAATTTGTGATATCGAATCACGACTGGTTGCGTTGCACGGGGGGCTATCGGTCCGAAAACAAAAGGGGCACTAATCAGCTTGTTGGCCAGCATCCATTCGGTGAGATGTGTCTCTCTTGCAGCCACAGGTAAGCAGCGGAACGGGCAAAGAGTACGGTGGCTGCCCAGAAACACGAGCCAGAGTAGAAGAAATCTCAGGTGGACTAATATGCTGTTTCCCCGTCCAATGTAGTTGATTCAAAGTAACTGACCCGCAACAAGGTCCGCTGTTGAGAGGAGCTCTCGTGCGGATAGATTGCTAAAGGAAAAGCAGCTGGCGGATTGACTGCTTGTTGGTGCTAGGTCGAACGACGAAGGATTCAAGCAGCGGCCGCATCCCCTGGATTCTAGTAGTTGAGAGCCGAATCGTACGATCAGAAGCCCGTGAGGCGTCCCATGGGGGCGGAAAGCAGCACGTTGCTGCAGTGTGACTCTTTTAGGCTGAGTGCATCTGGAATCTGGACCATTCCTCACTGCAAATGTTTGTAAGCCGCGCTTGGCTCGTAGGATGAAGAACCATGATCAAAGCTCGATGTGGAAAACCATTTGATATAATACGAGGTATATGGACTAGAAGACTTAGGAAGCCTTGTGGTACCACCCTGAGCCATAATGCTTCTACCCAGCTTCCACTGGTATCCCTCACGCAGGGCTTTAAATAGATATGTTCATTTTTAATGCCAATCACGAAAGAACAGAGGAAAATGCTGGGACAGTCCTAGTCGACAGTTCCAGAGGTCCGGACTGCAGCGGGTAGACTTCAGCCTCCATACATCGAATGATATGCAATATGTGTGCAGAGAGATGATGTCACGGATGAGAATAAACGCGCTGGCCTTTGTCTGCAGGAGAACTCATGTACCCATTTTCGTCCATTATGTGTCGAAGATCAGAAGGTATTTACTGGCCCCGTCTATTGGGGGTCGTTCGACATCAGGAAGAGATCAGAGCCTTAAACACTCGCGCAACAGCCGTTGTGCTGGCGATGCTTTGTCCAACAGTGTAGTCTGGCCAGTAGCGGTCGAAATGTGGGATAATTAATGACAGGGCGAACCAGTGCTGCTTATCATAAGATCGTGAGATGTCGAAGCGGATGTGTAAAGACAGGGTTTCTGGAGTGTGACTGAGTCAACGAAGATCGACGCTTAGGAGACGGAATGCAGTTGCTCTACTGCTGAGTAGAGAGACTATCCTGTGGCGAGGACATTGCTTCGGGAAGGTATGGCAACATCGCCTTGCCAAAGTAGCCGAGCAAGGCGAACTGACTGCGGTAGAGAGTGTCGGGCCAGCGCAAGAGAATGAGAGGAAGATAGACTCTCTCTATCGACTATCCCACGTTTGAGCTGGCATCTCAAAGGGTCGGTCCATCGTCCCCATTTGCGGCGAAGTTGCCTGCGGTGAGCCCATGTTATATCCCAGGGTCGCACCAACATTGGGAGAATTGGAGCTCACGACGGTTTGAGTCTATCGGTCAATGTATTAGCACACATTTGTCTTCAAAAAACAGTAACGAACATGACTAGAGGTCACAGGGGCTGAGACGTACATCGCTTCCTTGACTCGATAGCCACTGATTTACACTCGCGGTCGTTCCGTTCATTTTCTCACTCCCATTCAATTCGCTGCGTGCTTCTGTCGGTGACATCGCCGTCCAATGAGAGTGGCGGTCCGCGGCTGAGCCTGCGTTCTGGGCGGCGTTGCCGTCGCCCATCATTGGCGTAGTCATAGTGGGCTGGCCATGCTCACCTGCGGCTCCAGGGATATTCCTGCGGCGCCGGCTGCGGTAGAAGAGTAATGCGAGTCCGCCAACAATAAGAATAAGACCAAGGACCCCGCCTACCACACCGCCGACAATGGGCCCGATATTTTTGTTGTTGCTGCTGCTATCTTTGGATGCCGAGGCTGAACTGGTTGTTGCGCCAGCAGTGGAAGTGCTTACAATGATAGAGCTGGTGGATGATGCCGTGGCAGTTGCCACTGGATCACAGGACGCCTTGAGCGCGTAGCCACCACCTTGGTTTTCAAAGTTCGTTCGGATTGCTGGAGCCATCTTGAACTGAGATCGCTTGTAGTCCCCAATCACGTAGTTCATGGTCATGAAAGGAATTCCCCAGTTTAGGACGTAACCATCATTAGAAGCGTTGAAAAGCGTAGCGATTTGGTAGGTGTTGTCGATGACTGTGTATTGGCCGTCGTCATTGTACCCTCGAGGGTAATAGAACAGTTCCTCTGCAGGGATGGTCGTTTTATATCCATTTTGCAGCGTGACGACTAGTTGGCCAGTCGGCACAGCAGTGGATGGGTATGATAGGTACGAGGCGTTGAGAAGGATGCCGTTGGTCGCTTTTTGGAAGTTCTCCCACACATTCTGTGGCACATTCAGCGAACGTTCGGAGGGTTGAAGGTTGACCTGAAGAGATTCAGACGAGTTGGAGAAGAGACTTGTCGAGCCCGTTTCGTCTTCATAGGCAAGGCTGGTGATAATGACACACATCTCGCACTGCTCCAAAGAGTTGAAAGTCGTCAAGGTGCCGTTGATCCGGGTAGTGTCGTAGCCGCCAACAACCAGAGAACCGTCGACGGGATTGGCGGTAGAGCGAGAGCCGGTCCAAAGCCCAAAGACGGTGGATGGTACAGCGCCGCTCTCCATAGCGACCCGCAAAAAGTCCGAGCTGGATCCAAGAGGCATGACGCCTTGGCCACCATAGCCAGGTTCATCGTAGCTGGCAGGAAACCCATCGACAGAAGCATTTCCAAAGGTTAAGACGTCGTTGAAGTAGACAAAGGACAACTGATTGGGGTTTCCCTCGTCAGTGCCGTTCCATTGACCTTCCGCAACCTGGAGAAAGCTTTTTGAAGTTGAATAGTCGAAGACACCACCGAATTGGCCGATACACGAGTCATTGTACTGAGGCGCGCACTGTGCTTTGTTCACGACGTATAGGTTGTCGTCGGCGGTACTTGGCCTGAGGGAAACTATCTGAGGTGGAGTTCCCATCGAGACCTGAATTCCCCTGCTGATGGCCTGTTGATCGGTAGTGACGGTGACATTGGACCAAGACAGAAACATCGGAGGGGCTCCATTCTGGCAGAGCGACATTGTGCTCAAAGGTTCGTGGAATTAGCCACGTCTGTGGCAGGTTCTATCTGTCAGTGGTTCGATGAGGTCTTTGGAAAGAACTCTCGTTCTCTCCAGGAAATGGAAGCTACTGGCCACCGATTCACGGAATCTGAGATTGAAAGATTTGTGGGAGTGAGGAAGCGAAAGAGATTTGAGGCACGGACACGGCCATGCGAGGTCTCTCTGCACGTTATCCGATCGGCGAAGCGGCTCAATTCAGCCCAACTGCTCCTGAAATTGCGTTTTGCGCGCCTTATGCACTGTTATTGCCTTGGCGGTTTAGCAAGGTTTGGCTCACGCGAGGCCCAACCACGTTTTCTGGGATTCACAGGGTTGAGTACGAGGTAGGTGATCAGCCTATCCACTTACCTCACTGCCTCAGCACGAGTAGCGGCCCGACAGGATGTTGAAAGCAGCACCCACAGTGCGTATGCCTGTTTTCACCGTGCCCGAAGATTTGGTGAGATCGCTGATATGGAATCATTCTGAGCTCTGGCTGGATTCGGTCATGTTATGGTTGACCGATCTTGTCCAAATGGTCTGAGCCGGTGCGTTTGAGAAGGTCAAGGTTAGTGGGTCTTTAGCCTGGCAAGTAAGGTCTTGACAAATTAATCGACAGAGTAAGATGTGATGGTGCTTAAAACGGCATGGCTGTGCGGCTCTTCAGATATAGTGCCACCACCCGGTAGACCGCTGTACCTCGTATCGTGACCAATTCTGAAGCAGAAAAAGCGTCTTCCGACAAGACCGATCACAGCCATTTCAAGAAAAAATCGTAGCAGAGGCCGAGGGAGTAACATCCTCCGAATTGTTCGGATACGGATATTTTGGAAAAGCAAATCCCAAAGAGTACAGTAACGGCTTCAGTGGCAGGTCAGAAAAGGGGCATTTCAGCCACATGGCAACATGGTGTCGTGCCCTAGAGAAGCCCATTTCCCTGAAACAAAGGCCGCAGACGTTAGCCAAGACATATCACTGCGAACGGGCCAAAGCTTAGTTTAGTGGTAACGCAAAGAGCAGGGAACCAAGGGCGTGAACAACAGAGGTCGCCGGCGAGGTCGATGAAGTTGCCCCAGAGTTTGACCCCTTTCTCGTCTCCTCACAACTTGGCATGGCTCGAAAGAGATTGGGCGAACTGTTGATCCTGGGCCATGCTCGCTTACCATCCCTGCTTAGCGGGGAACTAATGGTGCTTCCAAGATCTTGTTTCGGCTTGACGGTATTGGCTCGCCGTAGATAGAAATTGGCCCTTCAGCCAGTTCATGGGATGTGTGACAGAGCATTAATGTGCATGGCTGAGCAGAGGCATAGATTCGCAATGGGCCGCCGGTGACAAAGCTCAGAAGTCTCAAGAGGCATTGGAGTCGACTTTTCATAACCAACAACGAGTACTATTGATTTCGCAGTCGCCATGGGTAAATTTGTCCAGAGAGGATGCTCGCAAACCAAGCGCAAAGCACGTCGTGGGTAAGTCGCCCAGTTATTGTCGTCACGCAGACAGTTGCTGCATGAACTTCCAGAGCTAGAAATATCCTCATCAACCTACTTCTGAATGTAAGTTGGTACGTAAACCTCGGTATTTTTCAGCACCTCCTCTTGGTTTGGACAGACCGGTCCAGAGTGTTGCGGAAATGAGTCAAAACACAAACAAAGGATCTGTCGTTTGATCTCGGAGGCAGCTTGGGGGAGCAATCGATGCATTTCCCACGTCCCGCTGTGGTGCATCTCTTTAAGTGCAGGATTGAATGACTGAAGGTAAGTGAAGGCAGACAGTGTGGAACTTCAAAGGAGAAGATGGATGTGTTGGGAGAAAATTGGCACAAAGGGGAGAATGGGCACTGACTGGAAGAGGTCGCGGTAAAGCGCCGGTATAGAATGGCCTCCGCAGTCACCACCACTCCATGCACCGAGACATCTTTCTCTCAGATGAGTCGCAACTGTGCCCAAATCCTTCGAAATTCACGTCTTCTCAACCACTCATGAGTGACAGCATCCTCCTTTGCCGGTCAAGCGCGGGTCCGGTAGCGCTATGGTCGGCAGTGACTGGAAGTGACTATGGTCCGGCAGACTGTCACTCTATCATCACCATCACCAGTACAAATACCTAGGTACGGAATCATCGTCTCCGACTTTACCGTTATCACTGTCAACTGTCATCGGAAGATGCAATCAACATTGGGCGCCTACCTCAGGATATAAACTCCTCATGGTTGATGGTTGATGGTTGACGGTTGGCGCATTGCACTCTTCGTCCCTCCTTCTGCTGATCGATCTCGCTGCAACAATTACAGCTCTACCAATCATCAAGTCATCTCTTTATATCATAAATTACCAGAGTTCCAGCTGCGACAAAGCTCTCTCGACCTCAGCCAAAACATGGACCGAGCCACCCCTCGCTCTAATCCAAACTACGACGTCTACTTCTCCGACGAAAAGATCAAGACAGTGGTGGAAAGATGTCTTCCTTTTGTCAAGCGCGAGCACATGGTCATCGAGCACCTGCCGTCAGGAAAGTCCTTCAACAACCGGATCTACTTTATGAATCTCACCGAGCCAGTTCGCACTCTCCGACCAGAGTGGAACGGAAATGAAGTCGAAGTGACAAAAACAACCACCGAGGTTCAGTCCTCTTTTCTGGTGCTCAAGATAGCCGGCCATCCCTTTGGACGAAACAAAGTCCAGAACGAGGTAGCCTGCCTTCTCCTCCTGGAAAAGCACTGTCCATCCATCCCGGCGCCAAAATTGCTCGCTTGGTCCGACGATGGCAAGAGGGTCAGGACACCTCAATATCCCCGCGGTTTCAGAGACACGGAACCAAAGAACATTCCAGTGCTGGCGATCAAAGAGGACGGGACCCCGATTGAGGATGCTCGCAAGGACACCGAGGGACAAGGCTGGATTCTGATGACGCGCGAACCAGGAAGGCCGATCAATCCAAATGACTTGATGGGTGATGCCGGGGATGAGTTGATGCGTCAAATCGCTGTACATGTGGCTACATGGCGGAAGAACATGCCCCCAGCAAAGGCGGTAGGCAATTTGCGAATTGTTGGGAGCAACTCCACTCCCCAGCCTGCAGCCGTTCTTTTCGACAAAGCCATTCTACCAGGGTTCGAGGTTCATATTGATGGGTTGATAACCAACAATTGTCCACCATCTCCCTTGACCACTTCAGAGAAGTATCATGCCTTCGTGCTCAAAAACTCACTGAAGCGGCTCAAGGATGGGAAGCTGTACAATCACACCTCGGACGAGGTCCACGAGTTGGTGAAGCGCATGGCTGACAACACTCTCCCCAAGCTCCCCTTGTTTCGCTATGGAATTGAGCCCATGGTGTTCACACACGATGATCTTTCGACCCGCAACGTCCTCGTCTCGCCCGACGGATCGGGCAACGTCAAGCTCTCGGCCATCATCGACTTCGAGTTTGCGGGCTTTTTCCCCAAGGAAGAGGAATTCGCCATGAACATGCAAAATGACCAGGAGGAGTGGCCAATCAAAAAGTACGCCGTGTTCTTGTCCGAGTTGAAGAATCGCGAAGCCTTGCCGGAAAACTTGACGCAAAAGATCCCACCGCCATCGTCGGTCGGAAATGCCGTGGACAAGTGTTTCGAGTTTGGGACGGCCGAGTTCCACCAAGCTGTGCTTCTCCTGCGCACCACGATCAACACTGCGCCCTGGTGGATCAAGGAAGAGAACGGGTATAACGAGGAGCAGTTGCAGGCGGAGATGGAGGCTGCCAAAGCCAGAGTCGAGAAAGCCATCAAGTTGTTGGAAGAGATGGTGCCGGCTGAGGAACGTGAAAAGCGCAGCCGAAGGCGAACCAACAGCACGCGAGCGTGAAAGTGGCCCAACCCGGGAATACCGATCACGACGCTTGTCGCACACGCATACGGAGAGTGAGGAGAGAGAGATGGCGGGTAAAGAAGAGTCCGGAGCGAAGAAGAGGGTGGTTGGTTGGGGTATCAAAGGATAATTGACTGGCGCATGGGCGGCGGGATCTGCTTGACATCAGAGACTCATGTACGAAGGATCTAGTCTCCCAATGACCTGTCATAGTCGGCTGGACATATGCAGACAAGGCTGTACAGATGTGGCAGCAACACTCACTGACTAGAAAGGTCATCATCATCGTGCACAAAGATGCCATGGCTTTTCTTGTAGCTAGATACCATCACAGCTACGTAAATGCATACACCTGCGAGCACGGGAAGCTGGCCAACTATGTAGGCTGGCTTGCACTGAGAGCATAGCATTCGTTAGATTTGAATCAAAAGGTCCACACAATGAACGGATGGAGTCAAGCGATTCCGGACTTGTCTTGTCCTCTTCCTTGCGCCGCTATAATATTCGACATTCTACGGGCCTAATTAGGTGAGCACCTTCTCGACCCTCCAGCCCGTCTTGCTCTTCACATCCATGACCTGCCTGACTTTTGCCGGCGGGAGGGGCCAGCCCAGAGCACCGCCAACACTGGCGCGCAACTCAACCGTAACCCAACACTCCCTCCGTCTCGGCGATCCGGGCATCTCCTCGATCTTGGTCTTGGGGACGGGTTTGCCGTAGTTCACCAGGGCCGTGTCGCGAGCAATGTACGCCAGCTGAGCAGCAGTGACGGGCGTGAGGGGGAACATTCTCGTCTTGGGGATCGCGTGCGAAGAGGATGATGCGCTGGTGATGGTGTGGGTCTGGGAACGCTGTAGGTGGCTGTAACAGATATACTCGGGCAGGTCTTTGATGTTTGCCCTTGCGAGGACGGATGATGGGTGGATAAACACGGCTTTCTCGTTCAGTGGGGCAGACGGGGACTCGTGCAGAGGGACCAGCGGGAGGTAAGGCACGTCGATCGGCCGGCGCGGTTTTATGGGAATGTCGGATGGGGGTTGCGGCGCCTTATCGTAGCGGATGGCGATTTGGTCAATGTAACCCGAGGCGACGATTGTGTTGATTTTTGTGGCTACTTTGCTCAACGAGGAGACTTTGGTCGTTTTTCGGGCCTTGGAGATCGTTTCAGTGGTGATTGTGTTGCGATGGTTCATGCGCACCAGATGGTCCAGCTGATCACGCAGTTGGGCGATTTCTGCCATGGCTTTGGGCCGCAGGAAGAGAGACTTGCACAGGGCCTCTCTGCTGGCCGGAGAGCTGCTGTCGAGATATAGAGACACAGCGGTAAGAAGCTTCATTGCGTCCGAGGTTTTGTCGTTTTTGCTCAGCGTGGCCCGGGCACGGCCATACTCTTGTCGGAGCTTCTCGCGGCGGTCGTCTTCCTGTTGCTTCTCGATCGTGTATACTCCTTTCTCTCCCTCCTCGTCTTCGTTATCTTGTTGACGAACGGCTGCCGTGGTCTTGTCATCGTTGAGATTGAGTTGCGCTTCTGTGACAAAGATCTCCGGTACCGCGAGAGCGGAGACGAGTGCGAGAATTTGCCAAAGCAAGTCTGGCTCGGCTACACTCGCTGCCAGGATCTTACCGAGGCGAGGCGACAGCGGATACATGGACAATTGTCTTCCCAAGTCCGTGATCGAACCGCTACTCGTCAGGGCTCCAAGGTTCCTCAACAATTGCTCTGCCTTGTTCAGAGTCTGGGCAGCCGGTGGCGTCGGGAACGGGAATTCAGCGATCGGTCGTGGATAGGCGAACCCCTTCAATTGCAGCACCACACTCTCGGCGGGTGCCCTTAGAATTTCGGGCTCTGCATGATCGGGAAAGAATTGCTCATATACTGCTGATGAGTAGAGCCGCCAACAGTGGCCTGGCCCTGTACGTCCCGCACGGCCGGCACGCTGCTGCGCGCTGGCTTTGCTGATATAGTCGATTTCGAAGCTCTGCACGCCCGTGTCAAGATTGTACTTTCGTTCCTTGCTGCGACCAGTGTCAAAAACGTAGCGTATACCGGGAATGGTCAGACTCGTTTCGGCTACGTTGGTTGCAAGAACAATCAGTCGTGCCCCGGGAGGCGGGGGTTCAAAAACCTTTAGTTGTTCGGCGGTGGGCAGTTGCGAGTAGAGCGGGAGAATATGAACAGATGTGTATGGGTCCATTGGTTTCGAATGTACCCGAATTTGAGAAGCCGTTGTCTCATCTTCCTCTTGGTCCTCATCATCTGAAATATCAAACTCCTTCTCTTCCGCTTCATCTTCTGAGTGCGTCAAAATCTCCATCTCAAAATCGTCCTGTTCGTCGTCCACTTTCACAGCGCTCAATTCGAAGTCCTCAACTTCAAGTGGTGCTTCACATGCAGCGATTTCTACTCGAGGTGCGTTCGTCCGGCCCCTGCTGTCATTCCCCCGGGCCAGGAGAGCATTCAGTCGGTTGCCGACCTGCTTGATTTCGTTCTGACCAGTTAGGAAAACAAGGATGCTGCCTCTAGGAAGTTTCCGGTGAGCACGTCTGACCTTTTCGATCACTTCTTCCACGTAATCTGCTCGTGACCTTAGCGCAAAGTGTGTTGTTACACGATGTTGGCGTCCCTCAGCTTCAACTATGGGCGGTCGCAGGGACGCTGAGAAGAGCTTCTCGTGGAGAAAATCACCAATGTTGAGTGTAGCAGACATGATGACCAATTTGAGGGGAGTCGGATTCGGATTGAATTGGTTCTTCTGCATCCGCGCTGGAACAATTTTGCTAAGCATTCCAATCAGTATGTCAGTGTTGACGCTCCTCTCGTGGGCCTCGTCGACGACAATCGCGGAATATTTCCTCAACAGCAAATCCTCGGAGAGCTCGCGCAACAAGATGCCGTCGGTCATGAACTTGACAGCGGTGTTCGACGAGACGTTGCTGTCGAACCTGATCTGATATGCCACTTTGTGCCCATGTTCTCCCAGCTCAGTACTCACCCGCTTCGCCATGCTGACTGCAGCAACACGACGAGGCTGGGTGATTCCAATCATGCCTGGAGTTGGTCCATCCGGTGACCCGTAGCCGGCTTCGAAGAGAAATTGTGGTATCTGTGTGGTTTTCCCGCTGCCGGTGTCACCTTTGATGATCACTACCGGGTTATTGTGAATGGCTTCCATAATTTCCTGTTCACGTTGGAGAATCGGCAGTTGGGATCGAGCTTGTTGTATATCTTCGGGCCGACTGACATGCACAGCGTACGCTTTTCGATTGGGTACAGGATTTGGCACCAGAGTTGCTGCAGGTGGTTCTCTAGATTGAGCCTCTGATTTTGTGGCAGGTTTGGGTACAGGTAATAGTTGTCCTTCGCCCGGTGTGTAAGATGGTGTATGCCCCATGGATCGATTTAGTTGCTGGGTTGCCCATGCTTTGAAGGCTGAGTTCCTGGGTTTTATTTTGTCACCGTCATCCTCCTCGTGGGCCTCGGACGTATCTGTATCGTCTTCTCCATCTGAGGCGTCCTCTGAATCGCTCGACGAGTTAGGGGTCCCGGAACTCGACCCTTCTTCTTCGTTGTCTGAGTCCCCTCCCTCTGAATCTTGTTCATTTATACTTGGCTCAGAATCGAAGCCTTCCCATGGCAACTCCAGTAGAACCTCGTCTCGGGGTCGGATCCGTTTATTGCTCCTTCTAGACTGTATGATGGGCAATCCATTTTCGTCTAGTGCCAATGGCTGGGCAAGACCGCTTCCCTGTGCCCGCTGAGGCCCATGCGGTATTGGAGGCTCTTCCAGCCTTTTCTCTTCATCAAACGCTTCCTTGTGCTCGGTCTCGAAGGAGGCCTCGCTGTCTAAGTCGGAGTCATCCTGCACCTGTGGGATCTTCTGTGTTTGGCGCTTTGACTTTGGCCCTGTGTCGCTCAGGAAATCGCCAAACGTGCGTTTCCCCAAATTACCGGAGCTCTTTGCGACAACAGCCTCATATTTCTCCTTCTCTTGCTCTAATTTCCGCAACAAGTCCAACGTCTCGTCCTTCCTCAACTTGTTCTCAATGTACTTGTCCAATCTCTTCTGCTTTTTACTTGAGATATGCGGTTGCTGAGCTCTCAATTCTTCTCTCAACTTCTGCTTCTTTGCCTCTCTCTCCGCCTTGCTTTGCGGGACTATGATTTCTTGGTTGGACTGCGGCGGGGGGGCGTTTGCCAAAGACGGTCCAGCTTGCGCCTGTTGGCGGGCGAGCACTTTGTGCTTCCGTTGGCGGGGGACGAAGCGAGGCATTAAGATCACGAGCCTTCAGCTCTGGACGCCATGAACACTCTTCTCGTCTAAGCAGGTCGCAAAATCCTGCGCATCGCGGGAAATGTGTCGGTGCATGGAAATTATCCTGGAAAACCCGGCAGAAAATGTTTGGCGGTGACGCATTAATTCGAGGCGGTGAGACGCTCGATTGTGGTCACGTGGACTCTTTCAACATCAGGCTTTCCAAGGTTAAAACTCCAGTTGACACTTCCATTTCATAGCCTTTGGAGACCAGGACTCTTTCTGGAGGAGCATGGGCTTACCTCAAGACTACGGTATGGCGGATTTGGACGACACAAAGGTTACAATCCCTTTTCCTGCGCCTACGAAGCAAGTGGCAGGAGAGGTTAATGGGGTGAAAACCGATGTCATGTGCGTCTCGTTTGCGGACAAGATCATGATCACAATAACGCAGGGCGGAAAGTTGGGCCAGTGGGTACGTATGCCTCAAGGTGTGTCCAGAGATCTTCTGGGTTATGTGTTGATATACGTACAAGGTTACGGTGCCACTCCTGAGCGACAACCCTACGCATTCGGACCCTTATTTCCAAACAGGCCGAACTGGAGACGACTCCTTACTTCCATCGATTCGCTTTTCGCCGCGAACACTGCTAGGTGCCGGTGGTTCTGAGCGTGAAGCCATGGGCCAACTGTACGCTTCGCAAATTGCTGACGCAATCGTCACCAAGACACCCGACGAAAGTCGGGCTCTCATGCTTGGACTTGGTCTCGCCAAAGTCGAACTCGAGCGGGATGTCTTTCTGCAAATTGTTGACCTAGTTCTATCAGTTCTCTGAGGCCTTGCCATCGGGATCCCCGGCTCCAACGGCGTCAATCAGACAAGGCGATCTAGCATGCCAAATCCGTCTTTCCAGCGAACCGCCTGGCACCTCTGACGACTTTGTCGTGCTTTGCGTCCGACGACGGCTGATCTCTTCAACGGACGCGTTGATCTCATACTCTCCGTCAGCAAGCGCAATGATTCCTAGTTCGGCCACACAAATACTGCCAGGCTCAACGGCGGGGTACAGGGCACGTTGGAGCACACCGGTCCAGATAAACCGCTTCGTCAGGTCCAGGGCGATGTTATGAGGTTGGTGGCGGAGGGCAGGCTGGAGACGAAGGAGTAGGCGCAGTGACTCTCGGCTGTGGTTGTGAATTGTGGCCGTAAGGGTGGCGAATACCTCGGTCTGGACGACGAAATGTGATTTCCCGATCTGTCTCACGGCCGTATCTCCAAGGCCACCTGCTTGAGATTGTTCGTGTGGTTTGACAGCGAACTCAATCTCGACGTGGTCGATCTTAAGTGCATCCACCATCCGTGGACTCAATCTGACACCTTTTCTCAGATCGATATCGCCATGTCTACCTGAGCCCTCTTCCCGCCACGTGCCTCGTAGGCATTTGAGAAGCTCTTCACGGTACCAGAAGGACTCTCGGCTTGCTGCTTCTGCTTCTGCACTCAGCTTCGAGGTCGTTACCACAAATTGCTTCTGTGCCTCCAGGTTCGGGATTGGAGCATGAGGATCCTGAATGAACAGCCGAGGCACTAGCAAGACCACCCGACTGACGTGGCCAGGTTGCAGTGTCTCAGTGACCGAATACGCATCCTCCCAGAGCTGATCGTCGGGAGCGGATTCTGATTTCCACTTCCGAGCTTGAAGTTCAATGTGAAGAGGCTGTGGCCAGACGTTTCGTAGATCCAGCGACAACATGCAATATTGACTTGCATCACGTTGAGACTTGAGCCAACTGGATAACATGGATACGCCTGACATCCTGCTTAGATCATTGTCATTTACCTCTCTTGATTTGTCTGCAATCGAGCCGGAACTCCAGCTGAAGTCATTGTGAATCGGGAGGATATTACATCGTGGTATCTCCACGCAGCCGTTGACCGTGACAGAGATGGGGAACCGGACTTGTCGAGTGTAGAAAGTGCCTTTCACTTCTGATGACGGTGACCCAAGATACGCATAGTCTGCTTGTACAGCAGCACTCACAAGGCCTGCTCGACCAAAGATTGTCACTTTGTATGCAATGCTCCGGCCAGGCTCTAAGATTTTGGAGGAGTTCTCGTCGCGCTGATCTGTGATATCCACAGCTGGATGTACCGTGAGCTGGTTCTGGATTTCGTACATTTCGGCAGGGCTAAGGTCTTTGTTCGTAAGAGCCTCTTGGAGCCTTGTAGCAACGGAGTCCTCTGCAGTGACAAGGACGAAATCAGCGGGTACGACCTGGCTTTCGTTGACTAGCGTGAGGTCGAAAACGCGCTGTTCTCCCTCTAGGAGCATGATGGCTGGATCATTCAAGCTGCTCGATCTGGCAACAAGTTGAGGCTGAGAGCCGATGACCTGGAGCTTCAAGGGGGTCGCTCCTGGGAGACTCAGTGGGAAGTTCACACTCAGCAGGGACCCATTGTTTTCATCAGCCTGCACTCTGCTGGGCCTGACTTTTCGAACGGCATTCTGCTTCGCGATGACTGGAAGTTTCCAATCATCGCGGAAAGTGAGGAAGTCCTGTTCATAGCAGTTGCGCACGGTTGCTCTGCAACCGATGATCTGCAAATCACCGCTTCCTGTCGGGATGCCACTGAGTGTGAAGATCTGTGTCGAGAAGGGGCCCAGCACGATGCTGTGACGCGAGGGAGTGAAATCACACCCTTCGCTCAACAGACTGATTTCTTCGATTTCAATTTCCACTTCGAGCGGATTCTGCAGAAGGACGGTGAACGTAGCTAGTTCCCCTGCGACTAGAACTGGAGCTGCGGCGACGGATTTGTCTTTGGAGAAAGGATTGTATATAAAAGGATCACGCACTGTTTCGACAAGTCCACTCCCACGAATGGTGAGGTCGCTAGGCTTGTGTGCATTTAGCTTCGCGAAAGTTCCTTGTTCAAAAACCTGAATATCCCGGACGAGAAAATCATCCCAAAATTCAGCACGGGAGCCATGTGCCCCTAATCGCGAAGCCGCTGAGACAGCGCGTTTCACACTGTCGAGAAGGCGTACTTGGTCCTCTGCTGGGACCAATGGAACCAGATCAGCTGGATATTTTGGCATAGTGATCATTTGTTTTGCATCGCGCAAAATGTTCGACGTGAAATGAAGTCCAGCCGGGACATCGGGCAACGCCTCACAGACCGCCACACACGTTCGCAGCATTTCTAGTTTCAGCATGACATCTCCAGAACTGTGCTCGATAGCCCACATTTTCAGTCTATCGTGGATGGTATTGAGATCAGCAGGTATCCTCTGCCCTGCTCGGGGTACCGGTGGCAGAGGCACCCCATAAGCCCCGGCCGCCAGGTTCAGCATAGTTCTTGTGCCAACCATCATCTCAGGGAGAATGCCCAAAAGTGCAGTGTTCAGAGGTGGAAGTCCAGCGGCAGGATGGATACCGGCCTCGGAAGCACCAATCTTCCTCGCCTCAATCAGTTTCGGGACAAATTGTTGCATTAGCTGCTTGAGATAGAAGGCGTGTTTGCGGTCTAATCCCAACATTGACAGGCTGGAGGCGACTGCAACCAAAATACTCGTGTGGTGCGACGGATTCCTGCTCGATTGAGCTTCTTGAAGCGTCTCGATCAGGATATTGGCAAGCCCAGCTTTGGAAATAGCAACAGGTTCTCCACTAGTGTGTACGGAGTTGTCGAACGGAACACTGTCACCCGTCACAATCTGATTTAAACCTTGTTTGTTCAGCACACCTCCAGCACGCTTCACGTAAATCAGGATGTTGACAAGTCTGACGCGACATTCCCTCAAAATGTCTTGCAAAGATCCGCCCAGGTCCAAATTAGCCACCTTGGCGTAGAGTTCAAGAACATTCTCAACCAGTGGCGGTAGCAATTGGGCCAATATCTTCAATGAGTCGCCTGATTTTGGTGCAACCTCAGCTTGATACACTCCGCTTCTGTTTGGCAGAGAGCGACAAACTTGCGGCACATCGAAACTCAGTTCGGACCAAGATAGAAGAAGCATGCAGACAAGAAGGTGCTCAAGAGCCTTTGCATGCCACAGATGGTCATGACCACTTTGCGCGACAGCAGCTCCCTCAGCGAGACAGCTCATTGCCTCAGTCCAGTAGCCTCGTTGAAGCCAAAACATGCCTCGAATGACGTTGAATCGTCCCCTCGACGTATCGCTCTAGACACATTTAGCAGACGCCTATATGTGACGTCAGGATCTAAATACCTGCTGCTCTGAACCATTGGAAGCCGGCACCAGGCTTGGAGACCTCGTGGATACGGGAGTCGAGTTCCTATCTGTCGGTACTGGGGATGTGCCGGTGCGTCGAGGAGTTTGAGAATTTGCACCAGGCACCATACTGATTGGCTGGTCTTTGAAGTCATTGACAATGTGTTCGATGCCGTCCTGTAGTTGCCCTGATATAATGGTCACGATCGCACGAGCAGCATTGTCAATATCAGCCTTGGGCATGCTCAGAATGTCATCGCCAAGAGGTTTGGAAGGTTCTGCGCCGCAATAAATGAGTCGACGAACGACCAGTCCAGGACTTGAGGGCAGCTGCTCTTCGAAACGGGCTCTGATAGAGTCAAGCGTGGTAGATATATCGCCCTGGGCCTGGCCATTTGCTTCCGGGGAAGCGACAGACACATTTGCGACTCTTTCGCCATCAATCAGTCCCAGAAGTACTTGGCACCGCGTGTTCGTCTCGAAAGGGAAAAGATGCGGTCGGCCTATCTCTTGATTTGCTGAGATGTCGTAAAAGATACAGCCATTTCCTGCACGGGAGGTGTCTACCGCTACCGGTCAGGATGAGTTCTCCGCCCGTGTGAGCGGCTATTTGTGCGTACCTTCAGGAGAGGGAGACGAGCCCAGGACTCCACGCTGGACGGTTGCAGCATTCTGCAAAGATTTGATGAATTCCTGGAAACGATCTGGCGTTACCGGCCCTGCTGGGACACATAACACGTTGACCCGTGCAACAGCTGTGGGTAGGAAGGGGTGGTAGCCCATGATGACATGGTGGCTATGATCGGATCAGATAGGCTTTCAAGTGCCTCGATGAGACATTAGATGGAATGAAGAGTTCAGGATCCAATAATTCAGCCCTTTGTAGAACTAATGCGGGGAGAAAGAGGGTATATCAAACACTTCCAGGAGGTGTTGTATGGAGATGCAGAACGGCGGAGATGACACCAAACGAGGTTGATAGGCTTAGGTAAGCGACTGGCCTTGCCATGGGCACCCATTCGGGCCCCCTAATCATAATGGGTCCCACCCCTCGCTCCTTAACGTCCTCCCCCAACGTCTCCTCTAATGGCTCCGGCGGCTTCTCGGGCCACGTCGCGGTTTACATGGGCAGCTGCCTGCGGCTCATTATTAGGCGGGACTCGTAACCCCATCGACGTCAGCCTTGTTGCAGCCTCGCGATAGACATTCTGCCCTCCTGCATGAGTCGTTCAACAACTCAGCCACTCTTTGTTTCTCCTTTCTTCTTTGCCTCTTCCACCTATCCTCCCTCTGCATTGCTCATTCGCACCAGTAATCCTATCTCTTTTAGGCTATTTCCTAAAAGTTCATCTCCATGCAGGTCGACCATTCACGTCGATGATATTCCTCGCCACCAAGGCTTCTCAGCCTTAACCTCGAAGTCAATATTGTTGTCCCAACCCCGCCGCTTGTCCCTCTGGGCTTCCTCCTCTCAGAATAATCTGGCTGCACAGACAATCGAGAAACGCAGCGGCAAAATGGACTTCGACGCCCTTCGCGCGCGCACACTGCGCTCTGGTGCAGATGAGGAGGCAGTAACAGTCAATACAAGGGCTTTGATTGACAAAGTGCTGGCCAGGTACTCTGGAGAGTGGACTGTCTTGCGAGAGTTGCTACAGAACGCGGCAGACGCTTCAGCAACAAAGATCACTATCAAATTCGAGACACTCCCTTCAGCCACTGTTCCCGTGCCCACGGATCCCTCCCCGTCGAGTCTTTTGAAGCATACGGTTCTACATCATACTTTAAAGAGACTGGTTGTGACAAACAATGGCCAACCTTTCAGTGAGAATGACTGGAACAGGTTGAAGCGAATTGCAGAAGGAAATCCCGACGAGACAAAGATTGGTGCCTTTGGGGTGGGGTTTTATTCCACTTTCGCAGACTGCGAGAATCCTTTCGTCTCCTCGGGGAAGGAGGCAATGGCATTTTTCTGGAAGAATAACTCCTTATTCACGAGACGGTTACAGCTACCGGAATCCGAGACTTCGACAGACACCAACTTCGTCCTTGACTACCGGGACACCACCTCTCCAGTGCCTCCGTTACTTCCCTTGGCACAATTTCTAGCAAACAGTCTGACTTTTGTGGGACTGGAGAACATAGAGCTTTGGCTGGACGAATGGAATCTGCTTTCGCTGCAAAAGAAGACATCTCCAAGTTATGAGGTGGCGATCCCTCGTGATATTGAGCCCAAGACAAGTGAGGGCTTTATGAAAGTTACCAAAGTCTCAAAAGAGATTGCCCAGATCGATGGCCGTTGGATGGGCGTCATAGGCTGGAAGGCCACCAGGGATACGGCTCGGTCAATCGAGAAAGACTCCGCTCCCTCTCTTCGCAAATTCTTCTCACGGTTAGCAGGAACTGTGCAGGAAGAAAGCCAGGCAGAAGTCCGACCTGACCGCTCAGTTGAGGGAGATCTGTTGGCGACGAAAGTGTCTGCCACCGTCTTCCTTAACGTAAATACAGCCACCATCAAGACATTTACCCGCCAGAAATTCAATGAGGAGCTGGAGCGTGCAACCAAAAAGCCACCACCAAAGTTCACGAAACTCGCCATCCTGACGGCCCCCTATATCGAGGATGCCAGCCTTACCAAGGCGTCTGCTGCTGGTGATGTCTTTGGGACGGTCCTTCCAAGCAGAGGAGGTAAGATATTCATTGGCTTTCCGACGCATCAGACCACCGGTCTGAGCGCACATATTTCCGCACCTTCGGTCATTCCAACAGTCGAACGAGAATCTATCGATTTGAATGCCAGGTATGTGAGGACGTGGAACATGGAGATGCTTCGTGCAGCTGGTATTGTTTGCAGGATTGCATGGTCGTGTGAGATGCAAGAGCTCAAGGAAAAGACCCTGCGAGAAGCCAACGGCAAATCCAAGATTCGCATGGAGGAAGTCAATCCTTTCTTGGACGAGGCAATCACTACCTTCAAGAACTTCACCTTCAGAGAGTCAACTCCTTCAGCTTCGATCGGCCAGCTCCTTGAAGATGCTTTCTGGACATGCAGCAAGAAAGCATCCATCGAGGTGGTTTCCACATGTGGAGTGCTTCCCACTCACGACGTCCGGATAGCTCCGAAGGACATGAGCTTCATGGAAGGCATTCCGATCTTGCCTGAAAAGTTAGTGTCTGAAGCCAAAGTTTTGGTGTCTAAGCTGGTCGACTTCGGTCTCCTGACTGAAGTCACTGTAACCGACATCAAATCTGCACTCGAGTCGAGTCCTCTGACCACACCGCAAGTGTCCGAGTTTCTTGGTTGGCTCACAAAACAAGCAACCGGTGGAAAGCTTGACAAGTCTACGATATCAAGTCTGCTGGCTGTCGCCGTTGCTAACGATGACAGCCCCGAGGAGAATAGAAGTCCACTTCTTCAACTTGGAGAAATTCGTCATTTCCTGAACCCCAGCCGAACACCCGTCGATTTCCCGGTGCCACCCTCGGTGATGCCCTTCAAGTTCACAAAGAGCATGAGCAAACACGAGCTAGAGAGTCTTGGATGGGAGGAACTTCAATTGGTGACATGGGTACGCTGGCTCATCGCCCAATCTGGAAATCGTCAAGTCCTTTCCGAGAACCAAGACATCACGAAATCTGCAGAATTCAGCTCTCAGGTTCTGCCTCTCCTTTCCAAACAATGGGATTCGCTCAGTCAGACCTCGAAGTCGTCGCTAGTAGAATTACTCGTCAAGCATACAGTCATCCCTACGAAATTCGGGATGAGAAAACCTAGCGACGCTTATTTTCCAAGTGTCAAGCTATTCGATGATCTGGCGATTATCGAAGGCCTCGGAAATGTCAAGGATAAGTTCTTGCTGGCCCTGGGTGTCCGCAAGACAGTGGAGTTGGGTGTCGTGTTCGAGCGGCTTCTGGCATTGGAGCCCAAGACTGCCAAAAGCGTTGGCAGTGCGAAGCCGCAATGGAGTCACGTTGACCTGATCAAATACCTTGCCTCTGTAAAAGATGATATCCCGGGAGCTGACATACAAAAGCTCAGAAGTACCCCTATATGTCCCAGTCAACTCAAGGGCAGGGACGGAGGCGAGTCCACAGAGCGCTACAGAGTGAGCGACTTGTTCGAGCCACGACATGACCTGCGCGATCTCGGGCTGCCTGTTCTAGCTTGGCCTGGTCCCTATCGGAGCAATACTCCAGAGGGGAGGTTCTTGAACGCCCTCGGTCTTCGGACCACGCCTCTGGTCCCGGAACTCATCCAAATCATGGCGGAATCGGGCAAGAAAGGACCTAGCTACGATCTCGACCGCCGCGACAGAGCCCTGGCTTATTTCTTGTCTCATCATCACGCTTATGGCTATGGTCTATTCGATTATCAGAGCATCACGCTTCCTTTCTTGCCACTTGAGAACAAGCCCGGCCAGCTTGCTACTCCGACGCAGTGCTTTGCGAATGAAGGAGCTACTCTACTCGGCTTCGACACTCTGAAGCGCGATTGGATTCCCCACGCCGCAAAGTTCGGCGTTAGAGAGCATCCCCCCATGGATCTTTGCATCAATATCCTTGCCAAACGGCCGCCGGTCACGGCTCATGACGCTCGGACTATCTTCACCTATTTCGCAGGTCGGCTGGCAGAGATCAACAACCATAATATGTCGAGACTGAATGGTATGGATTTCATTCCCATCTTCGCCAAGAACAAGGAGAAGTCGGCTCCCAAACTCCACACGTCCCCTCGAAACTGTTTTCTGGGCGATAGTGACGCCTTTGGGGAGATCTTCCACTACGTCGATTTCGGTGCTGAAGCGAACTCGTTCCTCATCAAATGTGGTTCGAAGCAAGAGCCTTCTAAATTAGAGATTGCGCAGATCCTCGTGAAGGAGCCTGCGCGGATCTCTGCAACGTTCCGCAACGCTGAAAAGTACATGACTTTGCTTCGGAGTATGGCCGAAGCTGCCAAAACCCTGAAAAAGAACAAGGAGCTCTGGGCAGAGATGAAGAGAGCACCATTCCTCCTTGCAAGCAGGGAGCTTCCCCCTCCGGCATCCTCGGCAGAGAAACACCATGCCGACGACGCGGATAATCTTGACGAGGAAGAGGTCCAAGGTATCCGCGAATTCCAACTATGCAGTGCCGAAGATGCTATCATCATCGACGATTACATCAACTACAACCTGTTCAAGGCAGACATACTTGCAGCACCCCAGGAAGAAAGTCTCGAGGACTTTTACTTCGCTCTGGGTTCTCCCTTGCTTAGCTCTCTGGTCGAGGAGGCCGCGCGCCATGGCCCCCGAGCGCATGATCAGAAGCCGGCACAGAAGCTACAGAAACAGATCCTAGAGAGGTCGACACTGTTTCTACATGAACAACCGCCGGAAACCATCAAGCATGATGCAAAGTGGCTGGAAAAAAATCTGCAAGTCCAACTTGTCTCATCCATCTCATTGAGACGATCACTGCGAGGAAGAAATGTCAGTCACACCGAAAAGCGCACTGCTGTAATCACAGCGGTAAACAGAGAGTACACATTGTGGATCACAGGTGCAAAGCCTGACCTCTACCAAGTCAGCCAGGCTTTGGTCCACATCTTGCTAACAAGACCTAAGTTGCATTCTGCAATCACTCTCGAAATGCTACTGAAGACGGAGTTGCTCGATCTCCGCGCACGGGGCTTCAACGTCTCTCGCATTCTGCGACAGAAGGCGGCAGAAGCCCGGCTCGCTGAGAGCAAGAGACAACAGGAACTCGAGGAGCAACAGAAGAGGATTGAGGAGGAGGAAAAGGCCTGGCGAGCCTCTCAGGAACAAGCTGCAAACGGCAAAGCTGCACGGAATCACGTCCCAGGTGGATTCCCAGACTCACCGGACAGCAGAGCACTGACCGGCCCAGAACCCAGCCCCGCCGCTCCAGCCGGTAATGAAGATTTACGGAGACAAGGTCGTAATTTGTTTTCCAATCTTTCGCGTCAGCTCGGGCTTGGCAACAATCGTCACATTCAACAGATGCTGGGCCGCAATGACGATGAGCCTCCAGCTATCGCAAGCGGTGAGACGGCAGACCCACCTCCCCCCTATCAGTACAACCAGCAGAGTGGTCAGACTAAGTCGACCGGGTCGTCAGTCACCGCTCCTCACCAACTCCAGGAGAATCTGCTCAATGCCATCAAAAAGTCCCGCGCTCACAATTCCTCGGACTTGTTCAGTCGTGGGGAAACCAATGTTCTCCAAGAGACCAAATCCTACTGCGACGAGCACCCTGCCCATGATCTTACTTTTGTTGCTGAGATCAAGGACGGTATTCAGTGCTTTCTTTCCCCTTCTTCTGTGGGCAACTCTTCACAATTCCTCCAACACCACTCCGCTGGGTTGACTGCGTTTGCTCGTCTCCTGAAATCGGTGGGAGACGTGTTTTCCCTCAACCCACGCACGCTGAATATTTTCTTCGAGACCTCGGGGAAGACGATCGGCTTCAACAGAAACGGAAGCATCTTCTGTAATTATCGGTATTTTGAACAATTGCATGAGCGTAACATGGGAACAGTGGGGAAAGATGGGTACAGCGAGGCATTTGTCTACTGGTGGGTGATCTTGTGTCATGAACTGGCGCACAACCTTGTTGCGGATCATAGTTCTGATCACAGTTATTATACCGAGGGGTTTGTGGCACAGTACTTTACCAAGGTTGTCAAGATTTTAGGACAAGCCCAGGCACAGCAAAATGCCAGAACTGAGGCTCCTCTGGTCGAGATTTGAAGAGATGATTAGAAGGGCCCTCCGTTTGGGTGGATTTGTTGGGTTGGGTTGAGTGTCATCTGTTCTCACCAGCGCGAGGCTTTCTTGTTCTTTCTCAGTCGGTCAGAGCGATGAATTATTTGTTTGTTCTCGGCGCAGGAGGTAGACGACGGACACTCTGCTCCAAATACTGGATAGAAAAGAGGCTGGACCGATCGAGACGTGTCCTAAACCGTCGCGGACATCCACATGTAATTATAGATTATACACAAGACCAGAAGAGGCATGAGGAGCACGTATTTCTCTCCATCCATGCAAGAAAGACATGCATCCGTAGAGCATGGCCAGATAAATGACACCATTATGGCTTCTATCTTGGGACTCGACATCTCATTAATTCCAGGTACAGTATGGGTATATATGTTGGGGTTCTTCCATGTATATAGGGGCATTGCAAAGCAAGAGCAGTCTGTCAGACGACTCTGATTCGGAGAACCGGCTCTGTGCAGCCTACTTCCACGCGAGCATCTCACACTGCAGCGCGGCGAACCAAGCGTCTTGGGTATCCGCCCACTTGTGCACGGCCTGCAACGTCTCCTCGATCTCGTCCTGTGTGATACCGGCATCGATCCAGCTCTGGTGGAACGGGTCCCCCTGCCTGAGCTGCCCCGCCGCGCGCCATGCCAACCACTTCCTGGTCTCTGGGCCGGCGAAGACGCCGGCGCTGGCACCGACGCGGAATCTGGGCGTGTCGTCCGGGTCGAAGCCCACGCTGCGCAGCAGCGCCGGCATGCTCACGCCCGGCGGATCGACATCGCGTTCGTCCCGGGGCGCCACGCCCTTGCGCAGCGCGCGCGCCGAGTTCCCCACCCACAGACGGTCGAGGTCGCAGGCGCGCGGGTAGAAGTGCTGCTCGGCGCCGTCGCGCGTGGCCAGCACGCCGCCCGGTTTGAGCACGCGGCGCATCTCGCGCAGGGCCCTGCGCGCCACCTCCGCGGGGTGCATGTGCCCGAGCACCTGGGACACGAAGACGATGTCGAACGTGTCGTCCGCGAAGGGGAGCCGCTCTAGCACGTTTCCTTCCTGGAACACCACGTTCCCCGAGGAGCTGCTGCTCGGGGCCGCGTCCGCGTCCGCGTTCGCAGCCAACAACAACGCCCTGGCTTTCCGCAACACGTCGCCTGATACGTCGATGCCCACGGTGCGTCCTTGGCCGGCGTACCTCGCCAGTCCCGTCGTGATGGTCCCCGGCCCGCAACCCACGTCGAGAATGTGGTCGGTGGGCTTGATGTGCGGCAACAAAAACGCCGCGTCCGACTCGGCCGTGCGTGTCAGGTGCGTTGCCACCGTGTAGTTGGAGTGGCCTTGCGTGTAGCTGTTGTTGGTCGTGCTCGGTGTGCCATTGCCCGCCGGTTGCACCGCCATCATGCCTTTGTTTTTGTTTTTTTGTTAATTCGTAATTCCTTTAATTGCTCGGTATTTTGCTCTGTTTTCTCTCTCTCTCTCTCTTTTTTCTCTTCTCCCCGCTGCTTGTGGGGGGCGGGAGAACAGGGAATTTTTATATTTTCTGGTCCGCCGGGCCGTTTCTCAAGCCCTGGACTGGACTGGATTGGATGCCTGGGCCCGGACGAGCTCGCATCATCAACGCGTATAAATTCCGGGCCGGTGAGGAGCGGTCCCGGTGTGCGGGGGCCCGCTGTGTACTAGACTAATCATGAAAACCAGGAAAGCATCTGACAGAAGTCGCAATGGATGAGAAGGGTTGAGTGTGGGTTGTGGAAGGGAGTCCTTTTGCGGGAATTCAATAATGTTAAAAAGACTGCTGGCGAGGGTCTATTTTCCCGGAATTCTCCTGTGCCGGGGGTGGTTTGCTGTTGGGAAAGACTGGAAGAGACTCGGCTCGTTTTTGGGGTCGATACCTGGGTAGTTTTGAAGGGATAAGATGACAACAATCAACAGTATATAACCTTTTTTTTCAGATGATGTTCCCGGCCTGCGAGACTCCGTATCGTGTTTGAAATTGCTATCCTGATACCCCCGTTGAGATTGTCGACGTCCCTTCCAAATTGTGCCAATATCTAGAACCATAACCTATTTACTTAGCCAGGAATCCCTTCTTGTAGCCATAGTCACTCCGGCACTCGCCATGTTGAAATTTGCCAAATGCACTGCAGAGACAATGCTCCAATGCCGCCAATGTTGAAGCCCTCCAGCCCAATAGTCTATCCTACCTTCTATGCCATTGACCAAAAAAAATGGCCACAGTCATAAATATAAACCAGACGTCATCAATCAATCCGCTTGAAAGCCTCGTAGAACACTCTCCAACTTGGTCACCATCTCCTCCCATTCCTGCTCCTCGTCGCTGAGCACGGTAATCGCTCCCCCTGCACCGATTCGCCACTTCTGCAACTCTTCACCAGTGCTCTGGTCCTTCTCGTTCTCGTCGTCGTTGGAAAAAGCAGTGCGTATACACACCGACCAAGCGCCATTGCCACCGACGTCCATATACCCGATGGCGCCCGAGTAGACGCCACGCTCTCTCTGCTCCAGACCGTGGAGGATCTCGCATGACCGCTTCTTCGGAGCGCCCGTCATGCTTCCCGGCGGGAGCGTGTGCGTCAGTGCCCTCACGCCGTATCTTGTCATCTCTTTCGCGTGTTCATCGGCCTTCCGATCCGTTTCGGCAGATACTGGGACGTGCGCACGAATATGTGAGACGAGCGAAAAGACGGTTTCGGACTCGACCACGTCGCACAATTTCACTACCTCAACTTTCGCGTCGCGACCCACGGTGCTGTACAGGTCATGTCGGATGAGGTCCGCAATCATGAGATTCTCGGCACTTTCCTTCGCCGAGGACAAGATTGCGACGGCTTTGCCGCGGGTCATCTCTGGAGTCTTCTTGACAGTTCCTTTCATGGGGATCATGTCGATTGTGCCGTTTTTGGCGGACCAAGAGAGGAATTGTTCCGGTGAAGACGAGAGAATGGTGGTTTTGTCGAGACGGATGAACGAGGCGAAGGGAACAGGGTTGTATCGTTGAATGTTGTTGTAGAGCAGCCAGGAGGCGTTGGGGACAGCGGGGGTCGTGACGGTGGCTTCAGTGGTGAGACATAGTTCGTATGAGTTGCCGGCGAGAAGCTCAGATTGACATGCGCGAATCCGAGAAATATATGTGTCGTGGTCTGGGAGGTTGAAGGTTGTCGAGGACAAAATTTGGTGCAATCTGTCGGTCTCTGATCGACCCAGAACCGCCGCTGTATTGGACAGAGGTGTAGTACTTAGCTCATTGACCATTTCATCGACCCAAGAGTCGTCATTTGCTCTTATCGATTGCACGTAAGCCATCCCTGTAGAATGATCAAAGACAATACTGCGCTCCACCCAAAGAAGGCTGATCTCTGGCGTAGGAATTGGTGGACGGGTGTGCTCTGGCACATCAAGTTGCAAAGACGCCGTTCCGAATTCATATGACAGAAAACCCATAAACCCGCCTCTGAATGGGACTTCCTTTAAACCATCAAATTGAAAAGATTTGCTGGAAAGGAAAGATTCCAGACAATCCACCGCATTTTCCCGAGCGAGTATGAAGTTGGCAGAAGGGCCAGAGCCTTGTTTGACTGTAGTGCAACCCCGAGCGTACTGCAAGTGAAAGCTGTATTCATCAGGGAAGGCGTATATGCTATACTGACCCATTTTGGTTGACTCTAGCATCACGGTAGCGTTTGGCGGAGATTGCTGGTGGCACAAACTTGCAATGACCCTGCTCCCGGCAGGCAGATGTAGAGACCTCTGGCTTGCAGTAACATTGCACGACTTTGATAGAGAGTTCAGCTCTCTAGACAAGGCCTCGCTCTCGCGAGTAAGAGTTGCTTGCGCGAGCTTGGGAGAAGCCACTCGCTGCACAGAGACAAAATCTCGGTGGGCTGCATTGTGTATTCTTGTGGCATCCCACCACTGTTTGATAAGCTTGTGACAAGTGAAACTAGACTTGCATGACTCAGGGTGGAATTGGAGGCCATGGAACGGGAGAAGCTTGTGCCTAACTGCCATGACCCAATCATCTTTATCCCAGGCTAGGATTTCGAGACTGTTGCAGGTCTGGTATCGTGATGACACGGTAGATGGCAGACTTCGCAGAGACGATGTGCTGTCGCTGGAGGCAGACGAACTTGGACGACTCGGTGTCCCATTCCGCTTGAGATCGCTCGTGCGGACTCCCAGGCTGTTATAATTCGTGGCAATGATTCTCCCCGACTGAGGGAATATATCACTATCGGCATGACATATCTCCTTGGCATGTCCATGACATGGCAGATCCAGACGCACGACAGGGACTCCATTCCGAGCGCAGAGACTCTGGAAACCTAGACAGATCCCCAACACCGGAATGTTGTCGTCTGAGGCGCAAGCCCAGACTTTGTTGTAGAGACCAACATCAGATTCATTGTGTGGATTTCCAGGACCAGGACCGAGGACTATGGCATCGAAGCTGGTAAAGAATGCCTGTGGGGACTGGTTGAACTGGGCTGGAATATCACAATCGATCCTCACTAGAGTGACTTGGACCTGGAGCTGCTCATGAAGAAGAGCAGCAATATTCTCGGCGAATGAGTCGTAGGCATCGACAAAAAGAATCGACCCTTGAGTTGTCATCGAGACCGTCGAAGCCAATCTGATGGGAATGCTGAGACGACTCCTTCCTTTATGGAGCACGACCGACGGTGAAATAGTTGCAGACCAAGACCAGAGGCGCCGAAAGATACCAGAGACAATGCAGAAACAAACAAGTAGAAGATGACCTACCTCCGCCCCGTCTACGAAAATGAATGTCGGGAGAACATGGCGATGTTGCAGTCATACCGAAAAAGTTTCGTGCTGATGGGAATAAATTTTGGCATCGAATGCAAATGTTTTGCCGGAGGCGCCACGTGAGCATTTGCTCCGCCGTATCGGACACCGCCCAAAATGGACGCACCCAAACACCCCAAACACATCACAGACTTCCCACCCAAAATGCCCCAATCCAGACGACAGTGAAGTCTACGAGGACAAAACTCGGCAGTGGTGACGGCGGCTTTCTCAAGGACACGCTCAAGATGACCACGCCCGCCCTCGAGAATCAGCAAACATGGCCGACCTCAAAGACGACCTGACCGAGAAAGCTCACTTTGACCCTAATTGGATCCAATGGAACGGGGGGAGTCTACACTCAAATAACGGTATGTAAGGAGCTGCTCAAAAGGCTCCGGCAACTGACTCTTCCTCCTCAGTGCTCTTTTATTTTGCCACGTCTCCTTTCTTTGATCATGTCTCGGGCAACCAGTCGCTCTTCACACAGTGGGCCGGCACGCCAAACCAGAATGACATCCTGGGCACGAGGGCCAAGTTCGAAGCCAATCTACGCCACCAGCGCGGTATCCAGTACGTCGTCGAGCACGATCCTTTAGAGGAGCAAGTCGTCCTTGACGGACCAAATGGGCCCGAGAAGTCCAATGTCTGGGTGATTCGCAAGCAGAACCGTGAAACCGAGCGAGACGACAGCATTACGGTGTTGGGCTACTACTACATTGTCAATAACGTAATTTATCAGGCTCCTTCGGTTGCCAGCGTCCTAAACTATCGTCTGGTGAGCCGAGCTTCAGATTTTCCAACTGCCCCTCTGTTAACCAGAACGCATATAGCTGAACACGGTTTCCGCACTCAACAAAGTCTTTACGGCTCCAGCGGACTTGTCCTTCTTTTCCGTTTCTCATGGCCACACTTACCATAAGCCTGTCCAAGAGTCGGCAACTCAAAACATTCTGAGTGCCTCACAGCAGGGTAATGAACCAGCACCACCACCAACACCGGGACCTCAACCTTCTACTACCGAGAAAGCCGTCAACACTTCTCAAGCTCAGGAGGAAACCAATGGCGGGACTCGGACGGCTTGGGATGCACTTCGAATGACATTGCAATACGGAAAGGAGTATGTGGATGATATGCCCTTGGTGGGCGAGCCCGGCAACTTCCGCTTCTCTAAGAGCAAGGACGCAAGTGTGACGGCCAGCCAGACCAAAGGTCAATCCCAGACGTCTCCTACCGGGACCCCGGGTCAATCCCGAGCAACTTCTGTTGTGCCTCCGACATCAAGCAATCCGCCTGCAGCTGGCAAAGGCTCTAAGCTGCTAGAGAAAACGGCGCCACTACCTGAGGGAGCAGCAAAGGCGAAACGGAGAAAGAGCAAACCAGGTGTACCAAGCCCATGAGGCTCCCGCGGGGTGGTCATGGGTTGCGGCTACCCTCGAGGCAGGTATTGGGAGGGGGAATGTCCTAAATACATCATGGTTCATAGCAAACAGGTGTCTTTAGTAGTGAGATAGCCGCATATAAAGCAAATTTGACCATTCGCTAGACTGTTATTCGGATTTCATGAGCGTCACAAAAGGACGCCCGAGTACTATCACGTGACGTCCGGTGAGGCTCCTCCTCGTGCGGCAGGCAGCGCGAGGCAAGCGTCACCGTCACCAGCCTGCGACTTGTCGATCTGCAGACTGCGGCCCTTCGACGCTTGTCCCCTTCGCCGCATTTGTTCATCTTGCCATCTTCACTTCCCCCCAAAAAATCTCAGGCCACTCATTTTCTTGAGAAGTCATCTTCGCCATCCTGACTTTCTTCCTCACTATCTTCTTGATCGAAGACTCGAATCCGTGACCCAGTGACAGTCCGCTGACCAAATCCAAACGCTCTTGTGTGCGTGGCGGGGCAAGATGAAGCTCTCCTTCAGGGTTCGTAAATCTGACCCGTCGCTGTTCGGACTGTCACTAATGCGCATGACAGGATCTCAAGCAGCAAAAGTTCACCATCGATGCCGAGCCATCAGATACAGTATGCATTCCACTCTTCTCCAACTTCCCGAACCAGAACACAGGCTTACCCAATTTGCTCAGATCGCGCAGGTGAAAGAGAAGATTGCCGCAGAGAAAGGATGGGAATCCTCGCAACAGAAACTCATCTACGCTGGTATGTTGGGGTCTATTTCTGCTTCGTGCGCTCCGACTTTCAGGCAGCTGACCTCGAGACAGGCAAGGTACTCGCCGATGCCAACACCGTCGAATCCTACAAAATTGAGGAGAAGGGTTTCATTGTTTGTATGATATCAAAGGTTGGTCTTCATCTCATGTTCAACGTCGACAAACTGCTGATGGTGCGTCTCCCTCAGCCCAAAACTACCCCCGCGCCCAAGTCTGGCTCTCCCTCTACACCTGCTCCATCAACCTCCACCTCGACCTCAACACCCGCTGCCCCGGTTGCTCCTCAATCCAACCAATCCACTACCGCCTCAAATCAGCCCTCGACGCCCACCCCTGCTCAAAGCGTAGCGGCCCCGGCCGCAGCAGCTGGACCGGGCTTTAATGACCCCTCTGCATTCCTCATGGGCGGCCGCAATGAAGCAACCATTCGGGAGATGGAGGCTATGGGATTCCCAAGACCGGAAATAGATCGTGCACTGCGGGCGGCATTCTTTAATCCAGACCGAGCCATCGAGTATCTCCTGAGTGGTATCCCCGACAATATCCAGGCCGAGCAAAGACAAGCCACTCCAGGAGCCCCGGCAGCAAACCCGGCATCACCACCCGCACCTCAGCCCGCCCAGCCGGCTCCAGTCGCCGCACCTGCTGGTGACGAACCCATCAACCTGTTCGAAGCAGCGGCACAGGCCGGCCGCCCAGCTGGTGGGAGAAGAGCTCCCGCAGCCGCAGCAGGTCAAGGAGGGGCGGCTACAAATATGGACTTTCTGCGAAACAGCCCGCACTTCCAGCAACTCAGACAATTCGTCCAGCAGCAGCCAGCGATGCTCGAACCCATCCTACAGCAACTCGCCGAAGGTAATCCCGAACTTGCCCAGATGATCGGTTCAAATCAGGATCAATTTCTCCAGCTGCTAGCCGAGGTAAGTGGACGAAACCAAAGTCTTACTGGCCACCAATGCTGACTTGGGACTTCAGGATGCTCAAGATACTCTCCCGCCCGGCGCTACCCAGATCCATGTGACTGAGGAGGAGCGGGACGCTATCGAACGACTCTGCCGACTGGGATTTCCCCGTGACCAAGTCATCCAGGCCTACTTCGCTTGCGACAAGAATGAGGAACTAGCAGCCAACTTCCTCTTTGAGCAGCCCGACGATGAAGAGCAGTGATCGTAGGGGTCCGTCGCCATTAGCGCCATATCGTTACACCTGGGATTCGAAATCGAAAGTGGAGTTCTGGTGGTTTGCGCACTACGTCTTTGGATGGCCTGCGTGCGACATCGAGTGGCAGCTTGAGATACATGGCGGCAGGAGTCGGCAGCGGACCTGGTTGCACATGAAAATGAGGAGAGCCGTCGATGGCGATAATGGTTGTACGCTGGAGGAAATGAAAGGGATGATGAAGTGCTCGAAAGTTGCGCAAACGATGCATGTACTGAGTAAGACATACTCGATTTTGCCACTCGGTGCAAGTCAAGTCCCATAGCTATTCCAGCCGAATGTTGATGTCAGATGGAACAAACGAAGGGCAAACGGGTAATCTGGGGTTTTGAGAACTTCAGGCCCAGCATATTATCCTGCTCTACAATCCTCTTGGCAGATTAAGGAATTAGCATTATTTCCCCGATCACCCTCTTCACAGCACAATATTGGGTTCCTGTGTCGGAATATCCGCTGGCACCGTGGTCGTGCTGATTATTCTCGTCTCTTCTTCGTCTCCTTCGGATGCTGCTGTGGTGGGGATCAAAGTCGAACTTGACACCTCCCTGGCCCCTGGGGGCGAGTCTGGCCCTTGAACAGACATCTCATGCGCCTCGTTGTATTTCTCCCCACCCTTCTGAATATTGACTTGTTCTCCCGTATGTGCATCAACATACTCGACCGGGCCGCAGATGCGGTCGACCCTCCACACGCCGAGTCCCCGCCTGCCCACGACCCTCTCCAAAGTGGGCCACACTCCAACGTCCCCAAAGTCCAAGTCGTCGAGGTTCAAATGCCGGCGGAACACAGCTAGATTGGTCAGACTCAAATGTGCAGGTGGAATGTTCATGTCGATCGCGAAGCTGAAATTGGAAACTGGGGGGTAGTCGAAGCCTGTAGGTGGTGTTTGGTCGGAAGGAGGATGATGCTTGGACGAAGTGGTCTGACGACCGGTGTTGGAAGCATCGAGACGCCATGCGCTCAGCGGCGCCACCACAAAGATATCCGTCCTCTCCTTGTGTAGGATTAATCGTTCCAGAAGGGACGGGTCGCATGTTGGCATGTGTTGCATGAGCATGAAGACCAATTCGTTTTGTGGATAGCCCATCAGCGGAACGGTGGAGATGTTCAGAGACCTGTTGGTTGCAGGATGCACCGGTTCAGAGCCGAGGAGGAAGGTTGGCGGCGGGTAGGTTTTCCACCAAAAGACTTCGACATTATGTGCGTCTGAATGGGTTATGTTCAATGACTGTATTACCAGGGAGGGCATTGCCAGCTGCGCTGGAATGATCCCGCCCTGGTGATAGATGCCCATGAGGATCGCGAGGGCGGCGTTGAAGATGACCCAGGCCGTCCAGAAAATAACTGACCATGGTTTTGAGGATGGAGCCCGTATGCTTGTCAGGATCAGAGGTACGGTGGGCAGGAGGAAGCGAGGTTCTTGGTGTGGGATAAGGCTGAGGAAGAGACAACCTGCACCGGCAGAGGCGAGCCGGTTGTTGGAGAGCAAGCTTTTCAGGATGCGCAAATTGAACGGGTAGGCAGAAGCGATTAGGAGGATTAGTGCTGGCCCGAGAAGTTGAGGGAGGTTGATCAGAAGATGTTGATAATGCGGATGGAGGCCGTGTTGTGCAAGATTGCTGGTCTGCGTATTGTACAGGATATTATTGAGCGGAGTGATTACTGGATCCTTCCTGACATGGTCGTAGAGTGCTCCAAAAGACCTCGTAGCCGACGGCCCAGAATAGTAAGCTGTGTCCATGACGATGGCAAAGAGTGTCCAGAAGATGCCGGAAAGTGAAAGGGCAAGAAAGCAGAAAGGTCTCGGATCTGCGTCAGCCTTGCGAATCGAGGAGGCAGCGGGGCGTCAAGGTCGGGCATAATGGCGCTGCTACTCACCTATTCCAAAAATGTGGCAGGAGTTGGATGCCGGGTATCATGACGAAGGCGGGAAAAGTAACCCGATTGAAAATTCCGAATACAAAAAGAAAGCCTAGGACAGCGCTCGACGCGATTGCTGAACGCTTCTTTTCCCATGTCAGTATATGCTCTATCAATCGCTGATGCAAGCGACATACCTTGTCGCGCAAAATGCGCTCTATCATCACGACGCTCCACAAAACAAGAAGAGTCTCGACAGAATTTGAAAAGGTATGTGTCTGAAAGGTCCAAGTCACATATGAAGAAGTGACCAAGATGACGGCCTGGATCCAGCGTCGAGGGGAGCGGACCAATTCATGAACAGCCCAATCCTCCAAAACGAAACTGAGAACAAGCATGACGAGGCGGAGCGTATAAAAGATGATGGTGGGGTCGACGCGATCTCCTTCTTCTTCCTGCGTCCAAGTCCATTTCAAGAGAGTCATGGGCAATCCATAGATTGGCCATAGTGGAAAGACACTACGGATTGGGCGCGACGAGGTCCATTCCCAAGTTGGGCGAGTCGGATAAGCGAAGAGGTATCCTGCACAAAAGCCATCAGCAACGGTGACTGGGCAAGGTATCCATCGACACATACCAGCAATGGGCTCTGGACCCTGAAAGATTTCGTCGGGGTGAAGATAACTGGGCGACACGGCAAAATAGACGCGAATAAACAGCAAGAAGAGGTACAATAGCCGCCACATCCTTTGTTTTGATGCGGTCACCGTGCCGGATACGACTTGCGCAGTATCATTGTCCTTTGTCTTATACAAGGTGTGAGCCACTCCCTCCGACTCATTCTCAATTGTGACCGGGTGGTACGTGAGCGCGTCTACCAACGCGTCACTTTGCGAGAGAGGAGACGGGGAGTAAGGGTCGGGGTTTGAACCTCTCAAGGGAGGACCAGGAGGTGTACGGGCGAAAGCGCAATGAGACAATCACAGTGGGAGATGAGGTTGGTGTTGGTCAAGCAACTTTGAACAGTAGGATGTGGTATCTAGGTACTTCAAGAATGATGCTTGTTGCATGCTGCTTGCATCAACGGGTGACGTCGGGCCGGCTTGCCTACACGTGACTGTCATTTCCGGCTTACTGGCGAGCTGGCACCCACCAGGTAACGAGGTTATTTAGGCCGCTGCAGACAAGGACGGCGTCTACAATGAAAGACAGTAGTGATAGAGTTGCTGTTTGTGCGGTCGTGTGAGGGCTGTGGCTGGGAATGATTTGTCACAGGCACCCAATAGGGTCCAGCGGCGTTTGATTTGACATGAGGACCTGGAACTGAGTACTTCGTATATGTTTGCGACGCAGGCAGCGAGCACGCAAGAGTATTTTTCTAAATATCCAAACCGTTCAGCTCCTGCGCAGTTGTCCTTCTGCTTTACTTTTCTTCCCAACATCGTCTCCGTAATCAGCCGGATATCGACAGTCCAAGATTCAGGTAAGCCTTTGATAATATATCGTCCATGGTTGAACTGTCATCTTTTTCTTTGTCGCCATAAAGGAAGGAAGAAAGGGAAAGGCCCAGCTGCCGCTGTCAGATCCGCACATACCTCCATGCGGGCGCCAAGGGCACGACGCTTCCGGCCTGTCACTCATGCAGTCACGGCCTTTACATATCCATTCACTCAATTGTGACTCTCTGTCCTACACATCTTCGCTCAAAACCTCATCTCTTCCCTCTGCCTCCCCTTTAACCTCCGCTTTACTCTACATCTGTACTGTTTCGTATACAACTCCGTTGACCCGCGCCTCATCCTAGTCATCCACACCACCCCGCACAACACCATTCCCAAGTCACCAGTCCACTCCGGCAACATGTCGTCCGACAACTCCAAAAAGTTGGTCCTACAGAGTTCCGACGGCGAGGACATCGTAGTCGGTAAGCCACAGCTCAACCCAAGCATGCGCCGCTTCCCCAAGCTGACCGTTTGCAGACCGCGATGTTGCTGAGAGATCAATTCTCATCAAGAACATGGTCGGCGATCTTGGTGAAGATGCCATGGAGGAGGCCATTCCCATCCCCAACGTCAACGCCGCTGTCCTCAAAAAGGTGATCGAGTGGTGCACACATCACAAGCATGATCCTCCTGCCACGAACGAAGACGACTCGGACTCACGTAAGAAGACGACCGATATCGATGAGTGGGATCAAAAGTTCATGCAGGTCGACCAAGAAATGCTATTTGAGATCATCCTCGCCGCCAACTATCTTGACATCAAGGCTCTACTTGATGTCGGTTGCAAGACTGTTGCCAATATGATCAAGGGAAAGTCGCCAGAAGAGATCCGCAAGACGTTCAATATCCAAAATGACTTTACGCCTGAGGAAGAAGATCAGATCCGCCGGGAAAATGAGTGGGCTGAAGAGTGAGCCCACCGTCTCCTGGCCCCATGATGATACATACTGACCGCTTCATAGTCGTTGACCTACTCGGTATCATTATCCGCAAACTGGCATAGTTTGATGGCGTTGGAGGCGTTTCACGAATGGTGCATATCGAAAATCAGACGGGTGCGGGACCCAAGAAGCTGGTGGCGCGGTCAAAATTGATCTCCTTTGTCGCACGTTCTGCTCGATCCATGAGAAAACTCAAGGGATGGCTACCTGAAGTCCTGATGGCCACGACCGGAGCTGGGGGTAACAAGGATGCATGCCATGATATGAAGGAATGATGAGTGGCGGTGATCATGCAGGCTCAGTCTGCTACACGAAATACGTTCTGCGCAGCACATAGATGACTGTCAACATGAACCTATGAGCATAAGGTCTCTGAGAGCATACTCTCAGGGGTTCACACATAGTTTCTGCTTTTGGGAAAAGAACGAGGCTGTTTGGACGTTAGACTGAGACCCTCATTTGAATCGATTGTTTTCATTGACTTTGCCTTTGCACAAGGTTTCTACGCAAGTCCCTAGAGCGCATTGTCGACTGTCATTCCTTGAACCAGCCCACCCCATCATTTTGTGCATTTGAGGATCATGGACGTTCAACTTTTGAGCGAAACCCTCAACAGACTCCCCTGCTGTGTTTGGCATGGAAAATAGCCCTAGCCTGCCTTCATCAACGCATCCAGGTTCTCCATGCTAACCCTCCCCACTCTGGTAACGCTCCATCCTCCCGTCCCTAATTTCGACCACATTCAAGCACTAAACACAGGCCCCTCCCTCGCCTCATCTCGGTAGACAATAAAATGCGTGATCCGGTGATAGATCCCCAAGGAAAGGACGAGTTTTGGTGAATTGGCGGGAACGATGTGTGCTCTTTTGGGCTGTCGCGGAGGGAATTTAGATGCCGATTCTGGTCTTGCGCCAGTGCCTCCGCTTCGCGTTGTATCTGTAACGCGATCAAGTGTGTTAGCCCCATGATTCTGTTAAATTCATATCTCTTTTGATTTTGGCGTCGATGTTTGGGGCCAGGGAGTCCCATTTCGGTCCTTCTTTCGTCCAGCCCCAGTATCCCCCAAGCTGGCAGAGAAAATGTACACAAGACACCCCATTCTCCCCCCCACCTCTTCTAACCACTCAAGGAATAAAGAAATCTCCATCCTTTCTCCCTCATACTTGAACACCGGGAGGTTTTCACAAGGAATAATTCGAGAAAGAGGAGGGTGTCGCTTGTAGTCGGGGGAAATGTATTTTGGGCCACTGACCTGATGGTGTTGCCCGTCCTGAGACGAATCCACTGGGGGATGGGTCGGTTCTGCTTCTGCGCCTTTGCGAGCTTCTGCTTCGTGCGGAAGGATTTGTGGCTCTGTTCATACAACTTGCGTCAGCCTCATATTGAAATTGTCATTCTGGCACAGATGGCACGTGGAATTGTTGGGCGGGATTGGAAGAGGTCAGAGAGGTGGAGGGAGGTTTTGGCGATAGGGAAACGTTGCGGATAGTGTGGTGTTCAATATGATGACATTTTCAGACATCTGGAGAGGGAACGTACCGGCATCTTGACTTTTCTTCTCAGTCCGGTTGACGAGTGTCGTGGATGGGAAGAGAAATCAGATATGTTGGTTGGAAAGAGTGGTCAATTGTCTGCGTGCCCACCCTTGACTACCACTGCTGTGGTGGTGGTGCCCCAAAATTTCGCAGCCCGTTGCCTGTGGGCTTGGCGTATGCCAAGACCAGGCCCTTACTAGCGGTCACGTGTATGTTGCGAGCAAGCTTCAGGAATTCCGAGATGATGCCGTCACCTTTGCAACGCCGCCCGCCAATTAGTCGGGGAACTTAGGAGTCTGGTGCTGCGCTTCCGAGGCTTGGGGTCGAGGTCATTCTCCGATTGCGGTGCAGCGTTGTGAGTCTCGGTCAAGATTTATATGGGAACGCCGATAGAGAGCTTCTATTCAGCCCGTCTTCAAGTTCCAGCTTGCCCTTTAGAAAACAAGAGCCCATCTTTGAGGACCATTGGATGCTCTGACGACTACTGACTGCATTGTGTTGCTTTCTTGAGCAAACGGAAGAAAGTGGGGAGGTAAGAAGGGCACAAGATGTCGTCGAAGCTCAGGATATTGGTCCCCGTCAAGCGTGTCATTGATTATGCTGTGAGTGGCCCTCGATTTACGAATGCAGGATGCAGCGCATGAATACACCTCCATTCCTGGCCCCAATATCACGGGTCTCCTTTCCTTTTGTATACCTTCATGCCGTAACTAACCTTCCCTCCTTACAACGCAGGTCAAGCCCCGCGTAAAATCCGACCGCACGGGCGTCGAGACCTCCGGCGTGAAACACTCGCTCAATCCCTTTGACGAGCTCTCGATCGAGGAAGCCGTGCGGCTGCGCGAACGCAAACAGCCCGTCGAAGACATCCTGGCCGTGAGCGCCGGGCCTGCGAAATGCGCCGACACGCTGCGGACGGCCATGGCCATGGGCGCAGACAGAAGCATCCACGTCGACGTTCCCGAAGATAAACCCCTCGAGCCCCTGGGCGTGGCGAAGCTGCTCAAGGCCATCGCCGAGAAGGAACAAAGCAACCTGATCATCCTGGGCAAACAGGCCATCGACGACGACGCGGGCCAGACGGGCCAAATGCTTGCAGGTTTACTGAACTGGCCCCAGGCCACGCAGGCGTCCAAGGTATCGATCGACAATGACACGGTGACGGTCGAGCGCGAGGTCGACGGCGGCGTAGAGACCCTGCGGGCAAAACTGCCCATGGTCATCACGACGGATCTGCGGTTGAACGAGCCCCGCTACGCCAGTCTGCCCAACATCATGAAGGCCAAGAAGAAGAAGCTGGAGAAGAAGACCCTCGGCGACTACGGCGTCGACGCCACCAGCAGACTCAAGACCGTCAAGGTCGAGGAGCCCCCCGTCCGGCAGGGTGGCGGGAAGGTCGAGGATGTGGACGGTATGATCAGCAAGCTGAAAGAATTGGGTGCCCTTTAAAGGTGAAATGGGCACGAATGACCCGAATGGCATTTATAGGTCGAGGCAAATAAGATTGCGTCGTGGTGGGAGGAGGACATGACCGGACAACAATTACATATCTGCTTTTGGGGGCCTCGTACTGGGTGAATCGGCAAGGGCGCATATAACTATTTGCACCGTATACACAAAAGCAAGGATGAGAAGCATCAGAACACGTTCTGTTTCGAAGCTCGTTCATATTATGACAGCCATGGCTGTTCAGCCTTCCAAGCTGTGGCTCTTGCAGGAAATGCTTTCTAGTGTGTGCTATCTGTTCCGGCCCATGCCTGCCGTAAAACGCCAGCGCTATGCTATGCTATGCTCTGACGCTGTCAGAAGAGGCAAGCCGCCCCGGCTAGTCGCCATTTCCATCTCAATCCCATCAGTCATCCATCCATAAGCCATGAAGAAAGCAATTCCTGCATTGTTTTTGTAGTGTTGTTCAAAAGTTTTTGTTGTCTGCCAAATTGCAGACTTTGAGAATCAGTTGCTGGGGGAGCTTGGGGTTGGTGTGAGAGTGTCTTGCTTAGACAGTTCCAGCAATGGTCAAATCTCGAATCTCGGAGAGAACTTGCTCAACACGATTATCCAGGTCTCCACGTGCATATTGTTCTCTAGTTTCTGGATCCAAGTACTGCTGCACCTGTGCCATGCGGCTGTATGCTTCTGCGCAGAACCGGAGTTGGATTTTGACGAGTGCTTCAAAGCTGGGGTCGAGGTAGGGAACACGGAGATCGATGAGTTGAGGGAGTTCGGTGAAGAGTTGTTCGTTAAGTTGTTCGTACGCTTGCTTCGCCATTTCGGCTTCTTTTTCCGCACGAGGTAGTTTGGTAACATCTTTGTCGGGTTTTTCGACGAGTTTCTTGACCTTGGAACGCATGGAATCGTAATCGAGGAGTTTGTTGTTTCGTTTCTTGATACATTCGTTAATGTCAGGGAAGTATGCGCAGAAGCGGGAGATCGGTTCAAGGACAGTTGCTCTGTAGGCATCGTCAGTGGGTGAGGCGGATCTGAAGGAATTGTGAGAGGGACACGTACCGGTAGGGGCCATCAAGCGCTTTGATGGTTTCGGCGTCTAAATCTTCGACGGCCTGCTTGTAGGATCGTGAGACGCCATCTCTGGTACCAGCGTCGCCGTAGAATGCGTCGATTGTCTCCGCTATCCTCATTTGTGATGCTGTCATGGCTGCAGCAGGAAACGCAGTCAGTATCTCCAGCCATCGCCAGCGGCAGCAGAAACTACTAACCTCGCAAGCTGTCCAGATAGCCCTTGGCCTCCTTCTGCAACCTGTTCGCGGCCGATTCCATTGTCCGGTACCTCCTGTAGCATAGTGGTCAGCCGCGGCTCTGTTCGCTTTCAGATGTGCTCGACTCTCACCTCTCCTCGACCTCGTAGTCCCGGTCGTTCGTCCTCTCGACCTGGCCTAGGTGACATGGTCAGCGCTTCGTTGCCAGTGAGTCTCAGATGAGGCTTACCAGTCTTCATCATCACCTGCGTCGTGGCGCGGTTGACGCCTTTCTTGAAGCCTGCCCACGACATCGCGCTCGTTCAGATAGCACTGCCAGTTTCTTCTCAGGCGGCGGTAATATGCAGAAGGCGACTCAAAGGCAAGTGGGCCGTCGTCGATCGTGTGGAAGAAGAGATATAGGCAGTTGGCATTAACGTCAACCTGAGCCCAATTAAGCTCCTGTTCGGCCCTGCGCCACCAGTGCGCACGGACCTCCGTATAACGGGTGCCAAGGCGACCCGCAAAATGGTCCATGACGTAATCCCGGAGACGGAGAAACAAAGACGCGGTGGTACGGTGAGGCATGTTAAATAGCGGTGCAGAATCTCGGCGACGCACGTCTTGGCGTGAAGAGGCCCACTTCCTCGTTTACCCCTCCAGCAGACTCCAGCTTCAATACTGTCCTTGCGACATCACTTGGACAGGCGGGCATCTGAGCGTCAGAGGGGCCGCACCTGGTCGAATGCGCACGGAATCTCCCTATTTAATATCGTGACGGAGCCATCTTCACTGGTACGGACGGCCACCTGGCGTTCAAAGAGTGGGAACAAGGGAGTAGCACTTTACGGCCCGTCAGGCACATGGGTACCTGCTGCTCAATTGTCTCGAGAGTGCAACTGGGTGCAACCAGTGATTATTGCCTAATACTCTCGAGCCCACCCCGGTCTCTTACTTGATGACCAGAATCCTTTTTTTTGGTGTAGACCGTCAATATCAAAGTCTGTGAACTCTGTGGATAATTGTAAACTGGCCTCAGTCGCAGATCTATTTCCTAAGGTCGACCACAACGCGTGACGAAGTCCTATCGTGATCCACTCGCCAGCAGCAGCGGCGGTCTTCGCAGTGCCAACATGAAAGAGATGCCAGACAGGGTATGTGACACTTTGCGACCGATGACCTTAAGCAAATTGTGCAACGCCTTGCCCATGTTGGCTGGCAAGCATGTTGACATTGAGCTATCCAGACGTGCAATGTCACCATCAAATGTTAATGAGTGCGCTGCACAATGGAAATCCCAGCAAACTTTGATGCAAAGCTCATTCATCCTTGTGGAAAACAGACCACTTCAACCCTGGCAGTCACGACTGACAAGGCCTTTCCACGGGTTCCTTATCACGGTTGCAAGCCTGATCGCATTGCGAATTGTGAGAGAGAAAGTGATATGATGCCTAAGCATTGTTTGAAGGATCGAGCTAATAAGATTGAAGGGCTTGAAAGAGATCGTAATGTAAAGTACCTCCCAGGGTCATAAGGTGGAATACATCAACGCGTCTCAGGACGGCTTCGGTCTTCGGTCCGTGTAAGGCTGGCACTTCCTTAGCAGGAAGGGCGCTCTGTTTCTCAGACAGAGGGTAGTCCTGGTAGTGTTAGCTTGTACTTTTGCGCCTGTAGTCTCCGCCTCCTCTTTGTGTGAGTTGTCGCTGTTAGTTTGTGGAGTCGATATCTTACTGCTCGTAAGGGTAAGCAGCAAGCGTGTGTAATATGGCCGTGGTCACAGGTCTGAGGAGGTCTTGAGATAGGAGAAGCAGTGACAACGAGAAGAGGTATTAAACTTCGATACGGTCTTTGATCTCTTCGGCACGCTTATTTCTTTCTGTTGACTGTCTTGGGCACCCAGCTCTAGGGCATGCTGCTGGAGAGGAATGGTGCATGTGGTGATCCCAGATTATCTTGAGCCGAAGTAGGGTAGTGCCAGCCATCAGGTATGAGGAGCATATGAGATGTATACCGGACGCGACTGCGTCCACATTAGCTCTGGGACAGAACTCAAAGCAAATGATCTGGTCTCAGTTTGGGCTCGCCTCGTCTCAATTGCCACCCCTCCCTCTGCCTCTCTGAAGCTCCCGTGCTCATCTGTCAATGTGCTCGATGAGGAGCAAAGGAAAATCGTGAAATGAAAAGGACGCTCCGTGAGTTTCCCACAATTCTTCGCTAGAAGCCACCGAGAAACAGTAGGCTCGTAGTATTTGCCATTCCAGGCATAACAATAAGAGACAGTGTCGCCTCCAGGAGTTCTATGTGCGTATCAAATCCCGCCCACCAGGACTCTGTGAAGTCAGCAGGTAGATTTGAAACCAAAAAGACCACCTGTCTAGCAGAGAGAACTGGTTAGAAAAAGGGAGACCATCAAGCTTACAGGTAGAGAAAGCTATGTGAAAAGATACGAAGATTTTCTACCGCTCCTATAGCAGCATTTTGCAATATAAAAACCCGGAGGCATCAGTGTCCCGGTCCCGAGGTGCCATACTCTTAGCCTGTTGGTGTCAAAGCCTCTGGAAAGCTCTGACGGCCAAATCATGCTTTCGTCAAGGATAACGACAGAGCTAGGGTAGTCTGACTTGAGCTTCCTAAAAGCAGAGTCCTTCTTTGCGAGAGGGATATTGTTCGAAGTGAGTGGACGCCTTGGTTTGACCACGAAGCGTACCGCGCCAGGTCGTTTCTCGCTTGCAAAGCATAGAATTGCGGTGTACCAAGTATCGCACAACCCATATCTCCTCGACGTCACTGCGAGCATAGCCTGGTTGATCATCCACTGTTATTATGTGGCAGCTCTCAACCTCCTACCCGAGTTCGGCTGCGTCAGTGATGAGCTGGAACACCGTTTGCCAACTTGCCCACAGAAATGAAGAGATGTCTGTAAGGCCAGGAGCTGATGACCACAGCTGTTATGATCAGTCTGAAGGTAGAGGATCAGATTTGCTCGTGCTCGAACGACTGGTTTTTTTTGCACCCGTTTGGCATGCTGAATTGGTCGAGATGCATGGCTACTCACTCGACAACACGCGAGATGGTGAAACCAGGGACATCCTCCACCAGGAGCAACAGGGTGTGCAGAACAAGCGGAGGTCCATTTCAGAATGAAAGAGAGGGAGAGAGAAAAATGGGACACATTGTTCGGCAGTCAATGAGCTAGATACAACGCACACTGCTAGGTCTCCACGCGGCCCCTCGACAAGGAATCTCGAGCCAGGAGAAGCCGTGAAGGTGGTCCGGAAATTCACGATGTCGGCATGTCGTGATAGCCAATAGTAGCGCTACCAGAATACCCCATCATCTACTCCCCTTCCTCAGTGAATGCGGAGGCGGCTACTCCCTTCCCAAACATACCACCCGGCAATATAGCGGGCTGGACGAGGAGTATTAGCTTTTTCCGGGGGTAGGTAGGCAGGATAAACCGAGGAAACGAAGTGCAAACAAATCGTGATACCCTCCGAGAACAAACAGGTTGGCTGGAAACGGGGTTGAGCAGGGCGCTGTTTGACGGCTGGCAGGATTCACATGTCAATTTGACATTTCGCGTGGCTGGCTGTGGCACACCGTGGCAGGAATGGATTTCAAATTGGACGGTGAAGGAAACGAGCACATGTCTGCTCGAAGGAAAATAGAAAAGAACAGTGCATCGCGAGCATCGGTGAGACGGTCACGGTGGGCATGACGTCCGAGATGGAGCCGCTCGCCAGCGCATGCAGTGAAACGGAGGTGGTACCGCTGGACTGGGCTATGGGATCCGAAGCTCAAGCGGTGAGACGGCGGAAAGACGAGAAGACGGACTGTCGAAGCCAATGTGGCCCTCGTGGGAACAAGTTGATGACAGCAGAGAATGACGGAAAGGTGCAGATGGCGCTGCAGCAGTCAGGATCCAAGTGGGAAGCTTCCTGGCGAGCCTCGCTATTTTGCGGGCGGCAGCAACCACACGAGGAAGTCGTGCTATAGTCATCCTTGCTTTGAAATCTGGCCGGGAGTGGAGCTAGACTGTGAAGTTGTGAGGTGGAGGAGGTGGTGGAGCTTGTAGAGCTGCTCATTCTGGATGGACGGGATCCAGGGCAGTCATTCCAATCCACACGGACGAGGAAGCAGGAAGAGACGTAAGCGTTGCAGGGAGATGTCACGGATTCTGTCAAACAGGCTTGGAGGGGGAAACGCCGAAAGTACCTAGATAGGTATCTGAACAGGTCCTTATTGTTGTGTTATGGTGTGGTGATGTGCTGGAGGAGGACGCAGGGGAACCGGGAGGTGAGGAGGCTATTGGGCAGATGGGGAAGAACCAACAGAAGCATTGCTATTTGATATGACATTGGATTTGAATTGTTATTACTTGATCCAAAAGACGACCTAGAACAGCGAATGCCTAGGGCGTGCTATGTACCAACCTAGGTAGGTACCTAGGTACATACAATATCTACTAGGTAGGTATGGATTTACGGCACGGAACAGGCCAGTGGGGAGCCACGAGAAGGACAGGATGCTCGGAAACAGAATTAATGAAGGAAACGGAGACACAGTGCACAAAATGCACCCTTGGGGCCTTTAAACGAAGGGGTTAATTGTCAATATTACCTGCAGGAACAGCCTAGAGAACCGACATGCCCGGGCTACTGCACGGTAAGGTAGGTGACGAGAGAGAACTGTGCTACCGTAGGGACCGTCCAGGTGGATGGGTGCCCCTCGGGTAAGGATCGAGGATCGAGGGGCGAGGGGCGAGGGGCTACGGCGAGGTTGTCCCTTCAATCCCAGTTAAACACCAACTAACTTAGCCTCCCGGCATGCTGCATGATGCACGCTGCACGCTGCACGCTGCAGTGCACGCTTGCTGCAACCCCTGCAAACAACGAGCCTGGTGAGCCTGGTGAGCCTACCTAGGTGATCATACGCAGCCTACACACACCTTTCGTTGCGCCCTCCGTCTTCACGCATGCCCTCATCAGTGAGACTGAAAGGGGGATTCTATTCGCCATCAAAACACCATCAGACCATCTTCCTGTCGCCGCTTCACTCTCATTGTTATTGTTTACGGCTATATTTATAGAGGAACCCTCATCGACGCGCCCATCCCACCTCCACCTCCCCCTCCCCCTCAATCTCCGCTCAGTGACTTCTCGACCCCTTCACCAGCATCGTCATCGTAAGAGAGGTGGTTGCTGAGTAGTGGTAGTGGGCTCGCGGGAATTGGATCGCTGAGCTTCACACAAATCGGGATTGGAGGAAAAGAAATTCTCTCATACAAATCCTCGCCAGCGGGCACGCGAACTCCCTCTCGGGTCTTGCTATTCTCCCACTTGCTGGACGGCCCTACCAACCTACCGACTACGCCTGCGTATTGACCCTGACAACTCCCGAAGACCAGAGCCAGGCACCGCTTGGACGACTCCTCTTCTCACTACCGCTTTCGATTTCCATTCCGGTTTCTGAGGCCTGGCGCAATAATACCACTTGAACTTGCATCTGTACGCACAGTCCTGCATTGGTCAGCAGCTGCTAGGGCAAACCAATCACTCCAATCCGCTGCGGTGCCCGCAACGTCCCCCTGGCTCGCCAGGCCCGGCCATCACAGCCACCAGCAAAGCCCACCTGAACTGTTGGCTCCGTCTTGCCGGGTGAGCACTGACCAGCATCACACAACTGGTAAAAGTTTGGCTCACGAGGAGACCAGTACCACGGGCCAAGGGCCAAGGTCCTAGGCCCTCTTCCGAAGTGACAGATCGTGTGAAATCTCCCTGCCTGCGCCCGCACACACGATCAGCCCCCTCAAAAAGTCCTCATCGTCACTCTAAGGCTTCAGCAAACCATCAACTCGTCCTTCGTCGCCCTCGGCTGCCGCGCAATTTCTAGCCCCTCCTAGGCTTCTTTTTTTTCACACGTTGGCAGCAGAACGCACCGATTCCGTCCTCGCCACCACACATATTTATCATTCTTACCAAATATCCAACCTCATCTGGGAAACACAGCAACACGCGAAACAGAACAGTGGGCTTGTCAAATCGAACGCTTCGAGAATCATCCTTGCGATTTTTATAACCAGGTCCTTGTTACACGAACTGCACTCGCCTACAGGATACCTTATCTACCGCCACTAAACATCGAGAGATAGGGCGTCCTGCCCTAAACACCTCTCTTCCCCCCCACCCTCTCCTGTACGCAATCCACGCGCAGAGACCATTCACATGAATCAGGCATCGTCGCCAGTTAATTTCGCTCCGCAACACTCCCCTACGCTCGTGCATTCTCCTCTGTTACACGATGATGGGTCGACACATTCGATAACACGACCGGCGGAGGACGCGGCACACCTCCAGATTCCGGCAACCAACGGCGGTGCGGTGCTCACCCCTAGCCCCTCGAATCTCTCCCCCACGACGTCAAATTCGGGCGCAGCTGCGCCTAAGGAGCCTGCAAAGAAGGGCAAAATGACGTACCGTCTGACTCGAATGTTTTCTCGGTCCGACCCCAAAGACGTCGAGGCCGCCAAAGCTGCAGCTGAAATAAAAGAAACCTCCCCCGACGCTCGTCTGGAAAACGGCCACCCTCCCAACAACAGACCTTCTTCCGGCAGACAAGGTTCGAATGACGAAAAGAACGGCCGCAAGATGACCATCCTCGGTACCTCGAAAGAGAAGATTAAAGGCGAACCCCCGTCCGATGCCGCCCATGCTCTGCATAAACGATTCGAGATGCACGATGACGGCACTCATGCACATTTCCTCAAGTCCGCCAAACGGCAAGAAAAATTGTCCGACATGCTCCGCGACATGCTCACTGGCGGCAAGAAGAAGGATCAAGATGGCGCAGGTGATCAACAGTTGACGCTGATGTCGTCTTGGGTTGACCAACTCCGATCAGAGAAGGACAGCCTTGCCTCGGACAAGAAGGGCGGCCCTAACGCCACGGCCAACTTGGTCGAGAAGTATGGCAAATGCCAGGAGATTGTCGGTCGCGGCGCTTTCGGCATTGTGAGAATATCCCACAAGCCAGATCCTAATAGTGTTTCGGGAGAGTTGCTCTACGCCGTCAAGGAGTTTCGCCGTCGTCCTCAAGAGACGGCCAAGAAATATCAAAAGCGGCTGACGAGCGAGTTCTGTATCTCATCGTCGCTCCGTCATCCCAACATCATCCACACCCTAGATCTGCTGCAAGATGCCAAAGGGGACTACTGCGAAGTCATGGAATACTGCGCCGGTGGAGATCTCTATACACTGATCCTGGCCGCCGGGACTCTGCAAGTTCCCGAAGCAGACTGCTTCTTCAAGCAACTGATGCGTGGCGTCGAGTACATGCATGAGATGGGCGTGGCTCACCGTGATCTGAAACCCGAAAATCTTCTTTTGACAACACACGGCGCCCTCAAAATTACCGACTTTGGTAATGGCGAATGTTTCCGCATGGCCTGGGAGAAGGAAGCGCACATGACAGCTGGACTCTGTGGCAGTGCCCCATACATTGCCCCGGAAGAATATAGCGGTGGCGAATTCGATCCTCGTGCCGTGGACGTCTGGGCTTGTGGTGTCATCTACATGGCTATGCGGACTGGTCGGCATCTCTGGCGAGTGGCTCGTAAGGAAGAGGACGAATTCTACCAGAGATATCTCGAGGGTCGGAAGGATGAAGAGGGATACGCTCCCATCGAGACCTTGCACAGGGTGAGCACTTCCCGGGCACTGGGCTCCAGTCGCTGACTGATTTTTGATTTTTCTAGGCTCGTTGCCGAAATGTCATCTACTCGATCCTCGACCCGAATCCTGGCCGCCGGATCACCGCTTCTCAAGTTCTCAAATCCGAATGGGGCAGAGAGATCAAGGTGTGCAAGGCGGGCGAAGAAGGCTTCTGAACGCCCTGTTTTCCCGTTTTTCTGGCATGATGATTTCCACGTCTCGTGATTCAGGCACGGGCATGACTTTGACGAAGCGATGATTTGAGCATTTTTTCAGTGAGCAAAAAGACCAGCGTCTTTTTATTGGTTTCTATTTGGGCCTTGTTTTCCAGCTTCCAGACTACGGCCATGGCCAGAAGAAAGATTGGGAGGATTGCGATTGGTCAACCATTTGGTTCTTTTGGATAGCAAAGAAGGGCAAAAGGAAGGCATTTCAATTGTTTCGCTCGTTGCGGATGTTTTCTCACAACTGCCCACCTGTTCTGCGCCCGGGCCCAAGGGAAAAAAGCGCCCAGAAAAACGAGCCGATCTCCTGTAACAACAACCAGCGGTGTTCTACCTAGCATACAACTCTCTTTGCCAGTGCAAGGCCACGCACGGTCACTCCCCCTGTGCCAGCCTTGGATCTATATATACTCTTGCTTCAAGGCCCGAGCAAGGCTAACCGCTACACTGTACTACGACCTAAGGGATGCTGTTTCGATAAAATCCGGTCTTTTTCTTTTGGGGTTCGATCTTGAAGAAGCGTTTTGTTTGTTTTTTAATTGTTTTTTCCACCTTTGAGCCAAATGAACTGAAGCAAGATTTCAGTTTGATGGCTTGGCACTACGTGCTCTGGCGTGCTACGATGGACCCCAAGGATTGTCCCATGAGCAACCCCTTTGACGATCAGAGCAGCCGCATGAACCTTCTTGGGGCGTTTCCAGCATGGATTCTTCGATACGCCGCCAAAAAAAAAGGGCTGAGATGTGATCTATCGTCTTGGGGGGCTGAGGCCAGCTGCTGCAGCGTCAATTTTGTGATTGTTATTTCCTCATCTCAGGCCCAAAGCCCGAGGCGGAATGCATTGATCTTCGTCTGGAGCCTTGGCCGTTGCCTGCCTAGTGGTACCTGCATAACGCAAGCACCCACCCAGGATTAACTCAGATTGCATACTCGCTTGCAATCCTGTGGCAAGCACCCATGGTTACTAAGGTTGGCCTGCCTCATCACACATGCCTCTTTGGATGCTTTTGACTCCGGTCTATCCATCAATCCGTGCCCATTCTTTCCTACAATAGGTCAGGGCCACTTGTCCACAGCCACAATCTGCCCCTTCTTCCCTCTCTCTCGTCATCTGCCGGGCTTGATCCAAGTTTGGCAGCCCGACGTCATTGTACTTCGGAAAGCAGGGATGGGGATCAAACTGTTTGGATTTTACAGATCAGCCCTCTGCATCAGTGAGAGTGTGTGCGGGAGTTTGCTGTTAAATGGATCTACGAGACCTAATACCGTACATAGCGGTACATATCTCGCAAGCCTGGCACGCCTGGCGGAGGGGAACCTACGAGGAAATGGTACCTAACCAAAGATTCATCGCATCATACCAAAATATCATCCTCACCTACTCGTACTACTCCTGTCTATTCAGTACTCCTACGCGGCAGTGTTCACATCCACAGATTCCCGAACCGTCGCTCTTGACCAGTCCCTCGTAGCCACAACTTCCTTACGTACTCGGGCCCTTGGCTTGATCTGTACCCTTACGTGACCGTCGTGATGGCTTTTCTTATTTCCTTCACCCTGGCAAAATCCCAAGTCCGGCTTCCTGCTTTTCTCAAAACCTTGTTAACTTACCCAGAGAGGGAGTCTTGGTATCTTAGTAATTACCATGCTCTTTCTTCACCTCCCCCAATGATACCTTCCCCTGTGCTGGGGCCATTTCTCTTTTCTCCCCAGCACCAGTCCGTCCGGTGCCGCCCCGACCGACGGAAAGGCACGGTCCGGATATGCAATATGCAATATGCAAAGGGGTATGTAATATGGGCAGTACCTTATACTTTTAGGGTAATAATGGGCGTTTCGTTTTGGATGTTTTCATCACACGGTTGTGGGTTGTGGGGGTTGCCTCTGGGTGTTTGCCTCTTTTTTTTTGGTAGGGGGAGGGATATAGTGTCATGCAAGAGTAGAGTCATGTGAACTACGTCGGTGGGACATGGAATATAGACGAGACGAGACGAGAGAGCTGAGATGAGATGGATGTGATGAGATGAGATAAGGCCGGAGTAGGTAGGTAGGTAGGTAGGTAGGTGGTAGGAGTGAGGCGAGGCGAAGCCAGAGGGCGGGAGAAGAGTGCGGGAAATTGTAGCACTCTAGGCACCTCGTAGGGGGTAGGGAAGACCTAGATCACATCCTCCCCTACTCTCAGAAGATTCTGGGGATTGGGTGGCCATGGGCATAAATATCTTCCCAGTCTTCAGATCGGTTGATGATGTACTTGTTGCATTTCCATTGTGGCGGACGCTCGCCCTCAGAGAAGCATCGAATCGTAACAGAAAGCCCCGGTTTGCCGAGACTCCAAGAGGTCGTCTCGAGGAGACTTTTCACTCGCTGTCATCACTTTCCTCCTTCTTCACGCCGCTCGCTCTCTTTTTTTCCCTCTTCTCCTTCTTTTCCTGTTTCCTCCGTTTCCGCTCGGCTTTCTCTTCAGGCGTCTCACCCTCGTGTTTACTCTTGCGCTTCTTCTCCTTTTCTTCTTTCCTGATCTTAAGAGTAGACTCGCCATTCGTCGTCGGAGGCTCCGCCGCCGCTTCTCCTGCAGGAGGGGCAGCAGTCTTCTCGTCAAGATCCATTTGACCGCCCGCCTCACCATTCGGGGCGACGGGTGGAGCGGAAAGGACGTCGGATTTGGAAGTGGTCTCCCCTACTGGGGTGGCTTTTGTGCCTTCTGTATTGGCGGAAGCGCCGTAGTCGGTGTACTCAGCATTCCACTTCGCTGGAGTGTTTTCGTTTGGTCGGCCATATTTCTGCAGAGATAGGTTAGAATAAAGGCAGAGAACAGGGGGAGGGAAAGGCCATACATCAAGCTTTCCGTCAGACTTCATCTTCTTTTTCTCTAGCGCCACAGGTCCCATGCCCCAACGTCGGGGATACAAGTCCCTCTCCATGATACATCTCTTGACTTTGGCAACAACTCCATGGTCACAGGTAGACAGCTCGACTGTTGACATCATCGCAATCCCAAGAGCGATTGCCTCGCCCTTTGTCGTCATTAGAACGACCTCTTCGTGGACTTCAATACCAGCCTCGAATCGTAGCAAACCAGGGATCATCAGTTTGGCGCCATAGCAGACAGCATTGACCGCGCTGTCCTTTACAACGATTCTCTTGTATGTGGTCAGGAGGCTCTCAAGCGGGGAAATGACTTTTCGAAGATACGACTCGTCTCGGTTGTTGTCCATCATCCACTGCGCATCGAGGACGTCATGTAAAGTGACCATGCCGTCGCTCTCGGCCATTGCTCCGCTTCTTACTCTTCTCAATTCCTGCATGTGCGCACCAACACCCAGCAGCAATCCCAGATGTACGCAGAGAGTTCTGATGTAGGTTCCAGCTTCGCAGCTGACCCAGAAAACACCGAGATGCCGGTCATTGTCGAATTCGTATAGCTTGCTCTCGTGGATCGTTCGGATACGTAGCTGTCGCTTGACGGCGGAGATAAGGGGAGGTCGTTGGAACAGGGCGCCCGTCAGCGTTTCGAGTGCTCGAGCAAATTGCGCTTCGCCTCCGGGCAATTTGTCGTGTAACCGGATCACGCAGACGTACTCTTTTCCGGCACCTTGTTGGGATTTGACCAGTCTAGTGGCTCGGTCGATGCAGACAATCAAGCATCCGGTAACTTTGGGATCCAGTGTGCCGCTGTGGCCGGTCTTCTCTACCCGCAATATCCGCTTGACCCAGGCGACGACTTCGTGACTTGAAGGATTAGAGGGTTTGTCAAGATTAATGACGCCGGACGAGATGTAGGATTTGAGATCGCGTTTCAATGGTGTGCAGCCGACAGGAATCGGCGTGAAATGACCGGTTCGAACCAGCACTAGAATCGTCCTGTTAATTGGAGCTTGGAGGGTCATGAACTTGGGGACTTGCATTTGTCATAGTTCTTCAACAGAAGCGGCCATTCAGATGTAGGGATCTGAGGCGTGATGTTTTCTGGTTTGATGCTGAAATCAGCCTCCACGACCTTGGCCATGTTGCGGAGCTGCGTTGGCCGAGCTTGCGGCGCAAAAGTATCCGTACAGAGCTCGAGAGAACCTAGGAGAGCGTCAAATAAGACACAGAGGAAGCAACTCCTAGATGAAATGGTTCCTGTATGCTGCAGGTATCGGCGTGGGAGTATGAAATGCAAGACTAAAAAAATATCTCTATTCTTTGCGACCATAGAGCGAAAGAAATGGAGTCGAGCAAAATCTTGAACGGCGTGTCGGTGCGGAGAGCAAACTAGGCCATATATGGACTAGTCCAGAATAGAGGCTTGGCACTGCTAGTATCAGACTCGGAGCCTCGAAATCTTTTCAGGCAACGCTCCAACTACGACACTCTGTCCAATCCTCAGAATATCTAATCACCCTCGTTCTTCCCATGTCCTGCAAAATACTCTAGGTTGTCTCTGTCTCTTCTCATTCACGGTCTAAGATGAGCGGCGGCGGCGTGGATATCATGGACAGATTCTGGAGCACCCCTCCGGTCACTCGGTTGGTCAACCCTATGTATCTCCTTTCCGGTGGCTCTGGTCCATCTAACAATGCCAAAGGACAATCGTAACAGCAATGTTTGCAGAATCTGCGCTGGTACATTCAGGTCTGGTCTCTGGCATGCGAATTGTTTACCATACACCTTGGATATTCAAGTTCCCACCTGAACTCTGGCGCCTACTTTCCTCCTTCCTCTTGACAGGAGGTGGCTTTTCTTTTGTCTTCGACCTCTACTTCAGTAAGTTGCCGCCATCTTCGTTGTAACCGGTGTCTAACTCTACCAGTGTACACATATGCCTCGGGCCTAGAGCTGAATTCTCCTCGATTTGCGCAACCGGGCGACTTCTTCACCTATGTCTTTTTCGTGGCAACTGCCATCCTGGTCAGTCCTCCAGCTTCCCTTTCCTCATCCACCCATTCCTGTCTTGCCTTCAACACCTCGCATATCTGCCCGCCCAGTCTTTTCTAGCTGAAGCGGTTCCTGGAAACGAGGGAGATTACCCCTGTGGCACATAAAGCTCCGTTCATTCGCAAATCTGTCAAAGGACTTTATGCGGCACAGGCATGGTGGTGGCTCCATTGAGAAAGCTGTTCGTGAAAAATCAATTTGCGTTTGGCGGTTTAGGCTTCCTACATCTCAACACTTCATCCCTATTTTTCGCCCAAAGCCGCGAAAGTCGGTCTGCTGACTCCGGAGTAGGTATCCGGTGGTCTTGTGCTCGGCGGCCACGTCTTTACCCAGGCCTTACTTCTTGCCCTCATCTACACTTTCGCCCAAGATAACAGGGGCAAGAAAGCACATTTCATCATACTGCAAATCCCGGTCGAGCTGCTACCTTGGGCCATGCTCACGCTCACCTTGATAATGGGTGGGCCTCAAGCGGCCCTGCAACAAGCCACTGGCGTCTTTGCCGCTCACCTTTACGACTTTCTGACAAGACTATATCCGACCTTCCAGGGCGGCAGAAATTACATACAGACTCCAGCTGCAGTCAAGAGATATTTTGGTGCAGATAGAAGCTCATTCACTCACAAAGCTTATGGAACGAGCGTCAGATCTGGGCAGAACGTCCCCCAACAGCAGAGTCGCGGTTGGACTAGTGGCTTTTCAAACTCTTGGAGTGGTAGGGGAGCCGGCCGGCGGCTGGGAGGCGACTGAGGGCCCGTTGCTCAGCGATATATGTGAACAACCTGTATAACAGCATTTGACGAGACACGAGATACCCCGACCAATCACAATTTTCGATGATGAGAACGATTCCACCATCCTTCAGGAAGCATGCCTTTGCCAAGGCCAAAATGCAGCTGAAACATGTTGGACCTCAGGGGTTGATCCACATGGAATCCACAGCCTTGCCATCTCCACGGGTTTCATACGCTTTTCGTCTCACGGCTCCAGTGTTTCCGGTCAATCCTTCTGAACATTCTCGATGCGCCCATTGTGACTCGCTACACCCAAGACGGACCTGCCACATCACATGCTCCAGAGTTTTCTTGCCGAGGATGAGATGCATATAGGGAAACACTGTCCACGCAATGCTTGAGCCCAGACTTCTCGCTTGCACTGGATAAACCCTGGACACGCATGCATGTTCGTCGGAGAAGCCTTTCCCATCGCCAAAAACCATGAATTTTGAGGCTGTGCATTCAATGATGTGCGATGACGCCCGCCATGGTGATCGGTATTCCCTGTCACCAACCCACAGGCTCGTTGCTGTCAATGCAAGAGAATTGTGGTTCTGAAGTATCACGTTGTGGATTTGCATGCCAAAGACTGGGCCACGACAATGGAACAGGCAAAGCAGGGAAAATATTTTCTTTTTTGACTGCTCGGTATATATGACAGCCTTCTCCCTCTTATGTCTTTCTCCCTGACTATCAACATCCCGTGCCCTTTCCTCTCTTTTGGCATTCGATTCTACAGCAGGCAGGTCCTGTTGCAACTTGCCTTCATTTGGTCCATTTGTCCTCTCTTTCACCCGTTCTTAGAGACAACAGGTTGTCCTCTCTTTTTCAAACACCAACAACAACAATGGGCCGGCTCCTCATTCTTTCCTTTTTGAATTTCTCCTTCGTGCTCCTGCCTGGCGTCCTTGCCGGCTTGGAACCAAGCCACAATATTCACCCGCTGCAGGTGGTCGTGACCGCGGCTCTCTGCGTCCCGGGCTTCTTCGTCCCCACCGTCTCCGGCTATGTTCTACCAGTGACAGCTGCCCGCGAGGAGCTTGCATGGGCCTCCAAGCGTGACTCTCTCCTCCCACGCAAGAACAAGGGCCACAAACACAAAGACGCAAGCAACAACAAAAACACCACGGATGCCGCCACCGCTTGCATGGCCGCGGCCATGGAGGCCGCGGTCAACCAGACCGGCGTGGCAAATGTCACTGAAGCCGTGGCCATGAGCAACACCACCATGTCCGCCATCGCCAGTGCGTGTGCCGGGAACTCGACCGATCTGGTGCAAGCTGTGGCTGCGGCGACGAACGAGACGGCAACGGCTGCCTCAGCCAACGTTACTAGTGATGCAAGCGCAAGCAACGCTACGATTGACGATACATCTTCTTCCACCAATTCCTCTTCCTCCTCCTCTTCGTCGACTGATGCCGGGACCGGCGATGGAAGCGGCAAGGGGAACAGCAATGGCAAGGATCGAGGCAAAAACGGCAACACCGACAACGGGAACAATAGCAAAAACGACAACGACAACTCCGACTCCAACTCCATCAGCGCGGTCATCGACGATGCATTGCAGGTCATCGACTCCGTCATCGGCAAGAAATCTAAGCGTGACAACAAGTATCGTGACAGTCCGGTGCGGAAGAAGTGGGTGGCTGGCCTGGACGAGAAGGCCTTCTAAGGCAGTTTTGTTTGTGCTCATCATGTCTCGAATGTATTCATAGGAAAAGGGGATCTATCTCGATGGGGAGGTCCCAGATTTTGGGCCGGGAAAGAAAAAATTGGAACAATATGGAGTCTTGGTAGATGCGTTTTGAAATTTCGAGGTAACAAATAGGGGGAAAAGTCCACGACATCCAACGGAAGAGAGGGAGAAAAGAGATAGATTCTTCAGGGGTCGGAAGGGCAGGGAAGGAGAGACGCATCTCCATAGACAAAACAAGATGGAAGAAGGTTCGTGTGAACAAGATTGAGGGATCAGTTGGATCATTTCTTGCTCGATGAGACCGTAAGAAGCTGGTCTGAACCATACCCATCAGCTTCTCTCGTACAATGTGCCCTGTGGAACTTCTCTCGATGCCTCCATAGCTATGCTCTGATGTCCCTGTCATTCGAAAGAATTCCCCGATTCCCCGATAGCTTCTGTTTCCCTTCCTGTTATCCTCCATACACCAGTGTATGGATCCATGCTAGAGAAAATGATCCAGGTAGTTGAAGCACTGATTGAATAGAACTTAATGACCTCTCCTGCCTATGCAAACCATGATTGCTCGCTTGCCGCGTAGCAGGTGAAACAAGACGAGTGTTGGATCGACATGCATGTTCCCAAGTTGCCAGCCTTGGTTCACTCGGCATCAACATCGTCAAACTCAAGCCTCAGTATATGCTGACTCGCAAAAGGTATCGCAGTCTGATCTGAGCCACGTCGTAAACGATATACTCGTTGTACAGAAGGGATGCATTGGGCTCATTCGTTGGACCAGGCGGATGGTAGACGACATCAGGCATTTTGACCCCTCGCAAGCTCGGATGAATGCAGCTGGCATCTTTCCAGACTGAAGGGCCCGTCTGACCCACACCCCAGGTGGAAATGCAGCTATGTTCCTTGACGTGCTTCCCAGCTTTGGAATCGGCATCTGTGAGTTTGAGAGAGGGTTTGCCCAGTTCTGCCTCACACAGAAGGAGTAACCCAACTCCACCGCTATTGTAATGCGCGCAGTATCCAGCACTCTTTGAGCTCATATCAGCAAGATAGACACCTTTGCCAAACATGTACCCCGACACGGGGGCTTCTGGTGGTGCAATCCGCAAACCTTGGCTGAGGATGCCACCGAAGTTGCTGACGCGGGATCCATGCCAAAGTAGGCGACGGTCACTTTTTGACCCGAGAATGGCGTGCGGAGACTTGTCCAGTCGGTCAGCTTCACCATTGCGCTCGATCCGGAAGATATCCTGGATTGTGTAGTTAGTGCCATGTGTGCTTCCCCTGGACTTTATCAGGTAATGGGCTATCTCGGCGAATTCTTGAGTGTCTTGAACCAAAGGGATCATCTCCTTCATGCCGAGCCCTTGGTATTGTCTATCCAGCATGTGGAGAGTCTTGTGTTCCGCGACCGCAGCGGATTTCATAATCTCGTTCGCCAGCTGCATGTCTGTCAGTGTCTCTAGGAGCTGAATTTCTCTCTGCATCACAGTTAGCTCTGGGACGAAACCCGAGATTGGCGAAACTCATGCGGCGGTACCTTAATGGAACTCAGATCCTTGAGGACTGGTAGAGCTCGACGGCCAACGACGTGTGGCACAAGTGAGAAGTACCGATTGCTTCTGTTCATGACAGCTTGAGTTGGCTGTTCTCCCATACCGGTGGCAACAGAAGGGTCGGCAATGAGCAAAGCCAGCTCTTTTAGAACTTCATATCCTTTGAGTAGAGTCTTTTTGCTCAGTTTCCCGAGCGGCATTTTATTGACATCGTAGTCAAGGTCAGCCATGGTGTTGGTGAAAAACTGCTGGTTGAAGATAAGTTCCATCAGGCGTTGAACTGGTGGCATGAGTTTGCTCTCTGCAAAGATCTTTTCTTTCACGGCACTCCCACCTTTCAGCTTCACTTGCATGGGCCCCTTTTCAGATTCGCCCTCCGAGTCTGCATAGTTGATTTCGAGATAGGCGTACGCGTTCTTCTTGGTTGATGTTCCATTCCTATTTTTCCACGTGAGACCGGTCTTTTCTCTGAATTTATCCCCAAATTGCCAAAGAGCATTCTCGAGAGAGCCGTCACCTAGCATCCTGTGGTGACCATTCTCACCCACACGACCCCAGTGTGTCCCTGTAATTTGTTAGGGTCCAGTTCCGTATAGTCGATACAACACTTTGTGGGAAAACCTTTGAAAATACCGATCCAAACATTCAGGGCCACTTACAAGTGTAGAATCCATCCTCGCATCCCAAGAGCTGTACTCTATAAAACTTGTTGTTGTTCTTTTTGGCATCGGACATGTTGAGCGTGGCATCGTATACCACACCGCTGTCGTCCACATAAACAGCGTAGGCATGCGCAGATGGGACAAAGGGATCCACTGGAACTTTGATGGCCTTGGTGGCTATGCCTGGGGTAGGTGGATCGGCTGCCTCAGATGACTTGGGCTTTTTGGGTGATGATGCGTTACTCTGATCGTCATCATCGCTCCGGGAGCGTTTTGAGGAGGCCGCCTTCTGAGGACGCTGCGGACCAATAATACCCACCGCCGTGTCATCGTCGCTTATCGACGAGCTCTCGAGACGGTATTGTTCTGTGTCAACAGGCTCGCTCGAGGCCAAAGACGCCGCGAGCCACCCGTAAGAGACAAGCAGCGTGTCTGGAGTCTTTTGGGCTTGAGTGATACGATCGGACTTCTTATCAAATTGCACGCGAGTGGCGATGAGGTGGGTACACTCCTCGGGTTTTGTCGTATAAGACCCGCCGCAGTGAGCGATGTCAATCTTCAGTTGCGCAACACTCTTGCGTGAGAGTTCAGGATGCGAGCGAGGGGAGTAAGACGCAAAGCAGATGATGACTCCGTGCAAAGGAGGAACAGAAGGTGTGATCCGGGCCATCTTTGCTTTTGGACCTGGATCAAGGGAGGTTGCGAGATGGACAAGTGAACAAGGGTGATAGCAACAAACCTTTCTTGTTTATGACATTTTGAGAAGTGAGACAGGGCAGTCCGAACTGACGAGCGAGGCACAACAGGGCAAAGGCAGCAGCACCCCTTGTACAGGCAGTTACATGGCGGTGGCAGTTGGTGGCAGTTGGTGGAGCTGATGTGCAAGTGAGAAACAGGCAAAGCTTCAGGCGAAGCTTCAGGCTTCAATTCACTCAACGCGTCAAGGGGAAAGTCGGGCGACGCGAAATCATGTGACGCGAGGCCGATGACGTGCCTGGAGACTGCGTTGAATATGCAACTTGAGATGCATCCAAATACCCAAATTCGACTCGGTACACAAGAACAGCCTGAGCGCCAGTACATATCCCCACGCAGAGAATGGCTGAGAAGACCCATGCCGAGACAAACCCCTTCCTACGACGGCCACTATACATCTACGACCTCCCGCCAGAACTGCTGCTGACCCTAACCATTGCAGGAGGGGAACAGTCGCAGCCGCAGCCCCAAGAGTCACGCTCTGAAGGAATACCCGCCGATCGAGAAACTAGTCTCACCGAAGATGGCATTGCAAACTCAACATCATGTGCACTTTGCAAAGTCACCTTCGACAGTGTCCAAGACCAGCGACTGCATGTCAAGTCGGATTTTCACCGATACAACCTCAAACTCAGCATAAAACAAATCCCTCCAGTCGATGAAGTTACTTTTACGAAGATGATTGGTGACTTGGACGAGTCGCTCTCGGGATCAGACTCGGAAGGGTCAGAGGAAGAAGATGAAGAGGAGTCAAAAGGCGGAGACATCACCCTTACTGCTCTACTCAGGCGGCAGGCCAAGATATCTCATACACAACCGACCGAGGGCACGGAAGACTCCAGGAAACGGGGGTTCGGTAGTGCTCCGTTATTATGGTTATCAAGTCCCAAGATCGGAAGCGACGTTGGGCTAGGCGTCTATCGAGCCATATTATCAATCGAGGAACAAGAAGCTGCATCCTCTTCTCTCGTGGAAATCCTCACAAAGAAGCAGCTCAAACCGACACTGGCAAAACAGAGCGGGAAGACGCATGGGGTCTCTTCACAGGCTGGTGGGAATGATCCCCATTTCTTTCTTTGCATGATCGGGGGCGGTCATTTCGCCGCCATGGTTGTCTCTCTGGTGCCAGAGTTGAGGAAAGGACCCGGCGGGATCGAGGAGCGTCACCCAGTCGTCAGGGCTCATAAGACCTTTCATCGATATACCACGAGACGGAAACAAGGCGGGTCTCAATCCGCAAATGACAACGCCAAAGGGAACGCCCACTCTGCGGGTTCATCTATACGAAGGTATAACGAGATGGCCTTGGAAGCAGACGTCAGAGTAGTATTATCGGAATGGAAAGGGATGATCGACTCCGCTGAACTGCTCTTCATTCGAGCTACCGGAAGCACCAACAGAAGAACTTTGTTTGGACCCTACGATGGCCAAGTCTTGAGAAGCAACGACAAGAGGATACGTGGCTTTCCATTCAGCACGCGTCGAGCGACTCAAGCCGAACTTTTGCGTTCGTTCCAAGAGCTTACTAGGCTGAAGGTCGGTAAGCTTGTTGAGCCTGCTGCTGAGAAACATTCTCTGGAGAAAGCTGCTGCGAAGGAACCGAAACCAAAGTCTCAAGCACCAAAGCTTAGCAAGGAGGAGGAGACGGCTCAATTCCACACTTCTCAGCTGCAAGGTCTGATCCGGCGTTCAAAAGCACCTGGTGTCTTACTTTACTTGACCAAGAACGGACTATCGCCGGATTTCACCTTCTTCCCTCCGGCTGAGCATCATCACGCCCCGACTCCGCTCCACCTCTCTGCATCGACCAATTCGTCAGCCTTGGTGCTGGCGCTGCTCACCAAGGCGCATGCAAATCCGACTTTAAAGAACGGCGACGGCAAAACGGCATACGAAATCGCTGGCGACGCCAAAACTAGAGATGCCTTCCGCATAGCTCGCCACCAACTCGGCGAAAAGGCTTTCGACTGGTCCGCCGCGCATGTCCCTGCACCGCTCTCACAAGAAGAAGCCGATGCTAGGGCGGCACAGGAGAAAGCGGCCGCGGACGTAGCGGAGGCTCAGCGCAGAAAGGCTGGTCTAGAACATTTGAGGGTGGAGGAGGAAAAGCGCAACTTGAACAGGATAGAAAAGAAGGCCGGCGCTGGCAAAACGCTCGCGGTTGCCGCGGTGGAGAAGACTGGCGCAGAAAAGAGAGAGGAAGAGGTGCGTGGATTGACTCCCGAAATGCGCATTAGGCTGGAGAGGGAACGGAGAGCGAGGGCGGCCGAGGAGCGGATCAGGCGTATGCAGGGCGCGAGCTGAGTTATGGTTGCGTCAAGAGATACTTTCAGAAGCTCAGAGAGGAGCTTCAAAATGGCATCTTCTCAGATGACAGCGTTTTTCCAGCAAGAGGATCTACTGGAAATTCAAAAGCAAGTCATTCAGTTCATCATTTTCCCCTTTGCGCGCGACATTCTATCATCGACAACGACCACATCGTGTCGCCTACTCTCGATGCGCCACCAAAAATCTACAATTCCCAAACTATTCACTCAAGGGATCACATCTCCAGCCACCATCCGTCCTCATACCACTCAAGTCACCTCCTCACCCACTCGCTCAATTATACGACAATCTCATGCTCCTTGAACAAGGGGAAATTCCTCACAAGATAGTCCTTGGCCTCTTGATAGTCCTTTTCGAGCACTTGCCGGTGGCGGTCGCTCCGGATGGTGATTTCACATTTATAGCCGTTGGGGCGGATGTTGAAGCCGTCCGTGTAGTCGTACGTGTCGTACACGTAGCCCTTCGAGGGACGGATGTCGAAGCACCACAGCACGCGCGCCATGGCGATGTACAAGTTGTTCGAGGCCAGGTCTGCACCGGGGCAGATGCGGCGGCCCCAGCCGAAGGAGGAGTGGCCTAGCTTGGAAGGATGGGGGGCGCCGCGTTCTAATGGTGTGGATGCGAGGTATTCTTTGGGTAGGTAGCCCAGGGAGGCTGGGTCGGAGACTTCGAGGAAGCGCAGGGGGTTGAAGTGGTCCGGGTTCGGGTAGTATTGCTCGTTGAGGTTGATGGCCCAGCTGTTCCCCAGGATGTTGGTGCCCTTGGGGATGTAGTAGCCCCGGTAGGTGTCGGCTTCGGTGCTCGCGTGCGGTGTGCCCCCCAGCACGGCCACGGGCCGCCAGCGAAGGGCTTCCTTGCAAATGGCTTTGATGTAAGGCAATGAGGGCTCGTCCGTGTAAGTGGGCAGGCGGTCCTGGCCGATGACCGCATCGAGCTCGGCGTGCGCGGCCGCCAGGACTTCTTGGTTGGTGATAATGGCGAGGATCGCGGAAGAGAGAGTCGATGCCGTGGTGTCTGCGCCCGCGCCGAACACGGACGCGGGTAAGCTTGCAAAGTCCCTTTCTCGCAGAAGAGCGAACGCAGAGGGATCTGCGGCGCGGTTCTCCAGGAGCTGCTTCGCCAGACTGTTTGGGAGAGGTGGAGCGCCTGGTTTCTTCGCGTTTTCAATGTCCTCGCGCACGTACTCGAGTAGTTGGGCGTTGGCTTGCTCTTCCTCCTTGCCCCAGGATTTGATCTCTCGCTTCCACGGCGCCAAGCTGTCGGGAATGTGCTTGAGTACGGGGAATGATTCGACAAGATACCGACCGGGCACGTTGAGCGCGGCATTCCAATGCATGATCTTCATCCGCTGGCGGATGATGGGCGACTGCATACTGTCGATGCGGTGTCCGTAGGCGATGGTGAAGACGATCGATGCCGTGAAGCGGTTCAGAAGATTGTCCAGGTCCTCCGGGTGCTCGAGAAGTTGATGACAGAGACGGGCGCCTTCAGCCTCCTGGACGGGCTTGTAGTGCTGGAGCGCTTTCTGCGTGAGCACGCTGTGCAGAGCTTTCCGCCGCACGGACCAGTCCTTGCCATACGGCTGCACGAGGATACTGCTCATATCCCAGAAGATCTCCCCCATGGCCACAAAACGAGGGCGTGAACTGTACTTGTGGGAGCGCTTCTCCAGCAGGTCGACGGCCACATTGGGATCAGAAATGATCACAGTTGGCCGTCGACCGAACCACAAGGTGTAAATTGGTCCATATTTCCTCGACCATTCCTGGAACTGAATCCACGGGTACTTGGCTGGGACATCCAATTTGTTGCCGATGAATGGTAAAGGTTGAGGACCTGGTGGCATTCGTTTCCATAGAATGACATCGTGGATCACAACACCAAGCACTCCCAACAACAACAAACATGTCACGCCAGACCAGACGTAAAAGATGGTAGACCAACTCATCTTTGATGGGGTGTCTCGAGACAGCAATAGTTCCTCGCTCCGGACGCTGCCAGAAATTACCACTCGATGGTGACGGCGTGGCAGCTTATTGGCCTCAATGAAGCAATAACGACGACGACGACGACGAAGAGGACCAAGACTTACAGCTCTTTCACGATTTCCTGAGCAAACACGTAGAAAAGACAGAATTCGGGAGAATTGGAGAGCAACCGGAGCATTGCCGTTGTATTCCCCTCCACCATTTCTGGCAGTCACGGAGCACTAAAACAAACCTCTTCTTTAGGTCAATGGCGCGACCATGATTGGCAGGGAGAGGACCGTGCCACATCAACTATGCTGGCTTTCGTGGAGAGAAGATCCGCTCTTCGTGGGGCGGCAATGCATGTGCGGAGAAGACCCATTGTACACCGGAGTCCGACTAAGGTCGAGATCTTCGGCAGTTGCGAGTGTTGACGAGGTCCCGGAAAACCCCCATCTCAAGATGCCTCCTCCATGCCGTGCATCAATTCTTGATTTGGATAGTGGATGGTGTTGGTGGCAATCCACTCATGGGAAAGACCCTTGGGACGGTCGATGGTTCCTGGGGCCGACAAAGTAGAGGTGATCAGGACATGGAACCATTTCCGTGCAGAGAACTGAAGATTTTATATCGAGCCGAATGAAATGTCTCCCTTTGACCAGCCTCGCTATTTGCAGTTTTGACCACCATTGAGACAAAAGCGTCCTTTACAAGATGTCCAACTTCGCAAGGCTACCTCCCTCCGGCATCAAGGTGATCATTGTCGGTGCTGGATTTGCTGGACTATGTGCGGCAATAGAATGCAACCGAAAGGGTCATTCGGTGATATTACTCGAGAAAGTTCCTGAACTGAAGCCGTTGGGCGATATCATTAGCTTTTCATCAAATTCTGGCCATATATTTGAACGGTGGGAAGGTGTGGTTGAGGAACTTGAACCCATCAGCCATCACAGTGAAGGTCTTGACTTTTATGATTGGAAAGGAACTTTCGCCACGAGGCAAATATGGGATGTCGAGAAGCAATGGGGCAGACGCATCAACGGCCACAGGGGAGAAATCCACCATGTTGTCTTCCAGCATGCCAAAGCGCGGGGAATTGATATCCGACTCGGTCAACAAGTGACGGATTACTTCGAGACGGATACCGAAGCGGGCGTGATTGTGAACGGCGAGAGGCTGGCGGCAGACTGTGTATTTGCAGCCGAAGGTGTCAAGTCAGCAGGAAGGAAGATTGTGCTTGGCTTCGAAGACAAACCCAAACCCTCAGGTTATGCCGTGTATCGATCTTGGTTTTCCTCGGACGAGCTGGCCAAGAATGAAAGGACGAAGCATTTGGTGGTGAACGGCGATTCTCATGCCGGATGGGTAAGCGCGGTGCTCTTATCCCCAGTAATTTACTCTCTGACTATGGCTGCAGATCGGTGAAGACAAGCATTTCCTGGCTGCATCAATAAAGAATGGCACAGAGTTTAGTTGGGTGCTGACACACAAAGATGATGCGGATATTGATGAGGATTGGCAATTCCCAGGCGACAAGGAAGAAGTCAAGAGGAACCTGCAAGGCTGGGCTCCAATAGTCCATGACATTGTTGACGCCACTCCTCCAGACCGGCTCGTCGATTATAAGCTTGTCTTTCGAGATCCATTGCCGACCTTCATCTCGCCAAAGGCTCGGATTGCACTGATCGGTGATGCTGCGCACCCCTTTTTGCCAACATCAATCCAAGGAGCAAGTCAATCGATGGAAGACGGAGTGACTCTTGCTATCACGCTGGAGAAGAGCGGCAAGGACAATGTCCCTCGAGCCATCCGCGCATACGAAGCCATCCGATATGAGCGCGTCCACCGAGCGCAGATGACAGGCGTCACGACGCGCGAGCAGTGGCACAAGGCCGACTGGGACAAGATATGGAAGGATGTCAATTCCTTGCACTTGAAGAGGGAAGCATGGCTTCTGGATTTTGATGCCGAGAAACACGCGTACGAGGTTGTCGATGATGTGCTGAAGAAGCTCGATCGAGGCGTGTCGCTAAAGACTGACAGCATGTCGGAACCGCCAGCTTCTAATGGAGTGCAGACAATGCTTGCTCAAGAGATTGACCAGCTCGCATAGCACATAATATAGCGGCAGCAGCGGCAGTGATAAATCATTTAATTGAGAAATAAAGATGATTGAATCCAAGGGATATAAGTGTAAAAGGGTGGCGGGCACTTCCCGCAGGCGGTCGCTCGATTGCGGCTCTTTTCGTATCACGATGTTCGCCCAAGTCTTATTCTGACTTCTTCACTTGCACTCTTTACCATGCCAACCAATGCAACCGTCCACGCCTTACTGGCTGATATCCTATTTACAATGGCTTCCTGCGACTGCCTCTGGCTTGTCCTTGGAAGGAAACGATAATATCGACGTACGGTTGATCCACTACCGTATTCCCGAAGTCGACAGCGTCGAGCTTCACCTTTGCCAGCCATCTGAACAGGCACACTCAAATCCAGGCAGGACAAATCGCCGTCGAAAAGACCATAAAAGATGTATAGTCGATATTGGAGGGGATTCTGGAGCTACCAATCCCGAGGCCAGCAATCACATTCTCATGGGTGACCCTGAGGCAGCAATACCTGTGAAGGGCGGTCGACACGAGCCTGAGACACACCTCCACGGTTACAGAGCCAGCTCAACTGCCGGGCTACTGTCACCGAGAACACGTCCTCGAAGCGAAGGTCGCTATCGTGAAGAGATGGAATTCCACCCGAGTCTCGCAAAATTGATCGACGACAGTGCACCATCCGCAGATGAACCCCACCATATCCCACTTCGTCGAGCTGGGGTAGATGCAAGTCCTAATGCGTCTTACTCAATCTACACCACCAGCGCTCCGCTGATCACAAGCCCACGTCTGGCAGCCTCCAACTCTCCTGGATACTCGTCAGTGGGAGTATTCCGGCATCCCATCACAACCAATTCTATCTGGTGCTGCAATAGCTGAGATGGTTCAGATGCACGATCGAGGCTTTTTGCGACTAGTCTTCTTGGGGACCACTTCCGATGCACCTCGCCCAACGCCTACTGGTCTGCCCGCGCAATGGAATGGCCACTTTCGCTTGCTTTCAGCACACGCCCCAACGCTTGCAGGGGGAAAGGCACCACAGCAGCAACCTCAGCGTTCAGAACAGTGCGGAAGGGGTTCCGAAAGTCTGTCAATACTTAAACTGGAGCTTGCCCCAGCGCATCAAGTAGTGGTAATACTCCCAGCCTTGCCACTGACTTCTTATCGAAAAGCCATAACTCACCAAAATGCCGTTCGGAATCCTCGACTGCAAGAAGCTGGAAAACGTGCCTGGCACGTCTTTCATGAGCGACCAGGATGATCTGCCACCAGAGTACTCCGAGATACCACGAGAGTTGTTGAAACACGGGAAGGGCAGGTTTTCAAATATCATCCTGATTCCTCAGCCATCCGACTCCCCAAATGATCCTTTAAATTGGCCACAATGGAAGAAGGAAATGATTCTCCTCATTGTTTCACTCTCCGCTGCCGTTGTGGGAGCGTTCGGTCCCATGTTGAGTCCTGGTTTCGTCGAGATCTCGGCTCAACTCCACATCACGGTCGAGGTCTTGTCCCAGGCCACCGCGTGGCTGATTCTCACCATTGGGCTCGGTTTATTCTTGACCAATCCTTTGGCCAAGATTTACGGAAAGAGGCCAATTTATATTCTTGCGAGCTGCATCATGTTTGCCTGCTCTATCTGGGGTGCGAAAGCGGGAAATTACAGCAGCTTTCTGGCTTCAAGGGTCATAAGCGGTGTCGGTATGGCACCGTATGAGGTACTCAAGATCCATCCCGGGAACCACGAAATGTGCTAATGCGTGTTGCCCATAGGTTCTTGTCCAATGTACCATTGGCGACCTCTACTTTGTTCATGAAAGGGCCACCCGGATCGCGGTGTGGAATTTGTTTCTCCTGACCGTAAGTCTCCTTGAGAGCCTACGTATCTGTCGGTGAAAGTTTCGTGTCCTAACTCCAAATCAGGGAATTTCTGGTGGAGCTTTGGTTGCTGGATACATAATCGAATATGATGGGTATCAGTGGACCTTCGGGGTATGCGCGATCATGTTCGGCGTGCTCATGTTCGGCGTATTCTTTCTCGTCCCTGAAACCACATATCGTCGAGACGCTGTCGTGGTCGTTCCGGTTGTAGATACAGTCGACACGGATCCTGAGAAGCCGGGTGCGCAACATGTCCACCTAACGCTGGGACACGAACACGATCTCTCCCAAGCTCAAGGAGAGAAGGACAAACATCTGTCCTATGCAGTCACGCGCGGATCAGCCGAGCCCAAGATGTCATATTGGCAGTCGCTGAGGATTTTCACCGGACGATACAGCTATGCTCCGATTATCAAGATCTTTACGCGCCCTGTGCTGCTCTTCTTTTATCCAGCTGTATTTTGGGGATTCCTCATGTATGGCACGACCCTAACCTGGATTGTTGTTTTCTGTGAGTTCTCCTTTTGGTGCATCAGTTTCATAGGTCGATCCAAGCTAACGGGATATTTGCAGCTGTGGTCAACGGAGTGATATTGTGAGTTCCCCCCAACTCTTGGTGACCCTGGATCCCGTCACCCTCGGCGAAGACTAACAGATGCTTGTAGTGTGGCTCCGCCTTACAACTTTTCGGTGTCGCAGGTCGGGCTGATCAGCTTGTCTCCGTTTATCTTGACGCTGATCGGAGAGGTCATCTCTGGCCCACTCAACGACGCGATTTGTCTCTACTTGACGAAGAAGAATAAGGGAATCTACGAACCTGAATTTCGACTGGTGCTCATCATCGTCGTCATCATTCTCGGCACGGTGGGTTTCTTTGGATTCGGAGCGACTGTGCATTACCAAACGCATTGGCTGGGGCCAGTCTTGACATTTGGGTTTGCAAACATGAGTTTGGCCTTTGCGTCGACCTGTGTCTTTGGTTATGTGATCGACTCTTACCCCAAGCTGAACGAGGAAGCATTTGTGGCCATCAACGCCCGAAATCTCCTCACCTTTGGCCTGACATACTTTGTCAACAACTGGCTGGCTAAAGATGGCCCCTTGCAAGTCTTCTGCATCCTGGGCGCCCTCTTCTTGTTTGTCTGTCTTTTGACGATCCCTCTCTGGTAGGGTTTCCCGTCCGCGACGGATCTTGCACAAGGCTGACCCCTAAACAGGATATTCGGCAAGAGAATCCGATCCCGAATTGGCAGGACAGCGTGGCTGCAGCGGTATATGAATGACGATTTCTAGGGCGAACCGTGACAAATAAGCAGTCACTCTAGAAGACTCCCGTGCTCTGGAGCGTGGTGTTTAGTGGCGGAGTTTGGTGAGAGCAGGTGCCTAACCGGGGAATATTCGCAGCGACGGCCATGCAAAATGTCGGCATACCAGTGGGCGCTAGCGATGGACAAAGGGGCCTTCCTCTTCCAGAACCTCCAACTGGGGCTTCTTCTTCACGTTTCTCTTTCGTTCAAGTCGAATCAGTGCCCGCCGGACTTGGGCTGTGGCTGATACGCCGCCCAATCAAGCAGCAGCTGAGATATTTAGAAGGATGACCTTGTTCCACTCCGCCACGCCCGTGACGCGCCTAGGGGTCACGGCGAAGGCCCATCGGTGCAATCAGCACCATCAGCGCCCAGAGTTTCAGGCCTCCACGAGCTGTGGTACCCTTGGGCTGCCGGCTGCCCGCATCGACACTCAACCCAACTCCAGGCCCGAAGGAGTGGCTATATACGAGAGGGGCCTGCAGTATGCATGCTATCCCGTGTTCCGAGTCTCGTAATGCTAGTGATCGCTGCAGCCCTAGATTATAATAGCAATGGGAGGACATGGCTTGGAACCACACTTCCAGGTACTCCGCTACTTGTCCGTCTGATATTTAATCAAAACCCGGCCTTTGTAATGCCTAGGGAGTGTAGGCAGGCAAAATACGAGGTAATTCGCGCAGAATCCTTCTGAAGCCCTTGTCTTCAAGGGCGAGGGTTCGAGTCGAATATCACCAAATCACCAAAGTCTGCGGGCGCCACAATCCCGTATCTTCTTTGTCGGATAGACTCCCATCCATTTCCCCCTCCCTGAAAGGCCAAGCTTATTCGGCTGAATCACCTCAGCAAATCCAGGCTCGCAGGGTCTGGAGGGCGTGCGGCGTGCGGCGTGCGCTGGCCCTTTTCCGGCTCAGCTTCTGGTCAGCTTTCGCAAATTGGATCTGGGGGAAGACGAGGGCTACTACTGCATAAACCCTGTCACAGCTCTCCCTGCGCAATCTGACATCCTTTCTGCCTGCGAACCTTTGCACTTTCCATCAATCTTGAGACCATATAGAAGGCTCATCGGCGAGTGCATTTCAACGGACGACTCTATCGTCGACCTCCCACACCTGACCTCCGACCTTCAGCCTTGAGTAGAGCGAACATCCGCACCGACCGTCGCCAACATGAAGAAGAAATCCGTCTACACGAACATTACCCCGATCCCCTCCCACATTCCCCGTCAGCTGGCCATCGACATGCTGCACAGTCATGGCGAAATCATCGAGCTCAATCCCCTTGTGATCGGCTACAAACCCATCAAAGCCCCGCAGACTGCGCCCGCCGATGAGTTCTTCTCCACATGGTATGAAATCAATGAGAGGATTCAGTATGTTCCGGGTATAGGAAAGGCAGGAGCAGGCAAAATATCCTTCAAGGGCTGTTTTCATGACATGCCATGGGGTCTGCAGACCCATGTCTATGCGCCCATGGGCGTGGACCTGCGCAACAAGTGGCAGATTCGGGGCAACCAACCTGGCGAGCCTCCCGAGTCGAGGGAACTGGGAAGCAATGCTCCTCCCGAGGGTCTTTACCTACGCGAAGACATTGAAATCAAATGCAACCCGGCCATGATGTCGTTTGTCAAGAAAGAGATGAAGGCTTCCTCAAAGACCATGGTTGACCGTCTGGTGAAAAAGGCGGAATTGATCGACTCTGGCGTGCTGAATGCCATGATGGAAGATGGCAAGCTCAAGACCTTGAATCCTGCAGATCGCTCCCAGACCTTCCAACAACAAGGCCATTACTCCCCGTCCTTGCTCTCGCCCGCCCCGCAGTCTGGGTTTCCTCAATCTCCTGGTGCCCCGTCATTCCAACAATCCGCATATGCAAGACAGTCCATGTACGGCTCGCCCGTCCCACAACAACACTCACCAGCGCCGCCTGCCCAAGGTTTGGCGATTGAGATGGAAGGAAGCACCCATTTTATCCAGCCACCGCCGCCTCAGCAGCAGCAACAACAACTCCATCCGAACAGGTTCTCGTCTGCAGTGTCTGAACTGTCTGCCAGCTCCCCGAACCAGAGCGACTTCCCACAGAATAGCAGCCAATCAGACCGGCAAAGCTATGCAGAGTCTGTCAGTTCGATGCCGAGCTCCGTCGCCCACGGTGGAATGGCTTCTCCTGGCATGGAGAAGCGAACCTTCATGGCCGAATTACCGGCGGGTAACGCACCAAACAGGTCGCCGAGGAGCCCCGACCCGAATGCAATGTCGGCGCAAGCTCAACAGCAACAAGCGCAGCAACAGTACCGATATAACCCTCAGGACTATGCTCGGATGTCATGAGCAGAGGCCTTGTTGATGGTGACGAGTTTCTTTTGTGACGATTTTTGGAAATCTGTATATCGAACGCGTTCTACGTCTTGCGCAACCTGTTCAGCGTACAGAAAGCGCACTCCGGTCAGCCTAATCATTCGTTGTCGAGCAGCTGCCATGACGGAAGCGGTTCATAACTTGCAACATAAATCCTCATGTTGCGCAACCGATTGTCAAGCCATGCCGCCCTGGACAATCCCTGCCCTTCTTCAACGATCAACCAAGAGGCACCAGCATGCCGTCCAACTGCGCAACATTTGATATCCCGAGACACTAGTCTCTCACTTTCACAGACTTCTGCGCTCAGTGGAACAGACACAGCCACTCGAAGAATTGGTCAAACGCAGCACACTCTTTGTCTCCTGATTAAACGTTCGCAATCATAATTGCCTGTATGTCCTGTCGGGACTCCACAACAAATACCCTTCCATGAGTGAGCTTCGATTTGTGACGAGGGTGCCTCAAAGGTCTCACATGTTTGAGTTGAGATATAGGCTAGGTGGAAGGGAGTGCTATGCATTGAAATGGCACCTGTGATATAACTCTGTGGTGATGAGCCGAGGAAGGAGTAAAGAGAGAAAGTTCGGGAAATTGTGTATCGCGGGAATTTCATCTGATTTTCAGCCGTATATCTCTTGAATGGATCTAGATGCGTTGGAGTCTGGCAATGCTTCCTCAAATTGACCAAGACCATAACTCTTCTGATATTGCTGTCCTGACTCCTGTGAGCCAGCCTTGTCTGCCAGCCTCGTCCTCGGCAGAGCCAAACTTGGAACCGGAACCAGTCACGTGCCTTTACAGTTGACCTCGGTTCTGCCTTCAAGGCCCTCCTCTTCATTCCACGACTGACTCGACTTCTGGGTCTTACAATCATGATGGCAGTATATGACTCGTGGCTGCATGACTAATGCTCCAACATGCAGATGTCTATCCTAGAAAAATTCTAAAACCTCGACTTCTATTCCACGACAAGTAAAGCCTTTGTCTTTGGCTTCCAACTGCGTGGAGCGAACACTGTCTACGAAGGGAATGGCTTCCGGCTTTCAGCACGGAATATGACTTGAAGAATGCACAGAAACTTCGGCTTGGGGATGAGTTGATCCCTGGAAGGGTCCATTCAAGCAATCTCTGGAATAGGTGGGAGCTGAAGCGACAACTTGTCCGGGGGCCACTCGACGAGGGTCACCAGGTAGTGCCATCTGGTTCGACGTTGGGGAAAAGATGGCTTGTTGTGTCTTTACCGCATACATTATGAGCCGCATTATTAAGGCGTGCGAGCTCTTCGACGTTCGTCTCCTGGAAATTAAGTATAACGATTCTGACCTGGACTCTTATTCCCCTCCCAGCTTCCAGCCATACATAAGCCCGGGCAGGCGGGGACCAGAAGCAGTATCCGGCACTGACAACACCGTTCACGAAGGGAAAACATCTCAGTTTGAGTCATTACCGACCGTTCGCTTCTTGATCACAGGAATGACCTGCTCCGCTTGCGTATCTGCCTTGAGCCACGCATTAACATCCGTCCCAGCTGTCATCCGAACCAATGTGTCTCTTCCGCTTTCACGAGCAACCGTAATTTACAATGCGACCACTACGTCAACAGAGGACTTAATCTTGGCTATTGAAAACGCGGGCTACGGCGCCGAGGTGCTTGGGCAACACAATCGTGGCTCGGCCGCTCAGAATCTCAAACTGGTCCGGAGAGAAGAAGAGCTCCAAGCTCTCAAGAAAGCTTTTAGTGGTGCAGCAAAATGGGCTACAGCTATTACGGTCGTCGAATGGACGAGAAAGGTTGCTATGACCACGCATCTCAGGAGCATGCTGGATGCAAATCTCCGTCTCCTGATCCTTGCTATTGGATGTTACATTCAACTTTCCCATGCAAGCTGGATCCATCATAACGCTTGGTCAGGCTGTTTCTCCCGACAACAGATGCGGCTTCCGAGCCTGTCCATGGACACTCTTTTGTCTCTGTCGCTCCTGCTGAGTATATTCCTCTCGTTCTTCAATATCGCTCTATATGGTCTCTCTGATGTCCATACGAGGACTTATTTCTCGTCTGCGTCGTTTCTCGCAGTGGTCATTAGTGGAGGACGATATCTTGACGTGACTCTGCGGAGACAGGGCGCAGCCGGACTTGCCCGTCTGTTTCGACTGCAGCACGAAGTGGAAATGGAGACAGTGATGGTGGAGGGACGAATTCAGGACCGTGACCACAGTTCGGACGATGAGGCAGATGACATCCTGACCCCGATCCCCGCGACTCTACTTGCGCCGTTGGACACATACCATATTCCTCCTCAAAGTCTCATTCCGTGTGACAGCTACGTCGTGCGTGGCTCCTCTTTGGTCGACGAGGCGAGCATGACTGGCGAGTCACTACCATCCCGCAAAACTGTTGGCGCCTTTCTCATGTCTGGAACTCGCAATCTGTCTGCGAGCCTTGTTGCTATCGTCCTGAAAGACCAAGCCCAATCAAGTCTAGAGAGACTGGTTGAAAGCGTGGAAGCTGCAACAGAAATGAAATACGATCCCGCTCAGAAAGATGGCAACGCCATGGAGGATGTTATCACGAAGGATTTCGTCGTAGTCATTCTTGTGCTGACATTAATCGGGTTCATATCCAAATTTGTTATCTCAGCAGACTCGATACCGATCACTGATCGACTGAACATGGCATCTGAACGGGCAATGGCTATTTTGGCATCAGCTTGTCCATGTGCCATTGGATTAGCGACCCCTTCAGCTGTCATGGCTGGTGTCGACGCGGCATACGCTTGCGGCATTCTTCTCCCAGGCGGCGTAGATGCTTTCAAAAAGCTATCTCGCCTCACGCATGTGGTAATGGACAAGACAGGAACTTTAACAGAGGGTAAACTGCAGATCGCAGATGAGTCCTTCAACGAGCCATTCAGAGCAGATTCGAGTAAGAGGGAATTATGCTATAGCCTCCTGAGCGCTGCGGAGAGAGGTGTTTCACAAACACACCCAGTTGCCAGGGCAGTGTTTCAGTGGTGTGTCAAACAGCTTATTGCAACGTCACGGCCAAAGGAAAGTCGAGGACTCATGACCGAGCCAGGTGCTGCACCTGTCAGGAACGTCTCAAGTGTTACAGGGAAGGGCGTGTATGCAGAAGCTCAGGGGGATGCTCAGGTATGGCACGCTGTGCATATTGGCAGCGAACGTTTTCTATCCGAGAATGGCATTTCCATCGCGCCAACCACCACAGCCCTGTTGGGGAAGATCCAAGGGACGACTGAGGTCCATTTTGCGATTGATGGCAAGTATACAGGCTCGTTCACGCTGCAAGATACAATCCGTCGAGGCGCCTCTAGCGTGATCGAATCATTGAAGTCGCTTGGGCTCAGAATGACCATGCTGACAGGCGACTCTGAGACTGAAGCACACCGAGTCTCATCACAGCTGCAAATTCCGGTTCTTGCGGCCAAATCTCTTCCTCACGAGAAGAAGGCCTTGGTCATCTCGTTGCAGTCACAGCACTCCGCGCCGTCTGTTTCGCCGGAAAGCATCCTGCGGCGGCTGTCCCCCGTGAAGAGAGGCGACAGGAATGTTGTGGCGATGCTGGGAGACGGCCTGAACGATGCACCCGCCCAAGCTGCTGCGGATGTTGGCATTCTATTCTCGCTGTCGCCTCTGTCCGGCTCGGCATCTTCGCGAGCACTGGGGTCATGCGCTGCCGATGCGATCATCATGACACCTGATCTCGCAGCCCTGCCGAAGCTGATTAAAATTGCCACCAAAACCATGGCTCAAGCAAGGTGGAATATGTATTGGGCGGTCCTCTACAATGCCTTTGCCATTGCATTGGCGATGGGCGCTAGCGAGCTAATGGGGTTCAAGACTGTTGATGCATCGACTGCTGGCACAATGATGGCATTTTCGAGCATCACTGTGTTGGGCATGAGCTTGGATCTGCGCCGACGATTGGACTGAGAGATGAATCATCCTGGACAACCAATGCTGTAAATGCCTGCTGTTACCCGGTCACGGCTTGTCGAGAACAGGCGATGCGCGGCACTGCAATGCGACGCAATGCGATATGCCAAAACTGCGAGATCGGCGTAACCCATGGCAAACACGTATGCCTCAGCCAGCAATGCCCTAATTTCCGACGTGGACCATACCTGGGTAGTGCTCGACGGGCAGTTTCTGACGACGCCTTGGTCCTATCCAAGGACTTATCCTCGGAAAGATCTGCATGTACTTTGGTGTCTACCGGGATAATACCACTTCCACTGGATATCCCAGTAGCGAGGACTGAGCGATGGAATGGCTCCTATAGCATGCGGAAAACTTTGATTTTCCCAGCTGTAGGGATTGCGGTTTGCGATGTTGCATTTGTTCCCTCGTCTTTGCCGCGAAGCCTGCGCTCGGTTCAGCACTATTGACATCACTCGCTTCGCCTAAAGAACCCTGATTTGAAGTGTTTCAAAGAGACCAGGGGAATCAACAGCGAGAAATGAAGCGTGATGTGGAATGCCATGGGATAGTTGTCTCCTTGTGACTAGCGAGGGACAATTTCCGGGGCAGAACAAAGCATGCATGCAGCTGATCATCCGTGCCAGCCGGCGCATGCGCCGATCGTTTTATTCTCCTAAACCTGCCCTGTGCCTGGCAGCGCTGGGGCGTGGCACAGCGGTGTTTGAGCGAGAAGCCACCAAAGCCACAGCAGCATGTCGATCTCTCCACAAAGATCGACGGCGAAAGTTGCCCCTGGAAGGAGAGCTCGAGGATCCCTGCAAGGATTACCCTTGGTGCCTCAACGTCATTTGTGCTGGATGTTGGCTGTTAATTGCTGGGTTTCTCTCCAGCTGTTTCTTCCTCCAAGACTGACACAACTTTGCAGGGACAAGGTCAGTGTTGCACGAACTCTAATATGCCATAACGCATGGCCGTTTTATACAAAATGCCTGGCAGATCCACAGGACGACTCGAAGATCATCCTCGACCCAGTCCAACCAAAGACACACTTTTTGACATGCCTCAACCGTCGACTTGGTCTTTTTACGTTATACCATTGTCTCCTTCCTGCCAACGGTCCAGGCTGAGATCGTATCAATACTCTCCAATTGGCATCACAGAGGAGTGGAATGAGCATACAAACAAGTTTTCCTCGCACTCAGCAGCTTCTCTGTCCCTTCTGTGAGAGACATGGCTTGTCAGTGCCGGTGTGCTGACAGTGAAATCCAGTCCTGTTGTCCTGCGCTGTACGACTCCACAGAGATTCAGGCTGCTGACCCCGTGTGCGGGTCAGCTACCAACTCACGAGTACCGCCTTACTGGACGACACTTCAATCCGTTTAGCGATCGACGCAGGTACGTCCACGCTAAAGACAGTACGTCGATCAACGGTCGTGCAGAGCCTTGCATGGGGTCGTGAATGGATACGACGGCAGCCGGCCGCACAGACGATCGTCATCTATTCATGGGCACAACTCAGCTGAAGCATTGTCAATCATGGATTCCATGTCTCAAACGTTCGGGGTCAATCAGACCATGGCAGGACCTTGATCTTTTCATGAAAAGTATAAAGCCGTGCGAGTGAACGGTATCAAGTTATGATCTCTGTCACCCTTCTTCCGCTACCTCAGTCTTGGTCGGTTCTTCAACGCAAGCTATCCTCCATCACCTCTCTATAACCCTTTTGCGGTCTGTCGCTGTCTTTTGCTCCAGCAACAACTCAAATATGCGCTTCTATACAGCTGCCATTGCCCTCGCCGGCGCCACCACTGCCATGGCATCCGCCATCCCAGGCAAGAGCGCTCTCGTGGACCGTCAAGTGACCCTGTGCTCCGGCGCCGATAGCTCGGCCGTCTGCTGCGCGACCGATGTGCTTGGTGTCGCCGACCTCAACTGTGCACCTCGTAGGTGTTTCCCAAGCCCACATTCTTCCTACATAACGAGGCAATGACGCTGACGGTGTGATGCCAAAACAGCTCCAACTACTCCCACCAGCATTGATGACTTTACCAGCATCTGTGCCTCCATTGGCCAGCAAGCCCGGTGCTGCTTGCTGCCTATTGTAAGTAATGGCCGCATATTCATCCCAGCCTTCGTCTCCCTGATGAACACCGTGCATAACTGCATGGCAGCAATAACACTTCGACTCCACCTCATGCCCAAGTGGAATATGTATGCTGACAAGCCATCACAGCTCGAACAAGGTCTTATCTGCACCTCCCCTGGGAAGTAGGCGACGAGAACCAACATTGTCACCATGATCGGACGAGGATGGACGATTTCCTCGATCCTAAGCCACTCCTTGAAAATTCTCATGTTGATTGCCCCGGTTAAGTGAGGGCCATGCTGTGTTTGGGGGGGTGGGGGAAGGGGAACGGGTAATACCGCTATTCCTCCGCTCTGTATTTCTCTGGGCGGTGGGAATTCATCTGGGTTCTATCAGTCTGTCGATCTCTATGTGGGATGCAGGTCGGTAGAGGAAGGAAATGCATGTCCTGGCGAGACTTTGGAACCGGATGCCCAAAAGTAAAGTTAGGGGCCGGAGACGGTGGTGTTGTAGGCCAAAAAATGCTCGATTAATACAACATCTTTGTTGATCTCAGGCCTGCCTCTCGAATGAATCTGAGAGACTCACATTGTCTTACAATGCCGGTCTGTTTCCCGAGGGCTAATTTTTCTCTACTCGTATATGTGCTCTAGAGCTGCTCCTCCCTGACACTCCCCACAGGGTTGATCCGAGCGCCATCCACGACCTCGTCGTCCAGCCCTGGGTTCTTGTCGCTGCTGGACCCCTTGCCTCCTTGGAGAGGTTCGAGCTTTGTTCCCTGGATGGTCGCGTCCCTGCCCACCGCGCCCTGCGAGTCCGCGTGCGGTGCTGTGTGTTGGTACTGGCCTGCAAGGGTGTCCCAGTGGCTCTTGTGTCAGCGAATATTCTACCATCATCATCATCTTCATCATCATATTATATACTTGGGGGAAATCCTTCTCTTTTCTCGTTCTCTCATCTCCCGGTATTCTACAGTGCTGTTGAGGGGTCGGGGGGGATCTCGTTCAACACACAACGATGTTAGGTAATTACGTACCGGCTCCGCCCAGGGGATCGATCCGGCTCTGGTCGATGCTGCGGTCTGTGCCCGCGGCGCCGCGCGAGGATTGGTCGTGCGGCTGGTGCTCCTTGACGGCCGAGTCGAGTGGTTGGATCTTGGTCGCCGAGAGCTTCTCGTCGCTGCCGGATGTGCCTCTGTTTGGTCCATCAGTCATCCCATCCCGGGATCATGCACTGCTGGTTTTGAAGAGGGGTCATCATCAAGACGAAAAGGGAGGGGTAGGTCGAAACATGTGTACATGTGTGCAAGGGGCTGGAAATTTGGTGACGTACGAGGACATTGTTGATTTATCACAGTGGTGTGTGTTTTTTTTTTGGAACTTGGACTCGTGTGTATAGATAGGTACGATGTTGACGGATGGGTTATAGGTATAGTTATAGATAGATATACAGTAAGTAGATATGGTCTTGTCAACGAAACGAGTAGAAATAAGAAAGAAGAGTCACCGTCACCGCCACCACGTGCGGAATTTCCTCTCCTCGTTTTAAGAGGACCCCTACATTGCGCAACCAGGTGCAACTCGTTTCCCTGGTTGTAATATGTAAGACATGCGGGCAATGGGGATGGCTTGTTGGTTATGACTTCATGGTCATTTCTCATTGGATAGAAGGGCAACAGGGTCGAAGGGACTGCAGGTGGCGTATACGGGTATCGGTAGTCGTAGCTCGTTCCGCCAATCATTTGCGAGGAATCTCTCTGTCAAATGGCAAACACTTCACCGACGCACAAGTTCTCAGAGCTTCGAGGATTTTGGAGTGGGCCATCTCGCTGGCTTCCACGTCGACGCTCACAAACATCCCATTGGGCACGGTGGCTAGCTCCCGTAGGAGGTCTCGGTGCTTTTACCGCGTTATTGAGTACGGCGAGCTGCTTCCTGGTAAGGGGCCGATCAATTTGGAAGTGTGACATGATGTAGACTGGACCATCAGCCCATGAGCAAAAGAGGCATTGGAAAGATGGGGCTCTTCAAACATACCTTTCTGAACTGCCCAATACCAGCATTTGCAGTAATGCGTGAGTATTCAGTATTGATCCCTTGGCCGCAGATGTCAAGATCCGAACCGAGAACGGATGGGTGATGGAGCTTCTGAGAGTCTGATCAGGGCGGTCATGTCGCTGGAATAGGGGGTTAGCTGATACCTGTCTGCCTGACCTGCGGTCCAAGCCACCCATTACATCCGTTGACCAACGAAGACGGTCTCAGGCGTTCTGAATGCGAACTGTACCCCTTCGGACGCCGGGCTATAACAGCACTGACAGTTAGAAGACTGGCGCATATATATATATATATAGATAGATAGATAGAAGCCTCTTCCATCCGTTACACATAGCGGTTCTCTTGGAGACTGTGTCCTAGTCCCTCCCATGTCGATGTTAGACTGTCAAGGACGGGTGCCAGGGAAAGATGACAGATCTCCTGGGATGGCCCTGAAAGAAAACCAACCCGTTAATCCATCTCTTGGCTTCCAACGTGAGCACACCTGACCGATTGCGACCTGGCACGTCCACCTCCAGGGAAACGTGCTTGTCAATCTCCTCGTGTTTCCCATCCCAGGAAGCCGTGAAGATGTGCTCTCCTGCCATGCCCGCTCTGTTGGCGTCGTGGACGAAGATGCCCGTATATTCATGCTCGATGTCCTGTCGGCTATCCACAAGGCGCCCCAAGCGTAACACCTTCCCTCGGTCGGAAATGGCGTCGGCAACCTCGCCAGCCATCCAGGTCTGAAATCTCCGCGAGAAGCTCAGCTCGTCGCCTGCCGCACAGTGTTCGTCCTTTTCGAGAAACTCGTCGAGAGACGACGCAAGGTCCTCGTACTGCGTGCCGTACCGCTGAGACGTGAGCTCCAGGAGAAGTCGGTGGAGGTTCCGACGTTGGTGTTTCCTCAAGCCGCTCTCCGAGTCGCGGTGCCAGGGCACGTGGCGACGGACATTCACAAGTATCGTGGGGCCGAGCTGCCAGAGATGGCCTTGAGTCTGCATTCCTTCTTCTACCAGTTTGACCCGCACCAAGCGGCAGCTCTTGATAAAGGTGAGCTGCTGTCTGACTGGTGACGAGAAGTTGCTGAGAGATTGTGTCTTGAGAAAGTCGAATATCGTGCTGTTGAGTGGTGCGATGTCACTGCCACTGCCACCGCCACCGCGGCCGTTCATGAGGATCTCTCCATTGAGGAGATACAGCGTTAGCAAGGCCAGGCTCAAGCTGAGATTGCTGCTTTGTAATTTCTTTGTATTGAGGCGCTCGGAGTAGTCACAGCAGTTTGCCACGATGGCGAGACGATCAGAACATCTTCCGGCCTTCCGCGCACCGACATCTGCAAAGATGCTGGGGGACATGGATCTGCGGACTGCGTACACGTTGTCTTGTGCCTGGCGATCCTGCAGTGTGACCGTGTACTTGCCAGCGCGCTGCAAAATCCGCCCAGCCATCTCTTCGAGCCTCCCTTGACCCTGTCGTTCATTCTTGTATGCGAGACAGAATCGAGAAGCTTCTTCTCGGAAGTTGGCGGAATTGACGCAAAGCTCGCCCTCAAGATCACCGAATAACGTGGCTTTGGCGCCCCATTTTTGGTCCTCCAGAGACGCGTCATGAGGGATGAGGAGTGTCATATTTGTCGCGGCACAATAATCCTCCTGAAATGGCCATGCTCTGGTCCACCACTGGTCCGACGTGATTGAGCCCAGCAGCTTCAGGACCCTCCCAGCGCTGCCAAGCGTGTCAGGGTTGAGTCTGAGATCCGGTGCTGTATCTTCATCGTCGAAAACCAAGCTGCCGCTCAAAAGCGCGGCCAGAAGATCCAATTGCTCTGGGCAGACGATGCGCTTTGTGAGCAATGCCACGGGATGGTCGCTATGCCTGTAGACTAGGTGCATCGACTGGAGTGCAACTTCCTTCTCGTTTTTATTTTTTTGGTTGATGCACTCCCTGTCCACCCAGAAATAGGGGCAGGCAATGTAGGCGGCGAATTTCGAGACTCGGTCCCAAACAACGTCTCTTACTAGACTTGGCTTCCATCGAGGCGTGCTTGATTCGACAAGATATCCGCCACGGCTGTGATCTTCCCCAGGCGCAGGATTCCATAAATAGGAGACGGCGATATAGTTTCTGGGTGCCAAAGGGTTAATGTACGTCCGGCCTAGCAACCGACCCGAGGTTAGCTGCATGTTGCCACGGCTGTGTCTGGAGGAAGGACCCAGTAGATTTTTGATCCTGTCGCTTTTCATGTAGAGCAATTCTAATGACCGGATCCAATTCACAGACATCGCTTCCGCAGTGCTGTACTTTTGGACTTCGAGCAGTGCCGAGTAGATGGGTCGACCGATCTCTTGTCGGATACTGCCAAGCGAGACGTCCGTGTCTTCTCGCATTTTCGGGCGTTGTTGTCGTTGATTGGCAAATGCGCCCAAGCTATTTAATTCTGCGCAAGTGCTAGTTGAAAGTTCCGCATGGGGGACGTTCTTCTGCTTGTCGATTCCTCTTCATGCTTCGTGTGAAATGACGGAGGATGGGACTTGATGTACGGGAGGATACTTGCAGTTTCAGTTTCAGCTTCACATGTCAGCCTCAGCCGCAGTTTCAACAGGTACGGTGAATCAGGCAGTAATGCATCACCACCTGCCAATGAGAAGGTCCAGAAGATGGATGGAGTAGAGCCCAAAGGCAAAGGAATCATCTTCTGTTTGGCACTCGTGACATGCGGCTTTACTCTGGGAACGTGTGCTGTACCCGTCGAGCGTGTGAGATTATGGGTCAGACAGAACAGAGAGTGCAAAGAGATGTCTCAAATGACCCAATTCTCGCGTCGTTTGAACCATAGTGATACATGCCAGGTACCTAGGTAGGTACTTATTGTCTCATCGACGGGATAGTAGGATCGATAGTGTAAGGGTAATTGGTACCTACCTAGGTAGTCAGGCTAAAGGAGCCGGATTAGGCTCTGGGTGCCCTACCCTCGGCTCAGGGATGACTCAGGAGGTGGCTCAGCCACGCTCACCGTTGACTTGGAAGCTTAGCATAAAACCAACGTTGGGTAGTTGGTAAGCCACAGGGAGAGTTCTTGATAAATCTGGCCGTCAACGTCAACGTCGCCGCTTCGGAAGATCTTTTTTCCTGACGGTGCCGAGGCTGCGCCTCAGCGTGGTCAGAGGTGTTCCCTCAGCCAACCCTCCTCTCTCAATTGTCTGTACGCTGAACGACCAATCCACCTAGACCCGTCGCGCACTGACCGTGTATTGCTGCGATTCCATGCATGCAGACGAGGGCATTGAGATAATCCACATTGGGGGCAATGAATCCTGTTTCATCACGACTCAGAAAAGGTCGCCTTGGGAGCACAAAGTCCAACGACGGTTGTATTACCTGCAAAATCAGAAAGGTAAAGTGCGACGAATTGCGGCCAGCCTGCAGAAGGTGCTTGGGCACTGGCAGAAAGTGTGATGGCTACGGCCGCGATGTCGATTCACATACGTCTCGGCCGGCCGCGGCAGCAACCATCTCTAGCAATCTGCGCCACCTCATTTTCACTACAGCTCACAACCACGCCGAGCCCGAGGAGCTGCGATGTTTCGAGTTCTTCATGGAGAAAGTGGTGCCCAACTGTACGCGAATGGTTGACGAAGCATTCTGGCACCAAATTATTCCCCAGCTCAGTCGTTCGGACCCCGTCATCTGGTACGCTGTGAATTCTCTCGCCTGTCTCATTCGCCACCCACAGTTTTCGCCGACCTGGACGCTCCCTGGAAGGAAGATCCTACAACCTGCAGTGACCGACGAGCATCGAAGAGCCCTGAGATGGTACAACAAATCTATCGCCAAGTTGCAAGAACGAATCTCAAACGAAAATGTGATGTCAACAACCACCACCATCACCTTCGTCAGTTGCATATTATACATTTGCATCGAATGCGTGCAAGACGACCCTGTCGAGGCCGCTGCACTGTATCGGCGGGCGGTGGCGATGATCGGACCGGTGTCAGACCATCATCAACGCGGACACCCTTCCACAACTCGACGTGAAGTAACACTCGAAGAAACGGTTCGAGCGCTGCTACGCCATATGGCCATCTCGCAGGGCGTACCAGTGAAAAGAAGTGCTGCTACTGCCGCCAACGGTGGTGGTGGTCTTGTTGTTGCTGTTGAAGGCCCGGAACGGCACTATCGGTTTTTCACATTACAAGACGCGAGGGATGAGCTTTACATTTTGATGAGCGAGGCTCATGAATTTATCGTCCATGTGGGTGAAATCAAAATTAGGCTACTGAGGAAAGGCTGGAAACCATCTTCTGAACTTATGTCATGGCAAAGGTCTATCGAGGCCAACTTTTCGAAATGGCTTTCCGCTCTTCGACATTTTGTCAGCAACAATCCAGACACCGTGTCTCAACAACACGATATTGAGCGGTTTGCCCTCTTGAATGTTGGGTTCGGCCATTATTATATATGGGTTGCTACGTCTTTAAATATGGACGAGACTGTCTTTGACCATTTTATAACCACGTTCCAATCCATGATCGAGCATGCGCGTCACGCCACGGCAACGCGCAACAGTGGAGGCGGCCGTCCGGTGTTTATATTCGAGACTCGATTCATCCCTTCTCTATTCTTCATTGCGTGCAAATGTCGCCATCCGGTCGTGCGCCGACAAGCCATCTCTTTACTCGAAAGTGGACCCTTGATCGAAAACACGTTCAAAGCCGAGCCCATGGCCAAAGTCGCGAAATGTTGTATCGGGATTGAAGAAGCCGGTAGTGAAGGAGGGGTATTCCACTTAGAAGCTCACAAGACCGAATTTCCCCCCGAAGGCCACAGAATAACCTGGAACAAACTCATTGAGATGCCTGATGCTCATCATGCCAGAGTGGATCAGTACTTGATGTTTGGGAGATGGCAGCAGCAGCAAGTCGGCAGAGAATGGATTTCCAGCACACACATGGTCAAGATATGAAAGTCAGGCTGAGTTTGGCCTTGATCGTCCTGCTCTCGGGAATTCCATATCATCACCCCCACTCTGTTGCAGTATCTTACTGCACTGAGGTGTCGAAGCTGTTCGGCCGACATTTGATGAACTTGAGCCGAGAGGCAGGTATAATTAACCGATCGCAAGGGGCCAGAACAGGCTCCCTGTGAGTTTGCTCAGGGAGTGCTCAGGGAGCACTCAGTGATGCTCAGCCAAAGACTCAGTTAAAGCTCAAGGTAAAGCGGCCTTTGCTCACCCTCTAGGATCAAAACCGTAAATGGCAATTAGGTTTTTCGTTCTCGAGTAATATAGGTAGACATGCTCGACTAGCTAGGGACCAACTTCAAATCCATGATTGGCAGCTAAACAGTCCTCATACCATTGGGAGAGAGGAATCCTGCATGCCTGGTTTCACTTTTATGTGCGTGGGGGCTGCGATTTACCTCTGGATGTTTAACTTTGTGCCTACCTACCTTGAGTATAGGTAGGTACTCGGTACCGAGCACTCGGTACCTCGTACGAGGTGCTCTTCCTGTTCCATTTATCCATGCTTTCGTTAGACAACACCCCAATGATTAGCGAAGATCGTATTGTCCACCAAGGTCGATTTTGAAAAGAGTCGATTGAGGAATTCTGCATCGACGCCACTCCTGCGGGCCCTGTAGTTGCGCTTGTCGGCCGAAGCCTCATCTCGCTTACCTTTTCCAGTTTCTGTCTCGACAGAAGGAGATTCGATGGCGTCCGTAGGCGGATACTAACAACCGTTAAGCCTTTTTGATGGAGCTTTGTAAACTTGGGTGAGTTTGTTCACGTTGTCCATCCAAGTATATTTCACGTGAAGACGGTTTGATGGAGCTTTGGTGGGTTTGGTGAACTTGTTCGCGTTGTCTCAATCATCACTATCCAACCCTACTCCGTATTTCAGCTCAATTCTATTCCAGCCAAACCACGCATTTCAGAAAACACATCATGTCTAGCGCGACAGCCTCAAATTTACTCATACCGTGTGCACTACGAGCGCGGAGCATCCGGTTTGTATATCGTGCATCGAGCCTTCGATAGGCCAACACCTTCTCCATCTCTTACTTAACGCTCGTTGCGTTGTGATATGCTTGAAATCTGTTCCCGTTGCATATTCAATCACTCGCCCAAGTCACTCCTTTTGTAACAGCTATGAATTCATACTCTTCACTCAAATACTTGGTCGCGCTTCTCTCGCTATTTGCCCACAGCGGATCCACTGGCCAGCCAGACGAAGGACAATGCTCAATCGTCACCGAAACATATATTGGGTAATGGACTTGGGTGCCGCAAGAGTCTGTGTGGCCTGAGAGCACAAATAGCCACAGCTGGGACGGTCATGCGTCGGTTAATTCAGCATCCGGTCTCAAGTCCTTGTCGCCTTCCTCTCATCACGGGCCGACACCTGCGCAGACAAGAGTTCAAACAGGCCAGGGTTGGCCACATCCATCCGTTCATGCGACCCATACCTTAGTCACAGTCCTTCCCGATACGACAAAGACCGTAACAGGGCTATACGTCGTTTGGGGCAATTGGTCTACGCAGGCTGACCCGGCTTCAACCACCATTGAATCTTGGAAAGACTGGCCCTCCCCGGTTGATCCAGCATACAGTACAAGTACGCAGACATGGGACTATTGGAGCAGCTTTGTCAAGACTGCAGGAACAAGCAAAACTTCCACGCATGTTCATCCCAGCCCATACAGCACCCATGGACATATCTTTAGCACGGGACCCGTCGAAGATTCTTCGCATCCAGACTCGGGGGCTTGGACAAGACACCCGGCCACTTCCGGTTCCACAAGGACGCCTATCTCGCCTTCCTGGAGCAGAAGTACAACTTCGAAGTCCTCGAGCAGTCCTGCCCACCTAACTAGTTCGGCTACCTTGAGCATTTCGACCAGCTCGACCTCGACCGCCACGACCTCAACAAGCAGCACGAGTTCAACGAGCTCCACCTCAACTTCTTCCAGCAGTTGTACAACTTCCAGTACCAGCTCTACCATCACGACCTCCACAACTGCCAGCTTCACGAGCTCCAGCTCAACCACCAGCGTGTTTACAACTACAAGCACCACAACCAGCAGTCCGTCTATCACCTCAACTACAAGCACGATCTCAACCTCCATCTCCACCTCTACATCTACATCTACATCTACATCTACATCTACATCTACATC